CCCCTCCCTACTTTTCCTCTAAACCCCCCCCCCCCCTCTCCCCCCCCTATAACACAACCACTTCCCCCCCCCGCCCCCCCCCCCGGCGGCGGCCCCCCCCCCCCCCCCCCCCCCCCCCGCCCTCTCTTCAATTACTTTCGAGGATACCCTTGATGTTACACGGCAGGACGGCCGCATACTGCGTGTCTGTCGTTTCTGTCGTTTACAGCTAAAAGTAACTTGCCTAGACTTGGCCAGTCCGTTTTGGACTGTGGTTGCATAACCCCGTGTCTGAGATGACGCTGGGAAGCGAGCACATGGTTGCTATCAAGTGGTGAGCTAGCCAGAAGATCAGTCAGCCATAGCGACCATAGCGTCCCATTCCTACCTATGGCATATACCGAAGTAGGTAACTGTACATTCGGAATTAACAAATCGAATTCCTGCAAGTCGATCCGAGGAGGGGGTTTTGGTGCAACGGCAAGTCTTCGAGAAGGGTGAGGGGACCAGGCAGTTATAGCTGTAAAAGGAACCCCAGACGTCTGGTTCTGTTGGTTTTTGATAGTTTCTGTCACCTATCAGGGGAAAGCTGTATCACGGATCTCGATGGAGATTGTGATTTCGATGGTAGCTTATTTTCGGGATAGACTAAGGTAGGTAGATTAAAGTAGGCAATGTATCATGCCATCATACCTAACTTGTTAGATAATATCATAAAAGTGTTGTTAAGACTACCTATATGGGATTTCCAACGGTATCCAGTCGTATTCTGGGCTTTCCGTGGAGGCTTTCCCCACTCGTCTCCCCGCATTAGAACGACATTGTCCGTTGCGGCGGTCATCCAAGCACGAAGCACCCAAGGACCCGACGGGAAGAAAGCTGTCAGTTTCCCAATAATGCATCAGCCGGTTATAGGTAACGCGCTGAATAAGGTTAGGCAGTCCATGCAGACGGCAACGGTCGTGTAACGTCGCTAAACAGGGCTCTTCGAGTCTCTTGCATCCTCTCTTCACATCAAACCTCCCTTCCTCTTCCTAAGCCCCCCAAATCCCTAAGCCCCCAACTTTCCCCCTATCATAATCCAACGACCGCACCCATGCGCGCGCGCACGCACTGTATGTATTACTTACACCACAGCGGCCGCACGCGAAAGCTATCTCGACCTAGTGTTTCAACATGACATAAGGCGAACGGGTTCAGGGGAACACACAAGAAGAAAAAAGGAAAAGGAAAAGAAAAACAAAGAGGCGAACAATCATGTGTCGCCGTTGGACGGCCCCTTTTCCTTTTCTCCCCACCACGCCCCCTCCCTTCTGCGCAACATGAACACAGCACTAGTAGGCCACTCCGAGGTAGCTACCTAGCTAAGGCCAGCTTCACCTGCTTATCTTACCTACCTTACACCTTTGCGAGCTAGTCGTGCTGCGTAGGAAGGTGATACACGTGGGATATGTCGTAGAATGTATGTCAAGAAGATCGCCTCGCCTCGCCGAGCTTAAGCGTAGAATAGGTACACGAGTAGCTGGCGCGGAAAAAAAATGGCGGGAAAAAAGAAAACAAAAAAGAACGAGGGACGACGAAGATGGAAAAGAGAGAGAAGGCGTTGGCTACATGTTCGTCGACGTACAAAAACGGGTTTGGGCAAACGCCGACCAGCCGCCCTGTCACAGCATCTAACGGCGGGTAGCTTGTCTATCGTCTCCCGCCACGTCGTGCCATCAGTCCACATTACCTTTCGTCATGATGATTATAGTATAAGATCGCTGGTGCCGTAAGAGCTGAACCCGTATCGCATAAGGCGGCGCAGGCGTTCTTCTCGTCGCCGTGATAAGTAATCGTGGCAGTCCGAGTCACGTATAACGTCAGTTTGTGATGCACTCAGCTTCTACGATGAAGAATATCACAAACACCCGACATCCTCCAGTCTAAATACGTGTTGAAAATATGTATACCTTTATTGTCTCTTGTTGTGTAAATATGTACCTGAGAGATTACATCACACTTGGTTACGGATTCAAATATTTCCCGAGATAAATCTTTTTATTCTACCGTTGCTTTTCTGCCTTTCCTTATAAACAATTCAAGTCAAGTCATACCATTCACTTGAACGGGTTGGCTTAACGTTTTAATACCTAGGTAACTCAATGCCCGCTTGGGGTATGTGATATACCGAAAGACTACAAACAGGCTCGATCCAACTAAAGCATGAACTATTCCGTATCTAGTCCAGCTTGCTTGACCAAACCGTAGAACACGCCTTTCTTTTGGATAAGTGCCTGTGGCGTGTCAAACTCGACCACTTCACCCTTGTCGAGCACAACTACCCGGTCGCTGTCGAGGATGGTGTTGATACGGTGGGCAACTGTGATGATAGTCCGGTGCGAAAAGAGCGAAGAGCGTAACGTATTCTGCAACATAGCATCCGTCTCGATATCAACTGCCGCAGTTGCCTCGTCCAGTACGAGAATATTGGATGGCGTGAGCATAGCACGGGCTAAGGAGATTAGCTGTCGCTGACCTGCTGACAAATTTGATCCTATGTAACCCAATACGTTAGTCGGCAAATTCAACAATTGGAGTCGCTCACGTGAAGAGGTACAGTCGTATCTAGACGGCTATGATATCACCGAGATTCATCAAAACCTGACGATCACGCAGGGTCCTAGCTATAGAATTCGGGGAAAGGCAAGCAAACGATGGATGATCGACATGCCAAAACGAGTATTGCTTGCCTCCGTGCGTCCTTGCACACTATGCAGGTAGCCGGAGGCGAGAGGAAAATCATCGTGGACTGCAGATAGAGCCGAAAGAAAGCGAAAAATCAATCACTTACCTCCTTCGTTGATTTTGGCCTCAAGCCCGCCTTCCATGCTTGCCACATGCTCCTTCAACCGTGCATGATCTGTGAGAAACGGTATGTTAGCCTAAGTAAGATGGTGGGAAGTGACTAGGAGCAGCCGAGTTACGTGAGAGCATGTGCCTTCTCGACCCTGCGGCACGAGCAAAGGTGGGTGAGATCAGTGTAACACTTACCTAGTACGCTCCACAACTCTGTATCATCGTGGACATGGCCCGGGTCTAGGTTATCACGAACTGTGCCCTCGAAAAGAGCCGCATCTTGGGGAATGATGGCAAGACGGCGCCGCAAATCTAACAATCCGATCGTTGACGTGTTGAGGCCGTCTATACTGATATCTCCGGTCACTGGCTCGATAAGACGGAAAAGTGACAAGGTCAAGGAGGATTTGCCCGCTCCGGTCCGTCCTACCACACCGATTTTCTCGTGAGATTTGATATCCAAGTTGATATCCTTTAACACCAGGTCCAAACCTGGGCGATAGCGAGTGCTGAAGTTGTGAAACTGGACAGCTCCGTATGCAGGCCAAGCAACTGGAGGCCGATGCTTGTGGATGATTTCAGGAGCTTCACTTGGCAGGCGTGCATACTCGAGCACTCGTTCCACGGATACAATGTTTGTCTCCACCTCCACTGTCTGGCGAACGATCCAATTTAACGAAGTCGTGATCTGTAGAGCGTACGACATAGCCAAGCCCACCATTCCGGCGCTCAAACCGCTGTGATTCGTGACGGAGATAATGGCGAACCCTGCGGCTCCGAGAATGATTATGGCTCCGAGGAACTCTAGTCGAATTGCTAACCACCTGTTTGAGCTGATAGACGGGAAATAAGCTCGCAAATTCGAGTCGACCCGCCACTCGTTTTCTAGCTCAAATCGATCCTGCTGTCTGTATGCCCGAATTGTGCTGATACCGCCGAGTGACTCCTGGAAGTGTGCATAGATAGGACTGCGGCTGACACTGTCCAATCGCTTCAATTCTCGCGATGTTCGTAAATAGTATCGCTGTACCCAGTAATATATTGCGCTGAGTGGAATGATCAATGCGATAAAGGCGGGAGTGCTGACCGAGATGACTACTAGGGTGAACCCTGAACGAGCTAGATTTACGAAGAGCATGTTGAACGTTCTCGCTAGAACCTCATCTAGTTTGTAGATGTCACTCGAGAACCGGTTTAGGATTCTTCCTGCTGGTGTAGTGTCAAAGAACGACATTGGTGACCTGAAGATAGCAGTTGCCATTCTCTCGTGTAGCTTTCTCGAGGCCTCGATGGAGCAGAATATCCATAGGATCAGCGTTTGAACCATAGCCAAGCCAGACGAGCCGACACCGAAAGCAAAATAGATGCCAAGGTACTTTCCAACGTCAGGGTTGCCTCCAGCATCGCCGTTCACCTCTGCCCAGTTTTTCAACCAAACACTGCCACCTAAACGGCCGTTAGTACCATTACATTCAAAACGTACAGAGGAATCAGCGCTTACCAATTTGTGCGGCCTGAGCTGCGACTAATGCGAGGAGATAGACACAGACAGCTACGAGATTGCTTGTCTTGGCGTATTCGATGTAAACTATCGTTGTTAGTATTCCAGTCAACCGAACATGGGTTCTGGGGAGGAACACGTACCGTCCCATTTAACTTTGCCTTGTTCTAAATGCTCTTTAGCCTGCTTAGTCTTAGAACTGGGCTCCTCCTCGTCATGTAGTTTTCCTCTGGGGCCTTTGAAACTGGCAGCACTTGCTCGTCTCAAAGTTGACATGCTACCAGTTCGTCTTTGCGCGGCAGAATCTGCAGAAGGCCCAGTCTTAATGGGTGCCAACTCAGCAATGCCCTCTTGAGCCTCCTCAATTTCTTCTTTATCTTGGCTATTCTCAGGTTCAATATACGTCGATGTTTCACTTCCCGAACCTTCGGGGGTAATTGCCGAAGAAGCCGATCCAGATTCCTGCCCGGATGACTTAATGAGCTCTGCAATACCTCCTTTCATAGCTATTAACTGGCGGAATGTCCCACTCTCAGAAAATTCGCCATTCTTAAGCTGATATATGTAATCTGCCTCGGAAAGGACGGATATAGCGTTTGTCGCTAAGATTCGGCACTTGGAATTGAGTAGACCACTTGAACCTAATACGTTCTCAATGATGTGTCTACCAACATGGGAATCCACCGCGGACAAACAGTCGTCCAGCAGATAGATATCAGCTCGCGCATATACCGCTCGGGCGAGAGCTACGCGAGCTTTCTGACCGCCACTCAAGGAGATACCTCTCTCACCAACAACGGTTTCATCCCCGTCAGGTAGTTGTGTGAAATCAGGAAGCAGTGCGCATGCCTTGACAGTCTGTTCATAGAAATTCGACTCGTATCGGTGTCCGAAAATGATGTTCTCCTTCACGGTCGCGTTCATAATCCATGGCTGTTGGGCGACATATGCTATTGTGCCTTGAACCCGTACATTACCTTCGACTTTCCACAAGTCACCAAGGATACTCTGTAGAAGAGATGATTTCCCTGACCCGACTCTGCCGACTATGCATGTGAGCTCACCCTTACGACTGCTGAAATTGATATCCTTAAGGACATCCTTAGACTCATGACGATTCCATGAGAAAGTTCCGTTTCGAATAACGACGGCTTCCTCCCCACGCTCCTCAACGGCTGATCCAACGATGACTGCATCAGGTTGGACTTCCTCGGCTGCGAGATATTCTGTTAAACGACCCACCGCAACGCTAGCTTCGATGATAGAGGTGATAACCATAGGTAAGATAGCGAGAGGGAAAGTAAGCAGATTGAATAGCGTAAGAGCGGGAAACACGATCTCGGTAGTCAACGGTACGTCATGTGTCCAGACGAAAACAGCAAAAGTCGAGCATGACACCAAGAACGGGGTAGTAGTCCAGGTGAAGTTTGCGAACGCTTGACCAGCACCAATCTTACGAAGGTTCTTAAGTTCCATGTCATTTCTGACATAGTTGAGCTTGTTCATGAAAGCTGTGCTCCAAGCGTAGAGCTTGATACTCTTCATATTGTTGATAATCTCAGCAATCAAACGGCTCCTTGCGTCCTTATTCTTCATCTGAGTCTTCTGCAGACGTTTCATAAGTCTTGCGATAAAGCCGTTGATGGGAATCATGATAATCATCACACCGATACCAGAGAGCATAGACCATCCCACAAGTTGATATAGCGAGATCATACAGATAGTAATCTGGAACGGAGCCGACCAAAGTTGCTGTGCGAATTGGGTTAAATCCTGCAGACGTTGCGCATCGACAGCCATATAATTAACAATATCACCAGTCGTCTTCGAAGCTTTGCCTTCGTTTGATAGCCTTAGCGATTTCTTGTAGATAGCCGACGCAAGTCCTGACTTGACTCGCATGCCCGTGATAAAGGTAAGCTGGAAATATTGATGCTGAAATTTGTTAGCAAAGGCTGTTTGGCCTAATGACTTACTGGCGAACTTACAATCATGCTGGTCTGCAAACATGCGACGAAGAACATAGCTATAGCGATAGCCGCGCCTTTGATAGCGGGTTGAGGCTGCTTTCCTTCGCCATACGAGTCCACGAAGCTGATTAGGTAACGTAGGAGCTGAGGCTGAGAGAAAGCTGCTAAATCGTTGAAAACTTTGAAAATGGTAGCAAACATGTAAGGTCCACCATAAGCATGGAACAAAGCCAGCCATAGAGAGGGACGCTTTTTATGCTCTAGTTGATATTTCCATGCTCTTTCGAATCTATCTCCCGTTGCAGAGGTCTTGTCGCTAGGAGAAAGTCCCCAAAGATCTTCCTCGGTGAGAAATTGTTTGTATCCATGTTTCATAAGAGGTGTCATCCACGAAAAAGTCAAGCGCGAGAATACTGTCGCATATTCCACCGGGCATTCCTCTCCTTCCTCGTCGACTAAGGCGTCGTAAGCGCTGCGGTTTTTGGGCCAAAGCCATTCGACGGCAAATTCAATGGCCGAAAGACCAAACCCGATTGTATACGTAACGAAGTACGCAAGATTCTTATCGTATATTTGTTGTGATATTAAAGATCTTAACTTGACAGCGTACGCGATTAAGAGGAGCAACCAATAGAACAGCACAACGCCATTAGCATTCCTCGTACGATCATATTCAAGCCATTGAATCGTGAAGATGACGCCAAGAGAAATGATAGTAAGGACCGTCGTAAGAACTCGAAAGTCGCCGTGCCATATTCCGGGATAGCTTATGATCTGGATACCGAGCTGGACGGCGACGTCGGCAATGATGACGGCGAGAAGTGACTATAGGCATTAGTCAGTATACAGCGCGATCTAAACGTCAATATAAAATTGAAAGATATTTGAACATACCTCCTTGACCCAAAATTGCCAATCCTTTGAAGCTCCAGTAGGCTTCTGCCTCCGCAAGACATACCATATAGCTAAAGCTCCGCAAACAATGCCGAAGGCAGCAACTGCAAACACCCATACGTCGATGAAGCATGGGGTAAAATCATATCTGAAAGGGCTCAAAGGCCCCCAACCTTCTTCATTACCGCATAACGGTTGTTTGAACTCTTTCGTCGCGCTGAGATATCCTTTTCCGAGCTCGTGGAGCGGCCTATAGCCCGTAAAGGACCCCGTCGATTGGAGGACCTGCTGGGAATGGTCACCGAATCCCATGACCAGCCTTAAGTTAAATTCCAGACGACAAAGATCATAGTAGGTCGATAGAGCTGGGAATCTCCAATTGCGCAATATTGGTTGTGGGTGACGGAAGTTAAAAGGAACATAAAAGTTGATTGGTAAGAAAGTAAATGGTGATGTCGTTTTGGGAAATTTAGCGGCGAACTGGAAGGCTTTTCCCGTCGGAGTTTGGAAGCTTCTACTAACCTTTTGCAGCTATGTAAGCTGGGAATTGCAAGGAATTAGCGGTTTCTAGGAGCCAGGCTGCTATGTGATTACCTGTAAAGCACCTGCATCCGTACGGCGTACGGGATTAAGGATCCTAGTAATTTCATTAGTTCCGACATCCGAGCTCTCACCCCTGGTGTCACCCGAGGTCGGCCTCATTGTTCTAGATTTATGCATACAACGGTTGAGAGTTCTAGAGTTCCGCTTTTATTTATTCGCAAGTCTTACGTAAGTTCAATGCTTTAGCTGGTTATGAATTATTAAATATTATGTACTGAATGTCAAGTCGAGCTGGTCGAGTACAAAGTAAATAGGTAGCGAACAATATACATTTTGGCGAGTGGACTTATAAGGTAAAGTCATCCTTATTCCGTTCATGTGCTTTAGCATGGCGTTTCAAAAAACCGATATATATATATGACTTCCTACACGCGATCAAAGTTTCCTATCAACTTTCAGACGCCATCAGTCCTATAACCCGATTTTATTTGGTCCAGCGAAGAATCGAAACAAATAGGCCTGTATCTAAGTATTGTTGAGAACTTTTTACTTAAAAAATATAAGGTAGAATAATAATTCTTACTTACGAAGTAAGCTTACGAAATCGCTTGGGAGCTTCACACCGCACATTTATGTAACTATGTGGTATAATATAATTATGCATTTAAAACGTATATATCATGATTACGAGAGGATGCTTAATAGTACCTGGGTATTAACTTCTATCCATGGATATCTCGGTAGATACAGGTTATTTGTATCGTCTTCAGAAAATCAATTCATGCATTACAACTTGAGCGCTAACGGTTGCAAGTTGCAACTGCCATTGATAGTCTTATACAGCGGGACACTAAGTGGAGATATGTAGCTTAACGGATTTAAGCCCCGCAATCTAAACCCGTCGCGGTTGCATCACCGTTGACCACCAGGGCAGATACGTACCCGTTAGATATTGATTGCAGGGTAATTAGGTATGTGATACAAGCTTTCGACGTGATAGCACAAGAGCGACCTCACCTCGTTTCGGCCCTCCACTTAGCACTGAATACAATCTCGACTTCTCCTTCTCCAACAACATCCACGCCCTATCGACCTTGCAATCGCAGGATATCGCAACGTCTTCGTTGGCCACTTCGGAAATTCCATAATTCCATAATTCGACCCATTCGACCGATATAGGCCTGTGTGACTATTTAGGTAGTTGCAGGGCCTCCCCAGGTCCATGCATTCGCCGGGAAGCTCGCCACTCGACGGACCGTCCTCTTCTCGCCCGACCCCGTCTAAGCGCAAGCCGGCCACTGCTGCTAGCAACCATTCCCGACAGAATTCCGGCAATCCGCCCTCCGGTCCCGACCATAAACGTACTAAATTGAATAATCCCTTCGACCTGGGCGCCTCCGCTTCGAGAATGAGCAAGGTGGTGCATGGCAAGCGACCAGAGATCGTCGACCTGACGAAACCTCCCACTTTTCAACCTCACAAAGGCGCAAAGAAGCTTGTAATCAAGAACCTACGGACCACCCCTCGAGGCGGTGATCTCGAGGAATACTACCGAGCTACGAAGCAAGGGCTTCTCGAGGCTCTCCAAGCCATATTCGAACAGAAGCAGCCACGCCAACCACTCGAGCGACTGTATCGGGGAGTTGAGGATCTCTGCAGACATGGAGCGTCCAAGGAGCTATACGACATATTAAAAGAGCGATGTGACGCCTATCTAAACAATGACCTCCACAGGTCTATAATGGCAGAGGCTGGCTCATCAAACATCGACATCTTGAGGAGCACTCACAAACGCTGGCAAATATGGAACACTCAATCGGTGAATATATCTGGTATGACGAAGGTCCTTCAGAATCTGACTGATTTGCTCTTCTAGACCATAATTCGCTCCGTGTTCAGTTATCTCGACCGGTCGTTTCTGCTGAGAAGTAAGGATTTCCAGCAGATTAATGACCTGGCCATTTCGCTCTTTCGACGAGTAATGTTCATCAAGTCTTCATCCGGTGTTAACCCAGGGGCCAAGAGTCTCATTGGCATGTGTGATCTAGTAGAGTACGACCGAAGAGGAGATTCTCGATTCGACTCGAATCTGTTGCATGATTCCATCACGATGTTAAATGTTTTAAACATCTATGGGAAATCCTTTGAGCCACATTTCTTGAAAACATCCGAGGCGTATTTCCGAGAGTTTGCTGAAGTACAAAGTTGCGCTTCCTTAAAGACCTACATTTCTAGCTGCGAGAAGCTACTTGAGAGGGAGGATTACCGCTGCAACCGCTACAACTTTGATTCCACTACGAAGAGGCAATTAATGGATAGTGCACATACCATCCTGATCCAGAACTATTCCGAAAAGCTCCTTGACGGTGGCAGCATAGGCAAACTACTGGACGAGAATGCATTGGAATCTATGAAGGCCTTGTATGACCTCTTACGCTTATCGAGTATACAAAAGAAGCTACGACAACCGTGGGAAGAGTATATCAAGGAAGCGGGCTCGGTAATTGTCAATGACACATCTAGAGGCGACGAAATGGTCGTCAGGTTACTTGAATTCAGAAGGTCATTAGATCTTATGATCCGAGACGCCTTCAATAGGGACGAGGAGTTCACCTATAGCATGCGCCAGGCATTCAGCAGCTTTATCAACGACCGGAAAGTTCAGTCGGCGTGGAAGACCGGGACTTCTAAAGTTGGTGAGATGATCGCCAAGTATATCGACATGCTGCTTAGAGGAGGCCTCAAAACACTGCCAAAGTCGCTGCTGTCTGATATCAAAGACCGTGTCGATGCCGAGCAAAGTGGACTAGCAAGTACTGGCGACGAGGATGCCGAGCTAGATCGACAGCTAGACCAAGCTCTCGAGCTATTCCGCTTCATCGAAGGCAAGGATGTCTTTGAGGCGTTCTACAAACAAGATTTAGCCAGACGTCTCTTGATGGGCCGCAGTGCGAGTGCGGACGCAGAGAGAAGCATGCTTGCGAAACTTAAGAACGAATGTGGCTCTAATTTCACCCATAACTTAGAGCAGATGTTCAAAGACCAACAACTTGCCCGGGACGAGATGGCTTCGTACAAATCTTGGTGCGAGGGTAATGGGCATGGCAAGAGTAGTTTGGACCTCAACGTCAGCATTTTATCTGCAGCAGCATGGCCGACGTATCCGGATACGCAGCTCACACTTCCCGACGATGTTGCCGCACAGATTGGACGTTTCGAAAAATATTATGTCAACAAGCACACGGGAAGACGCCTTACATGGAAACATTCTCTAGCACACTGTCTCATTAAGGGTCGTTTTAACAAGGGCCCTAAGGAGCTACTTGTCAGCTCATATCAGGCCGTCGTGTTAACGCTATTCAACCACATTGAGGACGATCCAAAGGGATTTCTTACTTATCAGCATATTTCGGAGAATACTGGTCTAACTGGGCCAGATCTTAGCCGTACCTTACAATCTCTAGCATGCGGGAAAACCCGTGTCCTCACAAAACATCCTAAGGGGAGGGACGTAAACCCGACAGACACCTTCACAGTGAACAAGGCATTTACGGATCCTAAATATCGGGTCAAGATTAATCAGGTTCAGCTCAAAGAGACGAAGGAAGAGAACCAAGATACGCATGAGCGGGTCGCCCAAGATCGTCAGTTTGAGTGTCAGGCGGCGATTGTGAGGATCATGAAGAGCCGCAAAGCAATGACTCATGCCAATCTCGTTGCTGAAGTCATCAACCAGACCAAGAGCAGAGGCGCTATCGAGCCAGCCGAAATAAAGAAGAATATCGAGAAGTGAGTCACCCTCCAAACATTTTATTGAATGTTGCGCTAACTTTCCCACCAGGCTAATCGAGAAGGATTATCTCGAACGAGAGGGAGGCTCGTATACATACCTGGCATAAATACTGCTCTGGATGTCGGTCGCCGTTACCTAGCCTTAAGCTCAAGATTTATACAGGATAGATGCACATCGTCGTAGATTCATTCAGAATAGCTACCTAATCATGAATTGGCTCTACAGCCTGTCACAATCAATCAAAGTGCCTTTCCCAGTGCTCATAGACAACGGACGAATATTAATCATAGCATCCTCCATCTTGCATAGTAATTAAGCGTATCCGCGTTAAGCCAGGCCATTATTCGTCCTCCCCGCTTTCTCCGTCGTTCTAGATTTATTGCGCCGTCCACAATTTCGTTCTACCCCCTTTCCTCTTTCGATTAGCCACGAGGGAGGGTTCTATCCACAAATGCCTAGTCCCCCGGACCCAGACCGGTTACAGGCGGCATAATGCTTTGTTGATTGTTGACATTGGCATCGCCTGTTGCACTAGTGACATAACGTTCCACGCTAGGAGTATCCACCGAAGTTCTTTTCTAGAATACGCTAAGAAGGCGTTACGTACTCGTCGTAGCATTCTAGGCGTTGTATTAGGTAAGAAGTTTGAATAGCTCGATTTTGGGGATGCGTGCAGGGGATATGTGGTATTTCGTGTATTTGCATAGGAGAATAAGTGGTGAGTGGTGTTTGATGATGGCGAGTAAAGGGGTTGAAAATAGGATGTGATTACATACAATAGTTCTACGCTGGTATGCCATGTACGGAACTGTTTTTATATACCACAAAGCTCTTTTCATATCGACAATGTACATTTCAATATTCCACCATATCTCTCATCCAGATACCAAGGTAGGTAGGTAGATAGATATCCATGTAAGTACATAAGCTTACACACTCCTATGGCTCATAAACCGCCGGCTTATCATAAAACCCCGTAGCCCAGACGACCAACCGCCCCGCCTTCCTCTCATCATCCGTAAACAAGCCATTCCACTCGCCCCAGACCTCCTTTAACTCGACCTTATGTCTGCCGCCAGGCCCGGACCAATCGAAGTACTCGCGCAGAGCGGGCTCGAGGCTCTCATAGCCGACGATATAGCGGGCCATATCCTCGCCGGGGCGGTCGCGGGGCCACAGCTCCCTGGCCATGAAACCGACGCGGTCGGCGTAGAAGCGGCGCGTCTCGTCTTCGTAGGAGGCGCGCTCGGGCGAGCCCGGCAGCGTGTCGACGGGCGGGTCGCAGGTCAGCGCGCGCGCGCGCAGCGCGGGGTACACGAGGTGCGAGCGCCAGGGGGTGGCGTGGCAGGGGGTGAGGAAGAGCGCGAACAGCTCCTGCGCGAAATCGGGATCGACGTCGTCGTACGTGGCGTTGGCGTTCGCGGGCTGAGGAATGCCGAGGTGTGTCGGGTGGATCGTCTCGAATTCCGTGCGTAGGAAGCCGAGAACGCTGATGGGCGCCGCGGCGTGGAAGTACGAGAGGTACCCGCCGATGACGGCGTTGACGAGGAGCCCGGCGCAGAGGAGCGGGGTGCGCTTCCAGCCTAAGGTTGGGGTAGTAGGGGAAGAGGCGACGTCGATGATGGTGGTGAAGAATGATGTGATGTAGGGGGCGGCTAGGATGTGGAAGGCTGGGAGGAGGGGGGTGATGAAGCGGACTTCCTTGTGGGAGACGAAGGATAGGGAGCATATGGTTGTGAATACCGTAAAGGACAATGCTTTCAAAGTGTTACAAGTCGTAACTGGCCAGTTCGACTCCTCCGAGTCTAGGGACTTGAATAGGCCCTTGAGGACGAATGGGGCTACTGTTGTGCATAGCAACGGTATGCCCTGAGAGAGATAGTAGTGCCAGTCATTTTGGCCGTAGAAGATGGCGAGATCTTGGGCAACGTTGAAGTGCAGAAATGTCAGGGGAGGAAATGTCCACTCTCCATAATACTGACGATCAGCCAGCAAAGACAGCCCGAGAACGAGTGACCTATGACGATTAGAACACTAAAATGGTGATGATGGAGGTTTGACTTACCCACAAAGCAGGACCTCTCTGTAGACTATGAGTAAGTTCCTCTGGGTAAGTGGTGACTTTCCGCCGAGAGTAGCTCTTGTCAGTGCAAGGGTGGCTATAGCTAACCATATCAGAACATTGGTTGGACGTAGTAGAACAGCAAATGCAGCTAGTATTAGAGACAACCGGAGACTGTTTACTTGACCCCAGGTTTCGAAGAGTGAGATTGACGAATACTTGGATTTGGAATTCCCATCATCCTCGGTGCCCAGAAGACTCCAGGGAAAGTAATACAAAGCCATAGCTGTCAACGTAGTCTCGAAGCAGTTAGAGAACGTTCTTGTCGAAGTATACCATTGCCAGGGGTTAAGCAATGTCATCAGAAGCTACACATATCTGTGGGTCAGTCGGAGATCAATTGGACTCCAGGTTATCCAAATACTCACAACGGACCAGGCAGTAACACTTCCTTGGCCGTACAACTTCTCCGCAAGTCTCCATGAATACCAATCACTCAAGGCAGCAAAGCCTGTCTGTAGGATCTTGGGTGCCGCGATAAGCCATTTAGCCTTAGTAATGGGAGACATTCCTGCCGCTCCATACTGTTCGACGATCCAATATCCAAAAGCAAATACAGCAGGGTGGATTGAAGAGCGAAGTTGATGTTTCCATTCCTTTTATGAATTAGCTAGGCTCTGCTGGTTGGGATTCGACGAAGTCTAAAGGAACAAGGTGGGAAACTTCAAGGGTAGTCTAGCATTCTACATACCCAGGTAATCCATGCTCCGCTATTGTCTCCGTACAACATGTTCCATGCTGGTTCGAGGGCCTGAAAATATTCGTCCGGTTGGAAGAAGGTGCGGACACAAAGCGCATTGGCGAAGCGGACAGCAAAGATGACAGCTAACGCATCCCGAGCTGGAACGGAAACCAAATAAGAACCATTGTTCTTGTTGAGGGAGCTTTTCGTGGTCGAGCCCGGCGCGCTGGCGCTAGACTTTGACTTCTTCCCTGAGCTCATCTTGAGTCACTTAAGTCTCATATATCCATTTCATTCTCTTTACTTAGAGGACACGATAAGAATTCAGGGAAAACTCAAAATGATAAATGATAAAACAAATACAAATAGAGGAGTTGAGGCGACCTGGCATCTGCTACAGCGTCAATTGGACCAATTTGGATTTCACGGAGCTGTCCGTATCGAGACAAATTGCCAAATACATATCGCCAAGTAGTTGGTTACACGTGACAGCTGACCCCAGCTGCGGTTTTAGTTGAGTTGAGGCTGCCTCTTTAGCCACATTGCTTCGATAAACCGATAACTAGTTCGGGACGGATACACCCCAATAGTTGAATAACTTCACATGACTTCATTTGCGTTCGCCGCCAAGCGCAGTCTTATCTCATTGAGCGTCGGATGTTACCCCCACGACATAATTATTCCCTCTTAACTATTGGTTATGTTGAAATGGGTGGTATGTGATTGGTCCATAATTGAAGATTCTTCGGCTACCGCGACTCCTCCGGGCTCGGCGGGTACTCCTTGACCGTAATCGCGTTGTGTTGGTTTTTTTCTTTTTCTTTTCCCAATCCTTGTGGTATACGGGGGTCTTGTACGAGTAATGGCATAACCATATGTAATTATTATTCACTGATGAGAATCTCAACTCTAGCTCAGAAAGAACAAAACACATCCCTTGTCCTTGCTCACAATGGTGCGCTTTCCTTCGGCTCGGGGACCGGACTCGCCGCTTCACCGCATGTGACCAACTCGATCTTGACTTCAAGGCCGGACAAACTTGTCATCATGGGCAGCAGCGACTGGATGAGCCGCTTCGACTTGCACTTAGGGGTTTAGTGGCTACCTAAGCATCAGTCCGAACATTTCATATTACGTAGCGCAACTTCCAAAACTTCTTGACATCGATCATTCGCCCCCGCCTTGCATTTTTCCATTTATCTCATTATGTCTCTCGAGCATTTTGCTTTTCTTTCGACCTTCTTTTCTTTCCTCAAGACAGAATATACCCAATACCCAACCAACAAACCTTGAAAGCAACCAACTTTTCGTAGTTTGCGTCCTATTGTATCAATAGGCCGACTCTGTAATTAGTACTTCTTTGAATCCAAACAAGTCTTAGTTCCGCTAATTGTCTCTCGGCCGTCGACAACCTTCAACACCGTCGCAGTCATGGCTCCTCACGCAGATGCTCCGACTACCCGCTCGGGCTCCGACTCGACAAAGTCGTCCAGATACCACTCCTCCTCGACCAAGGGTGCGATTGAAGCCGAACACAAATACGCCGCCCATAACTACCACCCTCTCCCTGTTGTCTTCGCTCGCGCACAGGGCGCTGATGTCTGGGACCCGGAAGGCAAGCACTACATTGACTTCCTCTCTGCATACAGCGCCGTCAACCAGGGTCATTGCCACCCCGAGCTGGTGAAAGCGCTCACTGAACAGGCCGGAAGATTGACCTTAAGCTCCAGGGCGTTTCACAATGACGTGTTTCCCAAGTGGGCGGAAAAGGTCCAATCCATGTTCGGATACGACATGGTTCTGCCAATGAACACCGGAGCTGAAGCGGTGGAGACGGCTATAAAGATTGCGAGAAAGTGGGCTTACAAAGTCAAGAAGGTGCCAGAGGGTAAGGCATTGGTCTTCGGAGCCAATGAGAACTTCCACGGCCGTACGGTAGGTTAAATATTCTATCGCAAGGTTGGCTATGCCTTTTAACGTCATGGATAGATGATTGCGGTAACTCTCTCCACCGATCCCGAGTCGAAAGACAACTACGGACCATACATACCTAACATTGGTGCTGTCTCTCCCTCCACCGGTAAGCCAATCCGCTACAACAACGTAGCCGATCTGGAGGAAGTGCTCGAGGCCCACGGAAAGGAGACTGCTGCATTTATTGTCGAGCCTATCCAGGGAGAGGCAGGTGTAGTGGTTCCAGACGAGGATTACTTAGTCAAAGTCCACGCGCTTTGCAAGAAGCACAATGTACTTCTGATATGTGACGAGATTCAGACAGGTATCGGTCGCACGGGGCGTATGCTATGTTCACAATGGGCTGGCATCAAGCCGGACATGATTACATTGGGGAAAGCTATCTCTGGTGGCATGTATCCTGTCAGCTGCGTCCTTAGTAGTAAAGAGATTATGCTCGTCGTCGAGCCTGGCACCCACGGCTCGACGTACGGCGGTAACCCGCTAGGCTGTGCTGTCTCTATACGTGCTCTCGAGCTCATGGATGAGGAACAGCTTACCCAGAAGGCTGAGAAGCTTGGTAACATCTTCCGCGACGGTCTAGCAGCACTCAACTCGCCAGTTATCAAGACCATCCGCGGAAAGGGTCTACTAAATGCCGTCGTTATTGACGAAACAAAGACGAATGGTCATTCGGCTTGGGACCTATGCCTTCTCCTCAAGCAGAAGGGGCTTCTGGTAAGACTGATATACGCCTATCCTTCTCCCTTTTCTTCTTTCTGGGCGCAACACAGTATATGGTAAACTAACTTGGAGATCAGGCTAAACCGACCCATGGTAACATCATCCGCTTCGCACCGCCATTGGTCATATCAGAGGTACAACTTCGAAAGGCAATGACAATTATTGGCGATGCGCTGCGAGAGCTACCAGATATGAAGAAGCATGAAAACGTCCACGTTGAGCTGGAGAATTAATTCCTCGCGGCATAGCAACGCTAGCGACACCCCGCATCTTTCAGTTCATGTGAGATCATGAGATTGGACGGAAGTAGAGCTGGACCACGAACTCGAGGATTGTTCGTTGGCAGGGCGTACAGCGCCGACTTAACAAGTGGAAAAAGGGTGGTAAGAAAGTGCGAGGTAACCTAATCTAGTACATACGTCGCATACACTACACAGTAAACATGTGAATAAGGGCGGTGTCCTGCAACCCTGTCGAGCCTATAATGGATATCCACCGAGGTTTGTTTCCTCCTTCTGCCTATAAAATAGAAAGCTACGATAGGTCCCTGCCTAGAGCAGAGATGACTACAAGGGTTTCTTAGAATTAGATAGGTTGATAGGTAGATACGCCTACATGTAGTAAGGGACTGTATCAAAAATGACTATCTTTTCCCGGGTTTCCAATCGTCCAAACCGGCAATGCGGGGACCCTGTGCGCGGAAATGTGCATTTTGTGTGGGTAACGGTGCTTGACTGGGAATGTGGAAAATTACCGTTAATGGAACAGCCGATACGAAGCAGCCGGATCGAAGACTGGCCAGCTCAACCAAGTCCTACCTTAGCTCGATGCAGTAGACGTGTCTTACAATTCATGTGGCCCGGAGGTCGCAGGGTAGCTGCAGCTTTCCAATGCATCATCGATTTGTCTAAGGCTCGGCATTAAGTCTACGACCCCTTTACTAAGCAGGCTCCGCGACGAGATTGTATATCGCAGAAGCTAGCTGCGCTGTTTTTCTTTCGGTTCTTGTTTCAACTTCCAAGGTTCTTACCTATAATTCTAGGCACATATTAGCTTCTACCAATTCCTAATGGGACACACGTCGAGTAAGCTCCCGGCTTTAAAAAAGCATGTTCTATCGGTCAGGTCAGGAACAGGAACCTTGATGTGAACATCAAGCTCCGATCCCTAAAACGTAGCTGTCCAAGTGCCTAGCTTAAGTCGACGAAGGGACAAACACGCCAGCTTCGGGTTTCCGATTTGTTCTCGGATCGAAAGACGTGCATACCGCCAGGGGGTTCCACCGTAGCCGAGTACGTGTACGTGGTAGGTTCGGTCTGCCTAATTGAAACTGACACAAGCAACGAAGGACTTGCATAAAGACCCATCTGCAAGGAGCTTCGAGAGCGCTGTAGAATTAATTTATTTGGAAGGGACTCTGAAGCAGCGTGCGTGTATAGCGTATGTGTATGCCGGGGATGCCTAGTCTTCCTAGAAAAGGAGTATGATCGAGATAGACGGATTATCCGAATTATAGGCGCTTGCGCGTAGCTACCTCTATCTCTAGCGAATCGAAGGCGGTCATGCAGTTTATGGGAGGACGACCAGCCCTCTCATTTATCTCATCAATCCCCAGCGTCAGCAAGGGCGCAGCAATAGTAGAAAGTATGTAGTATGCAACGCGATCAGTCACTGATAAGGAATAAGAAAAGCAGCATCGACTACTGAGAAGAGCAGACTGATAGATAAGAGCGTAATCAGAAGTCTAAATCCTTAGCATTGATACTCAATTGACGGTCCCGGTTGCGGAGCAGATAGGAATAAGACGGGATTGAACGAGCCGCCTTTTTCAGGGTCCAGGGCTTTGTCCTTCGATATAAGCGCCAAACCTTATAGACCAGCCTTTGGCGAATTGGGAAATCCCTTGTGACCAAAACTCACTCCTTGTTAGCTACTTGTTAGCAAGCAGGCAAGTGACACACAATTCGACTTCTCTTCCTGTTCTAGCTCCAGCTCTAGTTCAGACTAAGTCAATTCATTGGCAATCACTCAATGAATTGTGCCTGCTATGCGCAGTATGTGCAGGCATTATATTCCCGGCTGAGCCTCACTCGCCGATCAGTCATCAGTGTAGCATTTGCAAAGAATGGCGTGAAATAAGCTCATCGGCGTTCAATTATTAGCTGCCATGTAGGTTAGCACGTTAGTTGTAATGAGGCGCATACTATGTACATACGTACGCGGAAGAAAAGGAGGATTTTGAGGAATAAGCGGTCGACAATGGTGTAATGATGCAATAGCAATAGTTGCTTGCGACTCCAATGTTGGTTCGGATCTACAAAGGGTTAAATCTTAGGTGCTATTAGCTAGAACAAGAAGCAAAGAGACGCGCAAATACGCAAAGACGCAAAGACAACGAGCAAAAGCCGCTTTAATATGACTAATGGCCACTTAACGGCACACAATTCTTTTCTAAAAACGTCTTTGATTCTACCAAGATGCAAACAATTCATAGATATCCAAAAAGGCAGACCGCCTTCCCCGGAATGGAGAGACTCGGAGGAAGCAAAGGAATGATTGAGTTTCAAGGACGATCAATTAGTGACGATGGACCTATCAAGATTGTGGAGAACAGTGTGCATCAAGAAACAATTATATGGAGACTTTCTAAGTTGGATCCAACATCAGATCCAATGAGATCAAATATAACCCTTGTCTAACGCTAGAAATGCCTAGCGTTTCTGGGGTCTTTGGATACATACATACTAGCATCCCATAAACTTGTACAGCTGTACATACATCTATACATCAATGGATTGGCAACATCCATGGGAATACGGTAGTAGCTTCGTAGCACAGACAAGTGCACACCCAGGTAGTTTGGTAGGGTTTGGTAGGTAGCCCCCAACAGGTCAGAGCTCTAGCAGGTTGTACAGCAAATCCTATTTGCTCAAGGGAGGTAAAAAGAATGGGGCACGGGCTTAGCGGAATCGGCTTCTAGATTTGGCTTGCAGTGTCAGGGCTCGTCGGGTTGGTCTTATCAATGTTATCATGCTGAAGAGTCACGAGTGACTACTAGGTAGTGACGAGTCTGATCTTCACTCATTGTTCACCATCGCTTCGCTGCACGTTTACTTCACTAAATATGGTACCTTACCTTCCAATTCTTGTCCCGTGAGCAACCTGATCGCCTCACCTCGACGTTCTAACTTACTTCCGCTATCTCGTCCTTTCTCCTACTTTCACTTTCTTCCATCATCCCATCCCATCCCATACCCGTATACCACATACCATATACCATAATTACGCCCACTGCACTCCCCATTTATTAAGAGTTCCAGAATTCTTCTTCATTGTACACCCCTTTGTGTTATTCTCTCATTAATTCACTTGCGTACCTACGATTATCTAATTCTATACATGTGCATTTGGCATTGACGGTTTGGGGACTCGATCCGGAAAAATACGTTGTACACGAGCTTTTACCACTGAATAACATCATTCTCGTCAGCACCAACCACCCCCTTGTCAATAGAGACCCTCAAGGAGTCACAGGAAAAGAAAAAGAAGATAAAAAAAAGGAGTGAAGAAAGCTTGCAGTGCATAGTGTAGACCGAGTCATTCATTTGATAATCGGTCAACTCAGTCAACTCAACATCGACGCCAATTTTCAATTTAGCTTGGGAAAAGGAAAAGCTACCTACATCATCTATCCCCGTACTCTCGACTTGCAGCTCTAGGTAGCTGCCATTTGAGGATCTCGCAGCTATCCATTGACTGCCTTCTCACACATCCGCACAAAACCCTGTTCACCACAGCTACAGCCTACAGCCTACAGCCTACAGGAGCCCGGGATTTTCATTCAACCTCTACTCAATTCTCACCTGACCTATCTGAGGTCTCATACTTAGTACGGTGCCCATCAATACGTTCAATCATATCATTCCGCACCTAATCTGGTAACCCTATGTTTTATTTTTAATATTTTTATTTCTTACCTCTTTACATACCTTTTTATCTACGTTCAACCGTTCAATCATCGTCTCTGGTTCCCCAATTCAACACAAGGGAATTGAAAAAGGAAAAGAAAAAAAGAGTCGCCTGCCGTCAGCTCTCAGGACATCAGTCATCACTTATCGTTTAGGTATCGTTGTACCTAAGTACCCTTGTGGCCTAAAATCATTCAAGGTTCCTCTGTGTGTCTTGTCTTGTCATTCGAAGGTGACACAGGCATCCCCGCCTTTCAAGGTTCCTGTCCCAGGTCCTCGATTCTCCGCCGACCGACCTATCGGATACCCTGCCTCTACGGAGTACATCATTTACATCCACTTTGACGTCCAGGTCCCGACCTAAGCCTTGGTCGTTTCCAGAGACACGCGAACTTTCTAACTGGTCTTCTCTTCGACTTCATTCACGCCTGTTGCCTCGTGCATCTTTACCCCCTTTTCCATCAACGAACCACCATCTTTTATCATCCACACCCACCCTATATGTGTACATGACGAATACTCGAGCTACCGATTCCGTCCCGATTCCCTTATAAGCCCCCGGGCTGCATTAACCACAGCTTCCTGTCATAGCTTAATCCACACAGGAAGTCATGGCTGATCCTCGAGCGCCTTCGGGCTCGTCCTCTCGTCGTGGGAGGGCTGCCGATGATGTCGTTGGTCAGTTCATTATTGGTTCTGAGATAGGTAAAGGTAGCTTTGCCCAAGTATATAGGGGCAGACATAAGGTCCGTATCTCCAAGCTCTCTATGGCACCCATCAGCATATCTACTCCCCTTCAGAGCCGATTCTTCCGTGCCTCTAGCTATTCTATTTGATAAAAGAGAGCTTGTAGTTGATTTTAAGCTCTCTCTTGTGTATTCTTGGCGCTACAGCCAACAGCGCGGCTCTCTTACCATGATCGTGAGTCACATTGAATCATCGCAGCTTGGCTAATGGAAACGACGCAGGTATCCGGTGCTTTAGTCGCTGTCAAATCCGTCGAGCTCGGACGATTGAACAAGAAGCTGAAGGAGAACCTATATAGCGAAATCAAGATCCTGAAGAAGCTTCGACATCCACACATCGTCGCCCTCCATGACTGCGTCGAATCCTCTACCCACATTAACCTCATGATGGAATACTGTGAATTGGGTGACTTATCATTGTTTATTAAAAGGAGAGACAAGCTGATCACGCACCCTGCTACATGCGATATGGCTCGAAAGTATCCTAGCGTCCCCGGCGCTGGACTCCACGAAGTAGTTATCCGACATTTCCTCAAGCAACTCGCGAGCGCCCTACAATTTCTTCGAGAAGGCAACTTCGTCCATCGGGACATTAAACCCCAGAACCTCTTACTGCTTCCATCTGTCCTACACAGAGAAATGGATAAGGATAGACATCCGATCCTTAGCGCTAGTCACGATTCGTTAATACCGGCTGTTGGGTTACGATCGCTACCGATGTTGAAGCTAGCTGATTTCGGCTTCGCCCGAGTCCTACCATCCACCTCCCTAGCTGAGACGTTATGCGGGTCTCCTCTTTACATGGCCCCCGAAATCCTCCGCTATGAGCGATACGATGCCAAGGCAGACTTGTGGTCTGTTGGAACCGTCGCATACGAAATGATTTGTGGCAAACCACCATTCCGAGCTAGCAATCATGTTGAACTGCTAAGAAAAATCGAAAGTTCGGATGCCCAGATCAAGTTCGGAAATCAATGCCAAGTAAGCGCGGATCTCAAGTCTATGATTCGCGCGCTTCTGAAGCGCGCCCCAGTTGAAAGGTTAAGCTTCGAGGATTTTTTTAGCCATCGTGTCATTGCAGACGAAATACCCGGTTTAGTTGAGGACGATATACCTCGGATCCAGAGACAGCCATCAAGAGATGTACGGCCTACCTCGAGGACCGAAGACTCTGACTTAATCCCGCGACGTGTGCCATCTCATCGCCGCTACGGCACTGATGCAGATGCGGTGCGTCAGGGTGCCGGTTCTCCCTCGCCTCGCGAGAGACCGCTTAAGCCGTCACCCCTATCTTCTCCAACTGAATTTAGTCCGTATCCGCAGCATCAAGATGTCTCGCACGCCGTTGAATCTCCTCGAGATGATATTGCTCCGGGTCTCGGGATCCGGCGACCACAACCGGTACCGTCCACGTCGGCGCCCGCTCGACCAGATTTGGCTGAAGCCCGCCGGAGGCGGGTACCATCCAATGCTTCACTCAACAGATATTCTCACGGCCAATCGCCTCCGCATGAAGAAGTCGGAAGGGGTAAGGGTAGGTCAGACCGTTCTGCGATAGCTGAACGAGAAAGAGCTGCCCAAGAAATTGCCTTTGAGCGAGATTACGTGGTAGTAGAGAAAAAGCACGTTGAGGTTAATGCATTCGCCGATGAATTGGCTGCGAAAGGAGCGCAAGCGCAAGCATCGTCTCCCAGATCAGGACAAATCACACGTCGCGCCACCCAACAGGGTGTCCCAACATCGACGACGGGTGCAATCCCCGCCCAGCCTTCCAATGCTCTTCAAATCGCCCAGGGTAGACAGCGACCTGAGCACTACCGCCGAGGTTCGTATGATAGGAACGCGGGTGCTGTGTCCAGCAGTCCTGGTTCTACAACATCTGCCATTTACAATGCGATTTCCGATGCAAGCTTGAGGTTTTTCGGCTTCAAATATCCTACACATTTGCTTGGCAAAGGTGCATCGCCTCCGCATCCTTATAACGCGTTCCCGACGTATCCCACTCCAACAGCCCCTGCTGGTCTCATCACTGATGGACGTCAAGGTGGCCCAATTGACGAGGATCTTCGCGTTGCTCAAATAATCGAGGACTGTGCGACGCAGAGTGACGTTGTCTGGGGATTTGCCGAGGTCAAGTACAAACAACTCGTACCATTAGCTCCATCGATGGAACATGGCCTTGGTGGAATACCCGCCGATAGGATAGCATCAGAAGAAGATGACGGCCTTACGGTGGAAGCAATCGTGGCGCTCTCGGAGGAAGCCCTTGTTCTTTACGTGAAGGCTCTTTCGCTGCTTGCGAAGTCTATGGACATCGCAAATATCTGGTGGACGCGTAGAAACCGCCTCGAGTCAACATCTGCACAGCACGTCATAAATCGCGACGCGACGAGTATTCATAACCTAATACAGCGGGTGAACTCAGCTGTTCAATGGGTTCGAAAGCGATTCAACGAGACTTTAGAAAAGGCAGAAGTGGTACGACTGAAGCTGCTTGAGGCCCAAAAATTGCTTCCAGAAGATCACCCTAGCCATCCTGTAAATAACCAGCTAGAAGTTGCTCTAGCGGGGACATCTAGTACCGAAGGCATTGTGTTGACGGCCGGTCTTAGCGCGGAGAAGTTGATGTACGAAAGGGCTCTCGAGATGAGTCGTACCGCCGCCATCAACGAGATCGCTAACGAAGATTTGCCTGGGTGTGAAATCTCGTATGTGACTGCCATTCGCATGCTAGAGGCGGTGCTGGATAACGACGAGGATTTGTCGAAGCGTAGACTTTCGGGATCTTCGAAGACCGAACGTGACATAATGCGGGAAGGTTCATCGTCCGAAATCAACTCGGACGATCAACAAGCCGTTCATAAGAGTATGTTCCCCTTCTCTATCAAACGAAGCCGGGCCGCTAACATCGAGAAAGTGATCCAAATGATCAACGGCAGACTTACGGCTCTTCGAAAGAAATTGCAGATGATAGCAAATGCCTCGAAGGCGCAACAAACCTTACCCCGAAAACGAAGCGGCGATGTTGCCCCGCGGAGTGTTCCCATAGGTGCTTGATGACACAAAAGGGCACCATTTCTCACGACGTATGATGACACGTAAAAGATTGCACTACAACTATTTTCGCCCCGCGGCCTTCATAATTTGTTTATTAACCCTTATCACTGCCTATGATTGGTGGCGGTGAGCTTCATCGTTCTCGGTTCGGACCATTATCTGGCGTTTAGGTGGCCACCTCGTTCAGTCTCGTTATACTTATAAGCATTCAATATTCTTTTTATTATCGCCGTCAAATCGGCATTTTTTATTTTTTATCTTTTTTTTTCCTTTCCGGACGAAAACGCTTTTAGGGACTCAGGGCGCTTGCCTACTGGATGATATGGGCGTCACTCGGTCTTACGTGTAAGATGGCGTGTCTGCGCAGAGCATTCTCTGTCGCAGTGTCTGGCGTAAAGGCGGGGACAAACGGCACCACGATTACGCGGTATTGGTTTGCCATGATCCTATACACGGGCGGTATAGGTTCCCAGACTACTGTTTGGCATCTTTTTCTTTGCAACAACCGAATACCCCCTTTGGGAGAGATCTGGGGTGTTCGTGGCTAGGGAAAGGGGGGATCAACCTGGTTTTCGTGTTTCCTTGATTTGCTTTGTTTCCTCATCTCGATGGTCGGTGTCACGGTAGAAATTCTCAGGTTCGCTAGAGCTGATTCGGGGCTGGTTTTGCATATGACTGGACCACCAAGGCCTCCTGTATCTACAACTGTATAAGGTAGTCTTACTCTTCTCGATACCGTATGAATAGCCAGGAAATTGACGACACGCTTTGGCCTTTTGTCTTTTGATCTCGAGATCTCATAAACAAGGTTTTGTGTGATATCACTTATGGACCTTGTGATTATGTCGACACTTGCAGGATGCCTGGAGGATCGTACAGGACCTGGGAAGCTTATGGATGTTACGCGGAAGTTGTCCCGTGACCTAGGCGAGGAACTCCAACTCTCTATAACAAGGCTCGAAGCAAGCTCATATTATGACGTGCACTTGGAAGTTGGCACTAATGCCTGAACTACAGCGTCGATCGATCTGTCGCTATAGGGCAACCTAGCTTGCTTAGATGGCTAGCCCAGCCGGCAAAGCTAGGTTGACGGGTTGTTTCGTGTTTACAGATCTACGAGAGCTAAATGCCGGTTTTGGGTTAGATAGCCTAACATAGTCCATGGAACCATCTCTCTGCACCCTCGCCCCCCCTTTTCTCTTCTGCCGGACTGGATCCGGCCCTACGTTAGTATACCCACCCGCTACTCCTTTCTTAATCTGTTTGCTTAAGTGTGGTGTTTGAGATTTGACAGTAGCTTCGTTTCTCATAGCGGCGAGATCGTATGTAATGAATGGGTGGATACGATAGATAGGATCTCGCTCTACTTTGGACGGGTGAAAGTCTAGTGAATGCGTAGGGTGACTAGGTTAGGGACTATCTAGACTAGCTGCATTGACTCGGGTTACTGAATGGGTTTATTCTACTAAAGAGGTTGGGTTCTGCGGGGAAAGCTATGAGGTATTGCAGATTTTATTGATGTAAGTTGGTGCAGTTGGACATATGGATACTAGGTATGTCAAGGTTTCTCGTACTTAGCTTTACAGCGTGACCCTCCTCAGCACATGGTCAGCTACGTAATAAACCAAGGACCCTAATGTAGCTAAGACGAGGGACGATCTACGGCATAAGTTAGGTTGACAGCCGAAAATCTACGACTAAATGGGGAGGGCAGGGGCGGGATGTTGTTGTCGTTCGAAAAGGTTGCGCGACCTTGCATATTTGATTTTGATACTTTTCTCTCGACTACCCAGGTGCCGATCTGCTGCCATCTGCCTTAGCACTTTTAGGTACGTATCGAAAGCAAGCACGGAAACCCTGCTAAATTTAGGACCCGGCGAGGGATCGAAGCACCAATGAGGTAATTGTCTGCGTCGATCGGTGGCGGGGTTTTAAGAATAACCTGTGACACGGATTGCTGTTAGGGTCTATCGAGCTCTTTTCCTTCCCGTTGACGATGTAAGTTTTCTTATTTTTATTTCAACGGAAACCGTATGTGCGTTTGCGCGTGAGCTACATTTGGAACAGGAACATGCGCGTCTCGTAATGCCAACACGAAGGTAGACGATGCCAAGCAGGAACCGGATTCGACAAAGGATGACAATCCCATGGAGCTTTCCTCTACGTAGGTAGGTGCTAAGGTGCTACAGGAACGCCGTGGGGACGGGTTGGGTCCGGGTCGACGTCATCTCTGGAACTTGGGGACTTAGGACTTGGGATTTGAGAAGCCTTATTAGGTACGTTTTTGTATTAGGTTAGGTACTGTCCATGTATGATGTTATGAGATATGTACTAGGTAGGTACGTAAGTAGATGCATAGGTCAGGTATGTACTAGGTATGAATATAGCAGATATTGGTAGGTACGCTTGACCCGCCCCCCTCTCTCAGGTGAAGTATTAGCCCTATGCGTATTGGTCTAACTTGTTAAGCTTGCCAAAGCCCAAGCTTGTCAATATGTAGCGATGATGGAGGGTGCTGGCGCTAAAGCGGCTGAGCGGGCTAGAGTGAATTCATTTGCTCTGTTTTAGGAAACGCCCCCATTGATCTAACCCCCTCGGCCCCCTTTCCGCCTTGCCCTATCAAAAACTTGGAAGTTGTAGCATATGACGCTGACAGCATGATAACTGCCCGGCATAATATAGAACGTGGTGGCAACAGTTAAACGCAAGATAGAGGAAGTACGCACGTACAATATGTTTGGTTGCTGGTTATTTACATATGACATATGTATGTATAGTGTATACAGATCTGCGGATTTGCATGCAACGTTAGATGCATATTCGGAGTGTGGCTTGTCGCTTTGAGATAAGTTGCACTTTGATGTAAGTGAGTCGAAGCCGGGTCTCAGTTCACCTACCTATCAAATAACGGTTTCGCAGGTTGTGTACCTTGTGCTAGAGCTAATCCTGGGCTAATAATAGCTTCGATGTTCGAGCGAGAGTCGGGTCGACATACTTATTTCTGCGATCGTACGGAATATGTGTAAGTACTGATGTACATATAGAGAAGACGGATTAAACATTTTGAAGGTTCGAATGCAACTTGAACCATGTTTCAGACAAAGAATGTCAACCCTAAACAAGTTTAGGATAATACGAGGAAAGTCTAGGTGTTTGTGTGCCTGTCTAAACTTGCAGACTTGTAGGCCTCAAATCCTCCCCGAATACCTGCTGGATGCAGGTCTTTGTTCAAGCGCCAGGCTCTAGACCCTGATGTAAGCATGTAAGCCGGTAATGGGGTAGCTAGAAAGGTAACCTAGAGGCTTAGCACAGTGTCCACGATCACTTTTCAGGACTAACTACATACTACGTTCCAACCCTTTTCCAACCATCACAACACACTTTTATAAAAATATTAGAAAAAATAAGAAGGGGGAAAATAGAACGTTTGTGAGGACCTAGGTAGCTTGGCAAGCTGTTTATGATCGTTTCCGAGGCTCGTGTATGGCCAGAGAGTTTCCCCCCCAACTTAACTTAATCTAGTCGTCGAGTTTATCTCTATGGTGGATTTACAGATACGAGACCTGTAGGTTTGAATCGCATCGAATATGGGGGTGCCAAGTGTAAAAAGGAAATGGTCTAAAAAGTAAGCCGCTTAGGGCAGAACCTTCAACGTTCAATGGCGAAATTGCGGTAATAGGAAATCGCTCCAAGGCTATGGCTTGCATGATAGAAGAGGCTCGTATGGTGCTGTAAAAATGTTGCCTAGGGAAATAGGTGATTAGCAATGTCTGGATATTGATGGCATCCGTTGTTAAAAGAAGCTGCTTCGTACAAACATATCATTTAGAAGTCAGAAACATCAACGAGGTTATTGGTTAGATCGTATAAAAGAGCCCTCGGAAACCGCATAATACAAGTTGAAGCTTCCATATTTGACATTCCAACATCCGAATTTACATACATAGCTGTATGATGTTTTAAGAAGGTGCTAGGTACCCTACTACTCTACACGTATTACACAGTACATCAGCCACAAGTGACAGAGTTGCATTAGGTAGTAGCGATGTCCACCCGGGCCAAATAAGGTAGGCATAGGCAGGTGGGTAGGGTGGGTAGGTAAGGTACGAAGTACTGAGAGGGTCCGCTGCTCTCCAGCGTCCAGCGTCCAGCATCCTCTTCTTTCTATTCAATCTAACCAATCTTTTCTACCTCTTTTAATAACTTACCCTGTTGTTGTAATATTGAGGCCACCACATTCACTTTTCCCTCTTCCAAACAACACCTGCACCTGATGCCTCTCATGAACGCGTTCGAATATTCTCAATTTATAAAGATTGTCGACACCTAATTCGTTAGGGCCCGGTTCGAGCTTGTCCTGAAACATTTCCAAGGTTACGGCCTGGACCCGACGCACATATTACCTATCCCATTCCTGTACCGTGCTGTACCGTCCTGTCTATCGTCGGCAATCAATCAACAATCCACTTACCTACCCACCACGTCCACACAACAACGCCCGCACTTCGACGTCGTGTTCACACCTCACAACTCACGCCTCTCAACACGACCATTCTCCAAGATTCTTCCAACTCACCGCCGATTCACACGATAGCATTAAAAAAAAAGAGAAGAGCGCGCGCATCTATTTCCACCACGATTCTCCAACGTAGCCCTGCAGACGGTCGCGGTCACCGTCGCCCGCCCGCGCGTCATAGACACAATGACGTCTGCCATCACCCCGTCAAAACCACATCAACGAGATCCGCAAATGAGTCCACCACAACAGCCCCATCATCCTGCTCATCCTGGCTCACCGCCGAGCAAACGTGATCTGAAGTCGTGGTGGAAGAGTTTCCAGACCCGAGCGAAACATCAAGAGACCCAAGGTAAGGGCGACACCACATACACCATATACACCACATATCACACACCACACCACACCACACGCCAACATCCATCCTGCTGCTGTGCCAATCAGGACTCCATTTGGTGTTCTTCTCTTTCAACCCACATCCTTTTTATCCCATCGCCCTACCGACCCGATCAACGCAAAGAATCCTTGATGGATTTTGTCTACATTGGAATGCCTTGCCAAGTTCGCCATCATGAATAGCTGGTTTCAAGCTTCGGTTGCTTGCTTGGCAAGGCCTTTATTTTACTCCGATAGGATAGAGGGTCAAAAATGCATGGAATGCGCCCGCAATACAAAGATAATGACTAATATGAGTTCTACGACAGACACACAGCCTAAGGGTATATTCGGAGTCCCTCTACGCCAAAGCATCACCTACGCGAATGTTGCTATTTCGCTTGTCGACGAAAAGGGGAAGAGCTATATTTACGGATATGTACCAATCGTGGTAGCCAAATGTGGTGTTTTTCTGAAGGAGAAAGGTTGGTGAAGATTCCTGGAAGGATTTGGCGCTAAGCTGACAACCGCACAGCCACCGGTGTTGAGGGAATCTTCCGTCTCAGCGGTTCGGAGAAGCGCATTAAGGAGTTGAAGCTACAATTCGACTCGCCCGATCGATATGGCAAAGGTCTCGTGTGGGATGGATATACGGTCCATGATGCTGCTAATGTCCTCAGACGATACTTGAACGATCTTCCCGAACCCGTCGTCCCGCTAGATCTCTACGAACGGTTCAGAGATCCCCTGCGTGGGCACACGAGGCAGGCTGTTGGCGATAACGAGGGCACCCAGCTGGTCGAAGATTTTAACGAAGTTGAAGCTATTGAGAAGTACCAACAGTTGATTAAAGATCTGCCTCCGCTCAATAGACAGTTACTTTTATACATCCTGGACCTTCTAGCAGTCTTTGCCGCCAAGGCTGACGAGAATCGAATGACGGCGCAGAATCTGGCCGCTATCTTCCAGCCAGGAATGCTCTCTCACCCGCAGCATGCCATGGCACCCGAAGAGTACCGACTGAATCAATGCGTCATTATTTTCCTGATTGAAAATCAGGACCATTTCTTGATTGGTATGCAAGGCACCGCCACAGACGAGAAGACTAAACAAGAAATTGAGAAGGGACCGCCGACCGTTGTGACGCCCGCGACCCCGAGTCGCAGCACAGGTGTGGTAAGATCCGCCTCGAATGCGAGTGCTGGCGCTGAGAGCGTTAGCAGGGATGGCAAGATCCGGAGGAATCGTTCTACGTCCTCGCGACACTCCTTACAGTCCAACGGTGCATCCACACCCGGCAGCCCGGCTCTGACACCAAACAGCGGGCTTGCTAGAAGCAACACAGTTCCATCAAAGAAGTCTCCCCATATTCCTTCGGGCCGGTTTCCGTCTCGGCAGAGTTCACCAACCGTTGCGGTAGCTCCAGCTTCGCCCTCGCCCGCTGGTCCTACCAGAGCCGCTCCTGCAACAGTGGCTGAAGAAGGCCCGGCTGCGCCCGAACGGTCACCAGCAACGTCTCAACATCTAACCCCGATGGCAGCAGGTTCACAACCGGCTGTTAGAAGCCAGGAAAGATTGCTAGGACCCCCTAGCGAATTTGTGACGCCTCTGAAGGAAAGGAACCTTCAGAGTCTGTTCCAACGAACTCCAGGTTCCGAAGGCGAAAGACGACAACCCAACAAACTACGAAAGAAGCGATTAGCAAGCAGTACGAATCCAAGTGCACAAAGCTCTACGGCTTCGCTGCCCCATTCAGAGGCAGTTTCTCCAGCAGTCGAGCCACCGAGTAACCCGATAGAGCACAAAACCCTCCTTGATCCGACTATCTCAGAGAACGGCACATCTGCCGAAACTCCTTCGGAGCCCACCCCACGAGCGTCTCAAGTACCATCCCAGGTACCGGCTCACTCACCGTCTCAGGTACCGTCTCAAATACCATCTCAGGTGCCACCTCAAGTACCTTCTGCGAGTACTACCCAAGTTGACCAAGAGCATCTCAACGCGCTGAAACCAAAGTCCTCACCGTCCACTTCTTTACATTCATCATTTAACGAAGGATCTGACATAGAACAAGTAGAGGAACACATGCCAGCCCCCTCTGCCCCGGACAACGGTGACAAGGAGAAGAAGCGCCGGTGGCGCATGTCTCGGCGGAAGGAAGATATGATGCCTAGCACTCCTCCCCAAAACTTAGGCAACAACAGTAATGCCGAAATGAGCACTTCATCAGTTGGAAGTGGACAGCGGCCGCGCAAAAGTTGGAATGGCGACTCTTCCGACGTGGCAGCAGCGCTAGCCGAAGCCGAAGCAGGAAATAGAGAGAAGGAAGAACCCAAGGGACCTCTTGGATGGATCAAAAATAAATACCGGGAAGCAAAAGAGAATGCGGAGATCAAGCGCACGAAATCTCCTCCTCCTAGGGACCTAGGACAAGGGTTCCTTACTCCAAGCGGGAAAAGCGTGGATACTATGGGGAGCATTGATGAGAAAGGGATGTCGACAACTTCAAATCCTACCCAGACTGTCGGCCCAGCTCCCGAGCGAAGTTCCACGCCTGCTCCACACGACGTCCCGTTACCGAACTCCCCACCACCTACTCAGGCGACACATAATGAGAGGCCCTCTAGTACCTAGTTGGAGGGGGCCTCGCGTCGAGGTAGAAGGAGGAGTAGTGTCTACTGGGACATGACAATCAGATTAGTCAGTTCGTCGAGCGCGGTCCTGCTCAGAAATCGCAGAGATTCTCAAATAGGCGACCTGGACGGCCAGGATAATTAGTCCTTTCGAACTTTTTTTGTTGGGGTTGCCTGGAAACCAAAAAAAAAGAAGTGATGACACGGGTTAGCGAATGGGTCGGGTGAACGGGTGAACTGATGCTTTTTGAAAGTTTGATGATGAGGTTTCACGTTTTTGGAGGGGAATATTATGTTTTTGTCGAAGGGAAGTTTTTTTTTGGACGATGAGCCCCCGTTCCAACGGGAAGATAAAAAAACGGAGAAGAGGAGATTACTTCTTCATGGATACCCCCTTCCCCTCTAAAGGGTTTGTATGTCGTTTTTTGGTTCAAACTTTTTTTTATAAAAAAAAAAGAAAACAACGCGCTGTAATGTGGAAATTCCTTTTTTTTTTATCCCATCAAATTTTATCGATCTGATATTAAGATCGGGTTTCAAAAACCGATAACTTGAAGCCTTGCCCCGTTTTTTTAAGGACCTTGACCGAGTCTTTGGGACTTAGGTTGTATCGAAACGCCCTGTTTTGGAAAAGGGTATCGTAAGGTGGGATGGCGTCGAAGTCGAATTGGTGCTTAATAAGTTCAACTCCGTGTTGATTCTTGGTATAGCCTTTTCGTTTAGGTGCGATTGGAGTTGAGGAGACCGTTCGTTACGTAGGCACGTAAGGTGTACGAATACACACTTGTAGCAACCGGGCGGTTGGTCGGAGCGTCCCGTTTTTGCTCACGGGTGTTGATACGGGGATCGGCCGGCCGGCCAAGTTTTAAGCCGCGATTGGGTAGTAGTCGACGGACGACGAAAGAGAGTAGAGTTCTTCAAGAGAAGAGAGAAGATTTATGATTAGTACCCCTCTCCCTTATGACCTTGGAGTCGGGGAGTAAGGCATAAATAGCGGGTAGTTTTCTTGCGAGAATCAATCGGCGAATAATAGAAAAAGCTGGTCTCTAATCATAAATTTTTGAGTCGACTTCGAAGGTGATGATCTTAGTGATGAGCCGAGTAATATTCCTTACGTATTTTCCCGTAGGGGAGTTAAGGTCAAATACGAGTTAGGACGCGCCCCGTCCCGTTAAGAACATTCCATCTTCCCGGTGGAAGATTCGGCGAGGAGCAAGCACTCACTTAGTGGCGTGACGTCTAGAAGGTGAGGGATTGACATATCGATCTTAGGTTTAATTGCTCTAGGTACTGATCATCTATAAGAAACCCCATCTGTCTAAAAGTCTACATGACATAATCGGTGGCCTCAGATATAGGCATGGCGCGTATGGATACGAATTCCAAGGGGAATACGACAAAAGGGGGGTGGCTTAGTTAGCGACCGCTGAGTGCTAGTCACATAGTGCATGCCGTGCTTGCGCAGCGCGGTAAGTCTAGACCTACATACGAAACGGAGTCGCGGGAAGATGATGGATAAAATAAGACCACTTCAACAAGGACATAGAATTTCCACAAGCAGCGCTTACGACGCAGAAGATGTAATGGCTAACAGTATTAGTCGAATTCTGACTACCTACCTCCCCACCTCCTGGATCCCCTTTCGCTTACTAATCACCTGAAATTCTATACGATTATGGGAGATTGACGTAGTGAACCTACCTAACCTTGGAACTTACCATATTTTGCACCTAGTAGACTAGGTAGGTACTTGGCTTGTAGCGTGCGACGATGGTGGATACCTGTGGTAGAGTTAGCTTGGTTATAGAAGCGATTCGTAAGTCTAAAGGCTGGAACAGCAGCTAAAAAGACTAAGTAGATGGTCTTGGTTGTTGTGTGCATCCACTGGATGCTTTTTCGAGACTTCATGCTAGATTTTGGAGAGGGTCCTTGACGGTGCATCTCCCCTCTCCTGCATTACTATACTGTGATAAGATGTGCAAGCTCCCTTTTTGCATCTACGCCGACTCAGTCGAGTGACGAAAGCAGTCCAAACTTGAACCAGGCGATCGGTGTACATCCACCATCTCTTCCAGTCGCAAAGCGTTAATAATGCTGACCCGCTCCCTGATCTCATGCTCGTCCGTATTTTCATACATGGGTATCTCCTGCTCTTCAAGAAAAATATGAAAACTTTTAAATGCCATTGCTCGCGCACCCCCATGCTGTTCCAACTGTGCCTAGTGTATACTCATCCAAAATTCCCTGGACACTGACATATGTTCCGGCCGAAAGGAAGAAAACGCCAGTCAAGATAATGATAATATTCAAAATGCCCTCGATCCAACCACGGAATGTCCGGTCCTTGAGGAATGCGACGGATCCGTCAGCTTTCCGCATGCGGAAATAGGCAACACCCCAGAAGATGAACCCAAAAAAGGAGTCGAACAGCGAGGACATGAGGGAGAGAACTATATTTTTTGTTAGTTGAGAATTGGAAATAATGAATAGCTAAGGCTTACGGGAGTTGAAAAAGGGGATTGAATTGGCGATAATGAAAGCGAGAACCCATGTGCAGACTAGATGGAATGTTAGCATAAGAAATAAGATCGCCATGCTGTACAATCATACGTAGAATAAGCGCCCATGTTACCCATCCAACGACTGTATGTTCGTTCCTATGTCGCGAGTGCTGGAATATTCGGAAGAAGATAAATCGAGACGACACCGAGGCATACAAAACACCCAGGAAGATAATTGTAGGAATCATGAACGAGAACGCGATCTTCTTGTATAGCGGGATCAGAGATCCAAAAGCCGGCGATGTCATATACTGGTTGCCTACGAACGCATATATGACTGCGCCAACAATGCTGAAAACGAGGATCTCGAGAATAGTGCATGCCCATAGAGCCTTCGGGAAATCTCTCGGCTCACGCATCTCAGCAATAAAGCTAGGAAGAGTAATCTGTCCAATGAAAGTGTAACTTTATAATTGTTAGTAATAATGCACAAGTTGGTGGTTAGCTCATACCTGATGTTAAGGAATGCCCCAAGACCCGCGACGAACGTGGTTCCAAGGACCGGGACAGCGGTGACGATTGGGTTACCGAACGGCAGTGCTTTCCCGGTGTCAGGATCGGTAGCCGGTTCGGCAAGGAAGCCTGCAGGGTGGCTTTGAATGCCAGCAAAAATTGTGGCTAGGATGACCGAAATAAAAGTAAACGCCGCTGATGCAGTTCCAAGCTTCGATAGCATGCTAAAGGTACGGGGTAGAGATGATAGCCAGCAAATAACAGTGATAATAGCCCCGAAAGATACGGTCTGGCAAGAGACGCTCGAGTTCGGGCCGACCATGGTGTTTAGATATTTAGCCCCAACGAGAACGTGGAGACCCTGCAAAGAAATTAGATTTAGGGATATGACAATGACCTATAAATGACGACTTACCTGAATGAAGGTGTTGTTCAAGATGAACATGAAAGCCGTGAAGTACCAGGCCCATTTCTGGTCCCAAAATAACATCTGACCAATGTCACATACATCCCTAACCTCGGGATGTCGTAGACAAAATTCCCATAGTACGATGGAACTGGGGGTGAAATGATTAGTAAGGCAACGTGGTAAGGTAGATTTGGACAACACACGTGTATAGAACTATGAGAGCTTGAACAACAGTAAGAATAAGCCTAAACGGTGTGTCAGTCACTCCATATAAGGTTTACCAAGATAATGCCTAGAAGCTAATAAAGCTTACCCAGGAACAAGTCCGAGAACACTGTAGGACCATGGGAAGCTCATGATGGCCTATTAATCTGTTAGACTCATTGACAGCAACGTGGGTAATGAAAGCGAAGGCTAAGCTAAGCACATGGAAAAGAAATCATATAAGAGAATTAGGCGATCAAATTTGTTATTATCTGGGCAAAGAGGGATAACTGTAAACTCACCAAGCAGATATATTCAGAGAACAACAATGCGGCTGTCTATTATGGAGCAAAGTCAAGATGTTAGTAAAGTGTTAGATCCTTGGCTTCTCGTCGGGATTGGTACGGAGGCTTGGACAAGGCTTGGATAAAGCTTGGACACACCTTTTGCCAACTACATGTACGATATTGAATAGCACAATTGGCCTCTTCTTCGAGCTGCTTGTTAAGAATTGCATCGCTGCTGACATTGCTGTCCGAATCTCGACCTTCAATGTCGAGGGGTATTATCTGAGGAGCGATACGGGGCCCTATCTTGACATTAGGACCGCCAAACCAAGCAGACCACCCTTGAGGTCTGGCGGCCTCGTGGGCTTCGAAGTTCGGCAGCTCGTTTGAGTAGTCCGCCTTCATATTGACGATAGGCACAAGCCACCGAAGTTTAGCAAAATAAGGAGGAAGAGGAGGAGGAGAAGGGTGCCGAGTGAAATACGGCGTAAGCTTAAGTTTAGTTAATCTCTAAATCCGGTAGTCTCACCCATTACACGGAACAGGAAATTCTGTGTTTATCGGGGGTTGAAACGGTTGTGCGTATAAATAGATATACTTCGAAGGCAAGACGCAAGACGCAGAACTCAAGAAAGAGAGAAGAGAGAAAATAGAATTATAAAAGAATGCGGAGCGGAATCAAGTTTAAAAAGCTGAGGCGTTGTACATTGCAAGTTGCGATTGCCCTGATATGCTAGGAGAGGACGACCATCCATGTATGTATTCTTACTAGGTAGGTACATACAGGGTGTACCGAATATATTTAGCGTAGAATAAGACTATAAAGGACCGACCGAGCAAGGTACTTTATCCTCATACATGTACATATGTGTGGGAGACGTAATACTTTGCCTCGTCGATGTCATGAGGATTCAACTGCAATTTTAGTCACGGCACCGACGTATGGGGTATTTTCCTTTGACATTACATACACCGCAGACATTCGTCAGTTTCTACTAAGAGCCAACCGCATACGACCTGAGACTTAAAACAATACACTATTCGGTTACCTGATGTGCTAACCGAATAGGCGTCCCCGAAATAATACACAGGGTGATTGTCCCTCGTGGGGGTTGTTATTGGTCTCTTCATCCTCCTCCAAAGCCAAAAGATAAAATTAATCTCGATCTAGTAATAAATCGACCGGATGCGCCTCATAACTTTGCATACGCTAAACCCAAAGCGGCATTGGATTGATCACGCAACTTCCCTCAGCTATGACGACTGATAAGGTCGTTACACCGTGACGGGGCACTTACCGCTCTATTGGTGTCACCGAACCCGTTAGCCACATACAGCATTTGTACTACCTACCTACTATGGGGTAGCTACTCAGCCCAGATCAAGGCTATTTCGCTCATACCTGCTAGGTACCTAGAGACAGAGACCTTTGTTATACTATGTATAACCTCCACGTATAGCTTCGCAAACTAATAAACAAGCTAGCATGGTTGTATCGCGCGGTATGATGATCGCAGATGGCCACAGGTACGTAAATACTATGCGTAAGGGTAGCATTAACCACTATTATACCAAGTTGATGATAGATGATTGGACATCTCAACCATCAAACACGATACTCTAACCAGGCTGCTGGGTCGGATCTCTCGCGTGCGCCGGACCGTTATTTTAGTCTATGGGGCAAATCGAAACTTCGATACCCGGATGTTTCAACTGTGCCAACAGCATTGCGCGATCGAGTAGCATTCTCTCTCTGAGATCACGACATGGGAACCAGCAAGCCAGGATACACAACTTGGCCACACGTCATCTTCCGATTTCGTCTGTAGGTAGGAAGACACGAACAGGATTCGTCACTTTGATTGAGTCGGACGGTCCGTGTTTTGTTTATGTAAAATGTTGAGTAAACTTGGATGTGAGTATAATGAGTTGTAGTCTGAGACAACGTGCTACGAATTAAGCGGGAATGTTCTGAAGACGGCAAGCAAGGTACGTATTTATAAGGTACACATGCTCTCAGAACAACTTTATCTAACTTTTATTAAGACATGTCGATATGGACTTAGTTGTGGAAGACAACAATCCTGTCCCTACCCATCATCACGTGCTAATCAAAGAACAACTCCAGAGCAGATTCATTTTAGCTCCGCAACTGAGTAAAGGGATACTTATACCAACTTGCATCTTCTCAATTTGTCATCGATGTTTCTGGTTATGATACATCCTCGGCCACGAAGGCGCTATTCTTGAAGGAGAGTATAATATGCCATACCTTTGACGATAATGTCGAACGCCGATACCACACCTGCAGGTTCGAAGCATCTAACGAAGCCGTGCATGATGGTTGAAGTCTGCAAGTATGTTTCATATAAGGAGAATCAACCTGTCGCCCCAGGTCTTACAATGTCGAAGTCTAGCCCAGCGTCGCGGCGGGCTGCTGTTCGTGAGACAATGTCCACACAATTGAAAAGGCGGCTCGCAATCTGAGGGACATATGTGGTTAGCTAGGGCTCAGTACGGCTCTTCGCAGTTCAGCATCCATTCCGTTGTCTCTGAACTGGATGGAATGATGCATCATGTATTCCTGAAACTCATCGGAATATCAACCGATTGATGAATGAGTTTCTTCCGGAAACCCAGATGATTATATTGTCTACCGGTCGATGGTCGGATTGGATGAATTGAGGGTGGTTGGAAAGGGATAAAAGCTCCAAATATTACCAGCTCAGGAATGGAGGAATAATAGAGAGAAGATGACTGGCCATTTGCCGATCCAAGGGTCCAGCTCCTACACCCATCTACTCCGCAATATTTAATTTCCCCGCGAAAAAGCTTTCCAGCCTCTAGGATCCTTTCCCTATTCAGCTGAATCCGTCCTAGCGGGTCTAGCTTGTATGGATTCACCTTAGCAAAGCGACATCGGCTCCGGATTTGAGACTTTCTCGTCGCGTTTACAACACGACTTCTCTCTTTTCCAGTTGTCAAAAATAACGACACGTGAGAGTCACTTATCATTCTGGCTGTAGGCCGGTGCTGTTTGGGCCTCGAAAGATCTAGAGCTCTAAAGCTAAAGTCCACGATTTAACGGAGGCTTACTAGAGTTATTAGAGCTAGAGATCGCCGTGACAGCGTGCCCAACCCCTAGGCCGAATGACCGAGAGTCAGCACGACTCAGCAAAATTTTATTATTTATAAGCGAGGCCGCTCACACCCGTCTCGCGGGTCGTCCTATCTATTGTCGAGAGTTGGAGTCATTTTGCCTTTTATAGACTTGTTTGGGTAACATTCTAGTTGACCCTGATTGGTTTAATTGAAGATGCGTGTTGGCAAGAATTCCCGTACGTCGCGATTCTCTAGTAACCCCCGCTGTCTGACTCCAACTTCTAGTCGTAGATCGCATCGCGTTCTTAGGCGGAGTCTTCGGATATCCTAGGCTTGTGGCATAAGATTTGGTTAATAGTGATGTCTAACTATGTTTCCTTCGCAGCGAACGCCCCGAGCGATTCGGATAAACCAAAAGAAGAGATTATTGGAAACAACACTTACCATCCCGGCATTGCCGATATCGAATATGATGAGCTTCACGTACAATGCCCGCCTCATACCACGGAACGGAAGCTCATTACCAAAATCGACTGGCGGTTGATACCGTTTTTGTGTATTCTGTATCTTCTCGCCTTCTTAGACAGGGTCAATATCGCGAATGCGAAGTCTTTCCACCTAGTAGAAGATCTACACCTCAAGGATACCGAGTACAACACCGGTAAGCAAATCTAGCCCGGAAAACACCTATTTACTAACATCAGAGGCCGTTAGCTTTAACCATGTTCTTCGTGCCATATATCGTTGCCGAGATTCCTAGTAATATCTTGATGAAAAAGTTCTCTCCCCGTGTATGGCTCCCGACTTGTATGCTGGGGTTTGGTATTGCATCCGTATGCCAAGGTCTTGTCCAGAATTATTCCGGTCTCCTTGCGACTCGATTCTTCTTAGGTCTATTTGAAAGCGGAATGTTTCCAGGTAAATCAACAGTTCAGAAATCATAATCCTAGACAAAATGACTAACGTTTGTTTTAGGATGTTTCTACCTCATTAGTATGTTGCCAGCTTGAAGAGTAGTATAAGCTACATCTCATAACGTGTACTTTTACATGTGAATAATCGCTAATATTAGTCTGTTAGGCATGTGGTATAAACGAAGCGAGTCACAGAAGCGTTACTCCTTATTCTTCTCATCCACTTCTCTGGCCGGGGCTTTCGGGGGTCTCTTGGCGTCTGCCATTGGAAAGAGTACGTCTATCCGTTTCTTGCAACCTTTCTCGGCCTGAAAGGGTTTTCATAATGTACTTATGGATGTATTTTCATCGACGTAACTAACTAATTTGCTGAAAAGTGCAGGGTATGCGCGGATACAACGGTTGGCGTTGGATTTTCATACTAGAAGGATCCCTTACAGGCCTCGTTGCGATTATTTTCTTCTTCATATTTCCCTCGTTGTGAGTTGTTTCCTCTCCGAGGCTTGGCTCGCATGACTCTAACCTGGCGAAGTCCTGAGGAGGCCAAATGGTTGACCGAAGATGAGCGGGCGTACATAAAGGCTCGTTTACAAGCCGACCAGGGCCACAACGCCGCAGAACGAAAAATAACGCTCCGCGACGTCGTGAAAGTGATGAAGGATCACCGCATCTGGCTCGGTGGATTCATGTACTTTGGACTCATCGTTCCGGCGTACAGCTATGCTTTCTTCGCGCCAACCATTATCTCGACCTACCACTACGACGCAATCCAGACGCAGCTACATAGTGTACCTCCTTGGGCAGCATCGTTCGTCTTCTCTATTATCATGGCTGCGCTATCTGACCGGTTACGTCACCGCGCCGCATTCGCGCTGCTACCACTTTGCTTGTGTATTGCTGCCTTTGCCACCCTTCTCAAGGTCCACAACAACACACCCGTCCAATACGCAATGTTGCACCTAGTCACGATGGGTACGTATAGTATTTTACCTATCACCGTGTGTTGGTTTAGCATGAACCTTGGCGGGCATCATCGCAGAGCCATTGGAACCGGCTGGCAGATTGGATTCGGCAACATAGGCGGAATCATCGCAACTTTCGCCTTTCTCAGCAAAGATTCTCCGGAGTTCACGAAGGGCTATGCGATATGTCTCGGGTTCACCTGTGTTAGCGGTATAGCCTCAGCCCTGTATCTCATCTCTATCTACAGCGAAAACCAGAGGAGAAAGAGGGCCGTCCGGGACGTCGGTTTATCGGAGTACGAGAAGACTGAGTTAGGAGATCTTAATCCTGAGTTCAGATACATGTACTAGCGAGTATATGGTCAGATGTGGGCTTGTAAATAATTTTTGAGTAGAAGGGGAAGACAGAAAATGGGGATAGTATGGGTAAGGATTTAGATGAGATGATCAGTCACGATATCTACATAGCTAATATTCTGTGTCATATACCTACCGAATATTTTGAACCATTTAGCGTGATAATATACTGTTTCTACAGCTACCTACATCGTAGCCTGTGGCTAGCCGGAAAAGTATTCGTGCGTAACTCTCGTCCGTACTGGTCCATATCCTAAGAAAGGGGCAAATCAATGAGGTATTATCAGAAACGCTCCAAAAGGTTTCTACGTCATAGAGCGCTCTTATTACCAGTATTTGTTTTAAAATCATATCATTCCAAGCCTAAGGCCCGCCTCGATATCAAACTGCTCATCTTGAGACGAACTAGGCAGAGACAGTGGTCTCAGCGGCGCATATACCCCAGCATCCGAATCGACCAGGAGCGGTTTCAACAGCTCCTCGATTTCCTCCAACTGGCTTTCCAAACCCGGCACATTCAATCCTCTCAACCTGCGCATACTCTCCCGCGCCCCTATCCTCTCTACAGCCGTCAAAGGGCGCTCCCGCTCTGCGCGCACTGCCCGCGCAACACCCGGTCCCCACCTCCAAACCCCATCCTCGCGCTCATCCGCGTACGCGACCACATTATCGCGGCGCACAACAACGACCTGGTCCACCACATACCCGTCCCCATCACCATCCCCCCCTCCATTTCCCCCTTCCCCATCCACAAAAGCAGCAGCCTCCAAAACCCCCTTGTACGACTCATCATGGACCCCGCGCGGCGTCAACCGTACCGGCAACCCACCCGCGGGCCCCGCCTCAGGCAAGCCCTCGTGATACCGCGCCAAAACACCCAACCGACTTAGCGCCGCGGGCACGGCTAGCACGACGACTTCGACCCGGTACCCGCGGCCGCGGTACAAGCGCGCCAGAGCGGCGAAGTCGTCCGGGTGCCGCGCCGCGGACTCGAGGAGCACGTCCGCGCGCGAGTCCGCGGCTAACGTGGCGGCCATAAGTAGCCAGCGCCGGGCGTCGGGCCCCGTGGCCGGGGAGGCGAGGGACGGGTGCGCGGAGAGGAGAGGCGAGTACGAGGGGTGGTAGGTTTTGTATGTGTCTGCGATGAAGTGCGCGGGAGGCCCGCGGAGATGGGTTATGGTGCGTTTGAGGAGTGGGGAGGTGCGCGTTTTGCCGGAGCCGGTTTGGCCGATTATTAGGACGGCGAGGGGGGTCCTAGAGGGGTTAGGGTTGGTGGAGGGGGGCGGGAGAAAGCTGAGTTCGGCGGGGACGATGGTTTGTTCGAATATTGCGCGCGAGTCGGCCTCGGAGAGGATGTATGATTGCGGGTCGGTGTTCATTGCGGCACGTTCTCCTGCCGGCCCTTATGTCGGCGGTTTATCTAGGTAGGTAGGTAGGTACGTAGGTATTTGCGGAGAAGAGACGCGCGATGGACGGCGGACGATGGTGAAGTTGGCGGGTGTACCCGCCTCCGATTTTAAGGGGGTTTCGAAAATGAATAAAAATACATCCCTGGACAAAATCATATCGACCTCTAGTTGAGGTATGAGGGGATAATTATTACCAAGAGATTGGAAGTTGTAGTGTGAACGCCATCTGACTCCAACCCCAGGCCATTGTTTTGCAGTGGGGTTGAGTTTATCTGCCGAGTGTAGTGATCCTGATGCTACAATAAAAGTCCTTTGTAAAGAAGCTCTAACTAAGACTACCTAGAAGCTAGAGAGTTGCAACGAGAAACTCCTCGAAATGGTGATAATGATAATAAAGCTACACGGCCGAAAAATGATATTCTTTATACTCTAGGTACATGTACCTAGGCTTTTAAGGGGCTTTTCCAACATAGGAATCACTAGCAGGAGACAATAGTTTTTAAGTGCCCTTCAAGTTGAAACTACGCACACAAAGAGCATTGTTATTTGAAGAGATTATCTGACATACTAGGTACTTTGTATTTGATGTTTGTCGCGAAGACATCTTAAGTACAACCTCATGACAGTGTTCTGCAAGCGTACCAAATACCGTATTACAATCATACAATTAATCCAACAAATTACTCTTATAAAGATGACTAACGCAGAGTCATTCGTAATGGCACAACACTCTGCGATAAAAGCAACTTGCGGCCAAGCCGAGCTTCTCGTAGGCACATGCCACTACGCGTGCGGTCATAGATTCAACTGGATTCTTGACTACGTCCTTCAACGAACGGGAACACGCTCACCAAGTGCCCATGATTGTCCCAAGTGTACCGCCGACCCCGTTTGTCTTATCTGCCTTCATCGCTTCGATGCTAAGGCGTTTGATGCTTGCCAAAGATGTGATTGCTTTTTCCACGAATCGCTTCTCGCAAACCGGCACAGGAAACTTAAGCAGATGGGTGTCAGGGCCGCCGAACATAAGGCCACCACTTTCATAAGAAACAAACTCGAGTTTGAAAAGAACAGGCTTCGGAGAAAGGGGTTTGTGGTGTAATTAATCGTACCTAAGTAGCAAATTATGGGACCGGAGATGACCGGAAATCTGCAGCCATTGCCGGCGCATATAACCGGTGATTTCTCTTAACTCCGGTAGGCTTGACATTTTCTTAGTAACAAGCATTTGTGACTGTGATTCCGTTAAATCATGAAGTAATATAGGTACCTACATCATACCCTAGGTATATTGCTGGGAAAGACATAGGTTAATTCCGCCCTTGGGAAAGCTCAGCAATCAAGTGCTCTAAACATGGATGGTGAAACCGGCGAAAGGAAAAGTCGAAAGAAACGAGCTCGACTAAGCTGTATGGAATGTAGAAAGAAGAAGGTATGTGGATACTAGTCCTTGCAAAACTCGATTTAATTTACTTATTGACATGATATAGTTGTCTTGTGATCGGAAATTACCTTGCCAGAGATGTATAAGATCAGGAAGACCAGCACGGTGTTCATTCGAGGCAGTAGCCGAACAGTCACCAGTCTCTAGCCCTCTTGCACGACAACAAGAGCAGCAGATTCACGATCTTCAAGTCGAGGTTACTGAGCTGAAGGCATTGCTTTCAGAAGCTGGCTTGATACGTGGGGGCGATAGCGCCACAGAAGCCTCACACGTAATAGACGTCGAATCTGGTCCCTCATCATTGAACAATGGAAAGCCTCAAGCAGTGGAGGACTTAATTGATGAAAGCCACGATACGGAAAAATCCGGCGTGGTAGAGGATATTCAGCAGCAGTACTTATCAACTTCCCAAAGTGATCGTATTGGCCAGGGTGCAAACCATGTCAACGACACACAACCCTCGGATCCAAGGAAAAGAACCCCTCAGGGATACTATAGGCGACATGCTCTTTTCCAATTCTTTAGTGAGGTAAGCTGTTCTCCATGCGTATCTCATAGGTCAAGCAAGAGTGCTTACATTTTGCACAGATACATGAATTATACCCATTCATCAAAGAAACAGCCGAGGAGTGGCTCAACCCCTTGGGGGTAAATATTACTAATGGGAAACTCAAGCCCACTGTTAATTTTCTCTCCGAGAGTGATAAAAGCCTTGAGAGGTTTCTTCCTCCAAAAGAGGATGTTGACATTCTGGTTTCATTGTACCTAAATGGCCCAGAACAACTTCATCGCGTTCTTCATATCCCTACCTTCAAGAGAGAATATACCAACTTTTGGACAACCCAAAGGGTAGACCATCCTACTATGATAGCACTGATATTGGCAATCATCTCCATATCATCTACTTATGCTGCTACTAGTCAATCTGCCGAAGTCGCGTCCGTGGCGATCAAGTACCAAGTTATGTCTATGCAGTGGATTTCTCTATGCGAAGAATGGTTAAGACAACAAAGTACAAAGCATCGCAGACTTGCCCACTATCAGATTGCATGTTTGATTTACCTTGCTAAACGGATGAACATCGTTGATAAGAAAAAGTGGTGGAAGGAGACTGGCTCGTTGATCCAAGATGTCATCGTACCTGGGCTAAATCGTGACTCTTTTTCGGCTAATGGCACACCTTACGTGAGGGAGTTGAAAAGACGAATCTGGGCTGTTATTCGAGAGCTGGATCTCCAGAACTCATATGAGTATGGTCTTCCCAGTCTCCTACACAGTGTTGATGATGATGTTACTCCTCCCGCAAATGTCAATGATGACGACTTCAACGAAACATCGAAAGATATACAATCAAAGCCATTGAACGAATACACCATTACATCTTATCAAGTTCATAGCGCCCGCAGCTGGTCTTTGCGTCTAGAGATATCTCAGCGTCTCTTTAGCACTAGATTCTCCAAAAGCCTTTTTTATGACGATGTCTTGAGATACACTCACGAGGTTACGCAAGCGATAGAAAGTATCCCTTCCTGGGATAAATATGACACAACTGGAGTAGGCGACCTTCGAACACGAGCACTTACACGCGCATTTTTGCTTTTCCAGCTCAAGAGTACTATTCTAGTTCTCCACAGACCTTATCTCCAGAAAGATGATAGAAGGTACTGGCTTTCGGAAACTGTGTGTTATCACACATCGCGTGATATTCTACTCTTAAACACACACTTAGCGGAGTTAGGGTCTCAGAGCCCAACGATGCTCAGAGAAGACCTCTTATTAGCTTCGCTGAACTTAGTTCGCGTAGCTATGCTTCGGCCTAAGGGTAAGCGAAAGATATTGCCTCTCAGGCAGGTGGTAAGAAAATTACTTATAGATAACACTAACTTCTTAAAAAGGACTCGTGACCAGTGTCGTGACTGACTATCAATCCACGATCGATCTACTTGAGAAATGCGTCCCGCTAGTGGAGGATATGCATTTAAGATGTTGCCATAGCGATCTCTGGTGCTTTATCACTATGTATGCAGCAAATATGTTGCTCGAGATACATCTGGGAAGGAAATCTCGCCAAACAGCTAAAGCATCATGTGCACGGAGGTTTCTCAGCCTCCACCACAAGCAAGTTGAAAGACAGAAGATGTGTCTCCCAAGTCACCAGTGTCCAGCACCTTCAGACCTTACAAACTGTGCTGACGTAAGTAATGCCCCTTTTCCTACTTGAATTTCCCTAGGCATCTGTGTACCTTGGCATGTAGCAAGGTAGGTGGTTAAAACGCTAGAGATATACTAATTTCTCGGGAATAGGAGCCTACCAGTCCTCAGCTCGTTGCTCCAGATTTTCTAGTGTCGGACTGGTTGGACAGCAACTACTCCGAGGTTAGTAGAGAAACATCGCTTTCTTCAATGGCTAACTCGTCTATAAACAGCCTGGTTTTGATTTCTTGGACTTCGATGTTAGCATGAGCAATGCATGGGGCATCTTAGAATAACTGCGACATACCGAATAGCCATCGATTGGGATCTGAGTCATAATCATATAACAACGTAACACGGATAATTCAGAAACTTAAACAATTAGCGAGTTGCGTAACCACAGTAATCATTCACCGTGGTAGAGTGAATATATCACCATTTCTAAGTATATACTAGTATAACCTAGGATAGCTATATCTAAGCCATCAAACTTTAAGTCTTTGGATAACCCCCGTGTTGTCATAGGAACACCCATTAAGCATAAATGTCTAACGCCACCGTACCATAAGTAAGTTTCTCTGGCTATAAGCAACTACTTTATATGAGATTCATGGTACGCAATTTGTCAAGGCAAATTCTGGTTGCCAATGTAATAATAACCTTAACGCGCAAAGAACGTTTCTGAAATTCAGATTTAACGCGGAATATACTACTCGACTTGTCTTGTCTATCTCACCTTATACCTAAACAATTAGCTATATTTATAACAACACTCACTTAAAACCAAGAACCACCATTCCCCTTACAAACACAACGAGATGGACCAAAACACACATATTGATACGTCCTCCATTCCCACAAAACGCGTCAGATTCAACCCTACGATCAGAGTATGGGAATTTATATCGGAACCCTTCGTTTGGGAGGAGCCGGAGCCAGTACCGCCACCGCCCTCATCATTAATAGATAAGATTTTCACTTGGCTCAAGAAATTCAAGGCTCTAATGTTTTGTGATGATGAGGAGGATCATGAATATTCAAGACATAGAAGACACCGGCGTCGCTCAAGCCGTCGAAGACACAGAAGGGAACCAATATACAGAACAGACTTTCCATCCGTTTGGATTCCATGATTATGAGGATCTCTCTCGGCTATCGATCCATCTACATATTAAGATGCCTGGGTTAGATTACTAACAAAGTGGCGACCACGGCTTGAATAACGACACAGAATATTCGACCACGAGCAACTTTACTGGGATCGGATTCTACCTACTTTACAATGGTGAAACTCATCTGTTTTCCCATGTCAACCGCCCCCCCTCCCCCCACGAAGATTCATGCCGAGGGTAAGAGGATTCCGTGTTGGAGCGGCGAACATCTCGTTACTTGCGAGAATTATCCCCCAGGGTGGTACAAGTTGTCAGCTTTATCGAAACCAACACCAATATCCCCTCAATAATCAACGCAATGCTTAGAATAATGGATGCACTACACTATGGCTGGTGGACTCGATATCGTACGAGTCATTTAACTTGGCCCTGCAGAGGCCTGTCGCCATTTGCAAGGAGGCTGACGAGTTATGTTGGTGGAGGGGATGCCTACAGGTTCATAGGTTGGGAGAAGGGAACCGGTGTGAGGCTAAGGAGCTTGGATGCAGAATGGCAACTCTTGTAACGATGCGTCGTCATCGTTATTATTCGGGTCATCGTTAGGGTTCACAGAAGAAATGGACAAATATCTACCTACCCACCAGGGCATATCTGAATCTTCGAGGCTTATGCGACTATCTCGGGAACTTTTTATTGTCATGTTAGTTGTAATGCCAATGAGTGCGTAGGTATTTTCCGTAAACGATCGCAGCGTGATACCTGATAAGACCTGTGGTTAGAATATTTGTAGTGGTATTGCATCGTTCGTGTATCCACACTAGCCAATGGCGGCTCAGAACTTGCATATGCAAAGACTTAAGGCAAGATAGTTGAAGATGCAGCGACTAATATTCAAACAATATCATATCTGACTCAGATATATTAGAAAAAATGACACGCCGAGCCGCGAAACAGCCTTGGAACTCAATGGGATGCTTGGCGGATGCTCTTCTTATAAGACCGACAGTAGGGTTGTGCAAATCTTATGTTTTCTATCTCATCGGACTCTCACATAACAATGATCTAGAGAAGATTGTATCAGTCTCTTCTATACAATGTTGAAACGCCTGCTCCTTGGGAGCTCTCTGCTTGTTGCAGTAGTGTCACTTTTACTCTCTCAATGGGCCATGAAACCGCCAACCCAGTATACTCCGTCTGTCAGAGGCCGGAATAACACTGTCCTCTTCATAGCCAACTACGAGTTCGGTCTTTCTAATGTACACCTCGCGACGGCGCACGCCCTGTTAGAACGCCACCCCGAGGTCCAAATACACTTTGCGTCGTTTGGGCCTACGTTTCCGAGGGTAGACCGTATCTCGAAGCATGGCCGCAGGTTGAATTCTTCCGCCGAGGAGATCGTGTTCCACGAGCTTCCTGCACAGCATCTATTCGCAAGAGCTATGGCCATGACGGGGAGGACGGCAACAAGCATCATACATCCGCCAGGCCGTGCGCACATCGACCAGATCGGCAAGGATCTTGCATTCTACGTTGCGCCGTGGACAGGAGAAGCGCATCTGGCGCTCTACCAACAGCTCACAGGTACCTACCGCTTTTGCTTTTCCGCGTTGGGGCTGGGGGCGCTAACTTGCAGCTCAACTACGCCGCAGAAATCATCGATAGGGTAGATCCCTCCCTCATCCTCCTGGACATCTTTTTCCGGCCTGGCCTCGACGCAGCTCGTAATCGGAAAAGGCTGCATGCCTTTGTCGTTCCGAATATGCCAATCGACGTCTTCCCGCTCCACCAACCTTACGGGAAATGGCTGTGGAAGTATCCAGTGTATGTACACGCATCTCAGGGTATGATGTATACGAAACTTACATGTTGTGTAGTATGGGCTCCGGTATTCCATTTCCCGTCCCATGGAGTAGGCTGTTAGATAATATCTACATGAATATTCGGTACTTCCATATCCTATCATCTATGCCCCATTTCAAGGACGGGCAGAAAATCATCCAGTCGAAAGGTCTAGACCGGGTTACCTACCACGATTTGTACCGCTCAAATGTACCATTCTTCATACAAGGTCTAGCCGAAGCCACAATACCCCTAGACCATGTACCGCCAAATGTGACCTATACCGGACCAATGTCCCTTTCCCTGTCCACGCCAGAAGAAGTAAGTCCGGAGTTAAGTCAATGGCTGGCCCAGGCGCCAACTCTTCTCGTCAACCTCGGCAGTTTCTTCGCCTGGGATCACAGTCGGGCCAGCGCCATGGCACAGGCCATCGCAGACATACTGCACGAGAGGGCTGGCCTGCAAGTGTTATGGAAGCTCCGCAAGACGGGAAAGGAATACGGTGGCGTGGCTTTTGGCGACGAGTTCCTGGACCCGGTACGCCCGTACCTCGAGAATGGACGCCTCAAGATGGTGCAATGGCTGCCTGTTGAGCCGGCGGCTCTTTTTGAAACTGGCCATATCGTGGCTTCGGTGCATCACGGTGGCGCGGGCTGCTTCAACGAAGCACTCGGGTTAGGCACTCAATCCGTTTCCCCTCTAGAGCGAAATACTAACACCTTTCTCACAACAGGACCGGTATACCCCATATAATCTTACCGCAATGGTTGGACCACTACAGTATCGCGCAACAGGCTGAATATATCGGGGTAGGAGTGTGGGCATGCCAGGAAACTGCTCCATCTTTCACAGCCGAATGCCTCCACGATGCCTTTTCTACAGTCCTTGGTAATGCTAAGACCGCTGTAGACATGCGAGACAAGGCAAAGCGGATCAGTGAGATAGCTCAGCGAGATCCTGGTCGGTACGTTGCCGCTCGAGGGATCGCGAAGTTGGCTGCGCATGGTGCTTGAAAATATTATCGTTACAACCCCAAAAGTATTGGAATTGAAAGAAAGAGGCAGTGAACAACTCCTCTTATGATTATATTTGCTGGATAAGCGGGTGTCACATATCTAGTGGAAGAAGAGTGGTTAGGATTCGGCGTGTTAGAGAGCTCGTAGCATGGGGACTAGGGAATTCCGGCTTTATAGAAGTGTGAATGTAATTTCAAAAGGGCCCCGGTGGACATTGAGTATTGAAAGACAAGTAAAAACTATTGTAATAATCCAGATAGGACTCTTGTTCATGTTCGTGGGATTACGCCAGCTGTTTTAACGGTACCTACACAATCATCGCACCCCTCCCCCTATTCAGGGTCTTCTCCACTTTTATCCATCATAAGCATCGTCACCTATTTCAACAATTTTCCACGACACATACTAATAAAATCAGACTTACAAGCCGAATATAAGATTTTATTTGATACTTGATATAGACAGATTTAGTATGAAAATACGGCAGCAAGCCCGCCTCGCCGTTCTCCGACCCGATCCCCGACTGCTTCGTGCCGCCAAACGGAACCCACCCCACATCGGGATCGCTCGAAGAATTAACATAAACCTGGCCGGCCTCGAACTCCATTAGCATGTACACCTAGATAGCAATTTACTACCACACATAGGTCCGTGACTTCTATCACGACGTCTTTAGGGGCTGTGCTACCTCAAGACGCGAATACGACTAGGTACGCTTACCTGTGAGATTATAGAGACGATGCAAATTGTATTCTGACTATCTTGTGTCACACCAAATCATAAATAAAAGAAAACGTTACGGAAACACAAGGCTCCTAATTAGGTGACCGTATATCTATTCGTTATTACAAGATTACCTACCTTGGCTCTATCATCATCGCTCGGCTGGCTCAACCGCCCCAACCGTGCTGGCCTTCCCAACGAACAAAAATGTTCCAAATCACCACGTTTCCCCGAGATCTTTGGTATATTCCTGCAAGTGTATATTCCTTGGCTTATACTTCCGAAGAATCCGGAAGTAATTCAGAGTATTCTGGCTGACATATGGCTGTTTTTCATCCTGTTCGCCCGACGGACTTTTGTCTCCACTGAACCCCTGAGCGTCCTTGTAGTAGCTTGCATTCTTCCAGATCGGCAGAACCCGCTCCCAGTCCGCCGTCTTCCAGTTTTCCATTCGTTCCTCTAGGGGCAAGTCGCTGCCGTTGAAGGGAGGGAGCGCCAGCCCTTTACGGTCTTTCTCGGTCATGTACTCGCCGTTGCAATACGTTTCCTGGCCCTCAAAGTGCTCCCGGAGGATTTCTTCCATTTCCTCGGGGCTCGGCTCGTCACCGACGCAGAAGTAATTCGGATTGCACCAGGGAGGCCCCCTGAATGAAATCAACTTCTCTACCGGACGTTGCCTAATACAGTATTGAGCACCCGATCTCTTGCATGCAGCGCATCTATCCACAGTCTCAACGCCTAGGAAGTTCAAGGTACAATTAAGTCCTTTTTCAGTACACCTCAAACAAGACCCCCCGTCGTTAACCAAAGCCCTTCCCGTGGCCAAATCTCTCTTAAGCTCCTTTACTCCGTTGGGCTGGGTTAGTCCACCCTTAGGCTCGAGACCTGGGGTCTTCGAAATGGGCTTCTTGCCTGCGGTCTCTCGGATGCTCTTAACAGAATCTTTAAGGTGTAGCGAATGTTTTGCTCCAACTTCGCCAGAAGCCTTCTGAGAATGAATGGACGACATATTGTTTTGCTGTAAATTCTTAACGCAGTAAGTATAAAATTTCGTGCCCAAAAGGATTGGAATACTAGAATGTTGGTATGGATTCGCTTTTCTTATCTATTGATGTCTGAAAGCGTTTATAGTCACTACGAACAATTCGAATAAAGGCTTTGTATGTCCTAGGTTTTCTAATTCGCCGGCTCTCTGGACACAAAGAAATCCTTAAAAGAAAGTTGAAAGAAATTGTAATTTCATCGCCGAAATTATGGGCCTTTGTTCGTCAATGCCTCCATCGTTTTGGACAATGGGTTCAATTGTAACCCTCGGCTAAAATGAACTCATATCACGAGTAGATGATATGTCTAAACTCAACTACCTACATTCATACCAGCACATGTTGCGCTTAAGACCTACCGGAATCATCCCTGCATGATATAGTGATTCTCGAAAACTACCAGTACCCAGAGGCATTCTCATAAACTTCTTCTCACCCAAATCTATCAGTACCTAATGTTGAGAGAAAAAGGAGAAGTCTTTCCCCCAGATTAGCTTGAACTACTGATGGTTTATACCGATGACCCTACATCTGGAAGTTGCTCTACAGGCGGTGATATGAAATGAACAGGCTTCCATATCTTCGCATTTTCATTCATGCGAAATTTGAAATGTCCCTTGTCTACGCGTTTCTGAAACCAACTATGGTTTTTCGCTTGAGATGCGTCTATTCTGTGCGCGGGCTCAACCATCAAACAAGATCTAATAAAACCCTGGCAGTCGTGGCTGGTCTTCTGATAAGACGGGTCTTCAAAGATACTATCAAGCCATTTACTTGTAGCAGCTTGGCTTGTTTTTACGAGGTTGCCCGGGATACCAAGATGGTCTGGCGATAAAAGGAACACCGCAATCATCCCGATAGACCAGATATCGACAGTTAAGCCATGACTTTGGCGGTATTCTACTTCACTGCTGGATAGTAAGTAATTGTTCAAAATACCACAAAGCACGCCTAGGTACTCACGGTGCCATGTAATGTCTGGTCCCCACGTAGCTAAGCATTCGCCCCGAAGCCTTCGATTTAGCAAAGCCTAGGTCACTAACGATGACCCTCCCTGTAGCATATGGCCCCGTGGAGAATAACACATTCTCTGGCTTTAAGTCGCGATGTGCTATATCGCCTCTATGCTATAATATGAGTTAGCAACGGCGAACCTGAGCAATCACCCTGGTACTCAATTAGGAAATAGCATTTTTAGAAGCAAGCCAAAAAATGGGGAGAGGCAAGGAAATTCGTACGCACAAGATATCTGATGGCATTCACAATCTGAAGAATAACAAGTATGGTGTCTTGCTCTGTAAAGACTCCTCGTACTAAACGCATTGAGAATAGGTCACCCCCTGTTGCAAGCTCAGTGAACGTATATAGGGTATGCTTCGACCGAAAGGCATATTCGAAGATGGGAAGATTAGGCTTGTATCATTGTTAGCAGGTACATCGATGGAAACAGAATAATCACACAATACATGTCTTAGTTTTCCGAGTATATCAGTCTCGTCTAGAATGTGTTGGATCACGTCTTGAGTGTCATCAAATCGATTGATATGGTCAAAGTCGTGGATTTTGCAGGCAAGCTGTCTCCCAGTCTTCACATCAACAGCTAGATGGACTGACGCCAAGGATCCACTCCCTAGAACTCGGTTGCTAATCATGTACCGATTGCTAAAAAGCTTCAGCTCATAATTAGTTCTATTCAAGAATTAAAACGACTCTTTAACTTACATTAGATTCTTTAAGTTGGATTGCCGTCAGCGGTGACTTTAATTCCGGACAGTCTAAGAGAGAAACGCGAAACTTCCAATGAGGTTTGATAGTGACCACAACGTCTCGACTGAGATAGAAACCTGGTGATGGACCTTTTTCTTTATTACCAATACAAGCTCCATCGACGTATGTGCCTTCCAGAGATTGACAGTCCCGGACATAAATCAAATAAGGGTGGGCACGATTGTCGTCTGGATCATAGATAATTGAATAGATGATGAAGTGCTGCCTCGAGACGTATGGGTGGTTTATGGAAACATCACTATCAAGTAGTTATTTAGTGAAGACAGCGAAAACATAGTATTGAAGCTTTCAACATACTTCATGTGATGATCCCGCCCAACCGTGATTGAACGCCCCGGATGCAGGGGGAGGTCCATGCACAGCTGTGAGTTATGGCGGCTAGCCTTTTCATCCAGTGATTTGTTTACATGAAATCCCTCTAGAGGAAGTTTACATCAGTGTCTCCATCATAAGACAAGATGCAGTCTGGTTCGAATATTTGGGCCTTACCTGGTGGTTTGCAGCCTTCTGAAGAGTCTCCATCGACCCAGAAAGATATCTGTGCGATTGGGCGAACCATGGTGCATGTAACAAACTGCAGCGATGGCTGGAGTAAATTGAGGAAGTGTTCATGATTGTAGGGGAGAAGTTAAAATTGAAACACCTGGACGTAGCAAGACTTATTGAAATATGTCACCAAAGCTGAGAAGTTTGACTTTCATGGTTTCCAGGGGATCTATTTAATGTAATGATTGCAATTGCTCTAATATTCAAAGCACAAGAGGCAAGCAGAGACCCGCTGAATCTAAATGATTTAAATGCAAGTGCGCCATTGCAATTTGAACTCTGTTGAAAAAGTCTGGAAGGTATGTACCTACCTATACTTGGGGCAATCACCAGCCAGGCTTTCGAGCAGGTGCCCACCCAAGCTTTGAAGCCATCATGGGAAAGAGCAATCTGTCAGGTCACGGTTGATGAGTGACAAGATACCGACCCATAGCCAACCAAAAATCCGAGAACAAATCTTCTTAATCATCAATGTATATATATTGCAGTGTCCAATTATTGCCCAGTGCATTCTAAGCACGGAATTTTATTTTAGTCAAGAGTTTGTGGAATCTGAAGTCGCTTCATGACGACGGAGCAAACATCTTACGTAATTATTCGCTCATAACTGACGGACATGCCAACTGTATGGCAGCTGCACGGCCACAGTGGTAAGTAAAGTTTCCAGAAATTTCCCCGCTGTATTTGCACCCGACAAATAGCCGATCACAACCCTAACATAATTTCCAACCATACTTCTTCAATTCGTGCCACTTCCAAAACTTCCTTTCCTTTCACCAAGCTTCATCATCAAAGCAACTCGTCCACAGCAACCTGTAAGTGCAAAACAACCCATCAATACCTGATATTATAACATCGCAATCTTTCCATTACCAACATTGATTCATCTTCTTACCGGTCAATTATCCGCGCGCATTGATTTCTTTCCTTTCGCGCGGTTGACTCGTACGATCTTTCCCCAGCTTCCCCGCGTTCGTCATTAATCGCCCACCACCCACTTACCTCCACCATATTCACAAGACCGGAAAGAGTATCAAGCACTAACAACCCCCCATAGTACAGTCGCGAAGATGAGAGCTAAGTGGAGAAAGAAGAGAGTTCGTCGCCTCAAGCGTAAGAGGAGAAAGATGAGAGCTCGCAGGTATGTTTTCGTGCAACTTCCACTTGATTGAACCCAGTATTGATTGAAACCTCTCCGTTACAGCAAGTAAACAAATCACATCTACTCGATCTCAGCGTCTCTCCGCCAGACCGTATCGCGCGTCATGACACCCACAAAGACCAATCAACACATGGCATTCAGCACATGGAACTCGACTACGGTGATTATTCCTCGATTCAAGGCGGTGCTCACAAATGACACCAAGGATATCAACAAGGGTTGGGCTGGTGCTGTGGAGGATTGGTACAATGGCGACAATAAATTGGACGGATGGTTCGCTGGTCAAACGCCATCGAGTGGACCAACTATTTGTTTACGCATCGCAGAGCAAGAAGCATCATTGATATGCTGCTCATGAACATTGCAGTAAAATGGGTTCTTTAGCTATTCAATCGACTTGCAACTGTTGACCCAAGTACATTTTACATTTTATTTGTGACGAAGTAGAATTGCGTGAATCTTGAAGGTTGTGTGGCCAAATGTCAATGACGTCGTCGTTGTTAGCTACCCCTCTTTCGAACAATATGACAATCTGATTCCTAGTCGATCCATAGCATTGCAGTCTCTGCACTGTAATCTGAAAAAAATGGGTTATACAGAGCCTTTGGAATTTCGAGGAACTTATCGATTATTAACTACTCGACCTACTATGTAGCTAGAATGTCCTCGGTAAATCCTAAGAGCTTTACGCATTAGGAGAGCTAGGAGAGGTATGAGGTTGTTCAAATTGTGTTTTGCGGACCCGTTTGCAGCTAAGCGAGTAGCGCAATCTTGGTTACTCAGGTACATAGATACTTTAAACTGTGGGGTGTAGTCACCGCCTGCCTAATTCGTCTTGCTACTTGCATTAACGGCAGATTTCTCTTTTTTTTTCCTCCTCTATTTTTCATCAAGTCAATTCCTATTGTCAGATGGATTATTAAAATTGCACCACCCACCCGTGAACCTCCGCCTTTCTGAACCTTTCGAAATCAATAATCTTGGCAAATCATCTTGACCATGGCGGAACATAAAGAAAAGAAAAGAAAGCGTGGTGAGGACGGAGGTCAACGGCCAAAGAAGAAGGTGGCCGTTCAAACTCCTTCTGAACCTCAACCCAACTTCATCAAAGTCTCTTCCGTCCAAACGGCAAAAGATTTCCCTCCAGTAATAGGTATGACTTGTTGCTCCATATCAGATAATTTCTAAATATAATTTAACAACCTCTTTTCTGTAGCTACCTCACCTGGTCTTTGTCTTCCAGATTCAATGAAATTCCAGGCGTATACCACACCCCAGTCTACAAGTTCCAAGCGAAACAAGAAGTCCGATTCTCGTGCACCTAATCTTCTTTTACATTCGTCTTCACACGGGAAGTTAGATTATACAGCAAAGGAAGAAGGCCCTGGTGGTCGTGAGTCGCATCTTAAGCACTACATCGGAGTCTTCGACCCTGAAACTGGGAAGTTGGTCGTAGTAGAAGCTAAGAAGATGGCCGTCCGGGGTGTCGTTCGATCACAGAAGCCACCCGAGGATATTTCAGAGAGAGAAGCCTCCAAGGTAACGAGATACCTTTTCGTTATTTAATTGGGAGATATCTAACCGTTCTATAGACAATGCTAGAACTGAGAAACAACCTTGGCGAAGCGTTTGGAACCAAGAAAGCCAAAAAGGCTCTTGCTGCGATTACTGAGAATGCCATTGCTCCAGAGCAGGCCATTGCCGATGCCGGAGGAAGCCCGCAGAAGCTCAGCTCTGCTTCCAAGGCCCTGATGGAGTCAATCAACGATGTCACGATAGGAATGGCATCTAAAGAGGACCTCCAAGCTCAGGTCGATTCAGCAAAACCGGTCCCTCCAGGCAATTTCGATGCCACGGAAATCCAGGATGTATACACGCCCGAAGGACTGATCGGAGGCGACACATTAAATGCCATCCCGGTCAGAGACTGGCAGGAGCAGCTTAAGAAAGGAGTCAACAAGACAATGACAAGTTCATTCGTTGCGAGCAGGCTAGTCCCCGTCGGAGAGGGTCCAAATCCAGTTCACAGACTACGAACTCTTCGCTACCTAGACTTCCTTATCAAATTCGCCAAAAGTGCGAAGCCTGGGAAGGAGAGAGGTACAAAGCGAGTCCCACCAAGAGACAAATTAAGGGAACTCTTGAGCCCAGCGCCTGAACCTGTTGTCGAGAACATCAGACGAAAGTTCTCATCTAACGGAGAGATGAGAAAATTCCATACTGACTTGATATACACTTACTGCTGTGCCCTCGCGTCGATCCTTACTAATTATAGCTTCGATACGAGCCGCATCAGATTTGACCTCAGTCTGGACGAGAAGCAATTCGGCCAATATTTCCGCGAAATCGGTGGTAAGGTTAAAATCGAAAAGGGTACAGAGAAAGGTACACATGTGCAAATGGCAACTTTGGCATTGCCACTACAATTCCCGAAGGTTAGATATCAACGCCCACGCGGACGTTGATACATTAAGAGAATCATTACGGCGCAATCGGTCATAGAGCTTCTTATAACAAAAGTAAGCTTATCGTTGCGGCGTATGTTGGGCTACCGCTAAAGGACCTAGGCATAGTTGCTAGAACGGACGTTGTTAGGTGGCGTTTTAGCAGTCGCTTCATCTTTAATTATACGATGGACAATCCTTGGCAGATCGCTCTTTTACGACTACCACCCGATGTGTCTACTATGGTCCATATCGGCTCAGTTAGATACCCATAGGTTTCATGGACTCGGAATTTAGACCTCTCATTGTATTCTTAGTGATCAGACTTAGCATGGCCGTATAAGTCTGGCGGGGGAGCTCCTTGTTTCTTGGCAATTGCGTCTTCAATTTAAGACAGGCCACTAGACCTTAGACCCAGCTTGAGAATTACGCGATGAGCCAGGCGTCCTGTTAACTCTTGGTCTTTCACCTAGCCTCAACTAGCCCGGAAGGATGCAATGAATAAAAGTACACCTGTCTAACTTTCTCTATGTCTTGTTGAATCCTACTACACCCCCAGGTAGTGGTATGTATGTTATGTAATAGATGGCCCATTTACGTCCGGCCTCCCGTAGCCTTGCTAAGTTCGGAATGCATCAAATTAACGGGAGGATCCCGCAGCACCAACCGGGAGCTCGCCGGAGCCGGTCTTTGTTCGGTCGCACTTCCTCAAGTCGAGCGTCCGAATTTGTACGATACTCGGAATTTATTACCTACATAGTACTATTCGCAAGCGCCAACATTTATGGCGAAATAACCTGGGTATAGTTCTTTTTTCCCCTTTTCGACGACTATAACTCGGAGCGCCAAGGCTCGGTGAGAATTTTCATTATGTTACTTAACCCGCGGAAAGCAGTATTCGCACAATTGGACCCCTGGAATGGTGCAATAGATAAGGTCGCAACGACCAGTCCTCGTCCGCCCGCATGACGTGATCGCAAGAGGTACCTCTTAAGCAACCCCAAAGTTTCGGGGTATTGCACCGGAACGTGTTAGCGGCGATGGAGGATGTTGTTAATATAAATCTCCTTGGGCCAGACCGAGAGAATCCGGGGAGGTGTGTTACACGTACGGACCTACATAGCTATCGTCGCGTAGATTGCTAGCGAAGCACGGCGCTGTATCTGTTACTGCAGACTAGATTTGCATATCTATCGCGAGTCCTACCTAATTCACGCGCAATTGAGAAATTGCCGTGACGCGGGAAAGCATAATGGCGGGCGATCTAAAGGCCCTCGAGGTCTCCGACCCGAGCTCGGATATCGAGAAATCGGCCACCACGAAAGAGACAGTGAACTCGAGCCGCTCTTCCAAAGAGATACCGACACCGACGACAACGACGAAAGCCGAAGTGGAATACGGTTCGACCGACGACCACGTGTTCTCGGACCCGGCCGTGGCCGAGAAGTGGCGCCAGGTGTACGAGAAGGCGCGGTACGAGAACCGGCACCGCTTCGACCCGGAGTACAAGTGGACGGCGGAGGAAGAGAAGCGGCTGGTCAGGAAGATTGACGCGAGGATCATGGTCTGGGCTTGGCTCATGTTCTGCGCTCTCGACATGCATCGTAGGAATATCAACAGGGCTATTTCAGATAACATGTTGGCCGAGATTGGTCAGTCTCCTAGTTCTATTGTGATCCTATACGGCCGTCTGTCCGTCTGTCTATGAGTAGGATCTGGGTGCTGATAATTGGAATATAACAGGCATGAACACAAACGACTACAACTACGGCCAGACCATATTCCTCGCCTGCTTCCTCGCCGCCGAGCTGCCCAGCGGGCTTATAAGCAAGAAGCTCGGAGCCGACCGGTGGATTCCGACGATCATGGTGGGCTGGTCGGTCACCGCCATGTCGCAGGCCTTCATCCACAACCGGTCCTCCTTCTACGCCATCAAGGCGCTCCTCGGCCTGCTCATGGGCGGCTTCATCCCCGACATCGTGCTGTGGCTCACCTACTTCTACAAGAGCAGGGAGCTCCCGCTGCGCCTGGCCTGGTTCTGGACGGCGCTCAGCACGGTCAACATCGTCGGCTCGCTGCTCGCCGCGGGCATCCTGCAGATGCGCGGCATCAACGGGTGGAGCGGCTGGCGCTGGCTGTTCCTGATCGAGGGCCTGATCACGACGCTCATCGGCATATTCTCGTGGGGCCTCATGCCGCCGGGTCCCACGCAGACCAAGCACTGGTTCCGAGGCAAGAACGGCTGGTTCACCGACCACGAGGAGTCCATCCTGGTCAACCGGCTGCTCCGCGACGACCCGAGCAAAGGCGACATGAACAACCGGCAAGCCGTCGGGCCTAGCCTGCTCTTCAAGGCAGCCTCGGACTGGGAGCAGTGGCCGCTCTACATCATCGGGCTCACGACGTACATCCCGCCGGGGGCGCCGACCAACTACCTCTCGTACATCCTGCGGCAGATCGGCTTCTCCGTCTTCGAGGCGAACCTGCTCGCGATCCCGTCGCAGTTCCTGTTCGCCGCCAACCTGCTCGCCGTGACGTGGATATCGCGGCGCGTGAACGAGCGCTCCATCGTCAGTTCTAGTTCTAACGTCTGGATCTTTCCCTGGGTGCTCGCGCTCGTGCTGCTGCCCGCGTCCGCGTCGCCGTGGGCGCGGTACGCGGTGCTGACGGGCCTGCTGTCGTACCCGTACTGCCACGCCATCCTCGTCGCCTGGAACGCCAAGAACAGCAACGCGGTGCGCACCCGCGCCGTCTCCGCCGCGCTCTACAATATGTTCGTGCAGAGCGGCAACATCATCGCGGTCAACATCTACCGAGACGACGACCAGCCCTTATACCGCCGCGGCAACAAGATCCTGCTGGCCATCACGGTGTTCAACATCGTCCTGTTCTACCTCGTCAAGGTGTTCTATATCTGGAGGAATCGGGTCAGGGATCGGAGGTGGAACGCGATGAGTCCGGAGGAGCAGGAGAACTATATTTTGACGACGAAGGATGAGGGAATGCGGAGGCTAGATTTCAGGTTCGCTCATTAGGGGCTGGTTTGGATCATGGTGCGGGACTAGCGGAAAGTTCGGGAATATGTCGATCCGCCTCTGTATAGTATATACGCACTGGCGGCATTGTATGATATGTCCTTGAGTATTCCCGGACTTTGAAGCTGTGTCAGACATTTCAACTATACCGACATCCCTTCTCATTTGAGAGCCCTCTTGAATATAGCGTCGCTTGATAAATAGACACATATCCACTCTAGAGTCGATGAGGCTCCGAATAGAATTATGAAATCGTACACCGCGAAAAACACTTGGCATGAAGTGATCATCCGGATTAGTAGTCCAGCCGTTTACCAACTGTGCCTGATAAGTTTGCACTGCCACGTTGTGAAGATCCCAAAGATCAAAACGTTCGTGGATTTACTGATCCACATACCCAGCTAAATTGGGTGGTCATTTCGTGCGATCTGTGAGATCGCACTTATGGATTAGCAGATCATGACATCTTACCAAGTTACATAAGGATTCGTCTAGTACTATGTAGTAGTAAATCCCGTTCGCCGCTCTGCCGTCTTGGGTTACTGCATTAACTCTTGTGAAGTTCTTTCAAGACGGGTGACGTTTCGTCTGGGTCTCGAATAGCACAGGCCCCATGTGCCACACATGAGACAGGGGGGCAATTCTCTCTCTTGATTGGTCCCTGCTGGCTATTCTGACAGGTACCTAGATACCTGTCATCGCTTCCCATCTCAAACATCGAATTGTTCTTCTGATGATTCGCTACCTTCCGATGAGGCTGTGTGTGATTCTGGGGTAAAGCAGGAGACTTTAGTCCATAAACCGCTAGATATATGCCGCACAGGACATCCGGCACTAAGTCCCTGAGTCCTATGTTAGTTTAGCTCCAGGAGCCAAGTCTAGACAAACAAGCTTAACTATCACATTAAAGTTGCCCAGGTAGAGCCGCACGCGGAGCCGGACGAATCAGGTCGCAAGCTATAGTGTTTAGGACATGGGAGAGGTCCTCGATCTTGGCGCTTTGAAGATTGACCGGATGGACGACCATCCGGAGGGAAGAAGGAGATCATGAGAATTATCGGGCAGAGAGCATGTCGTTAGATCGCCGCCTAGGTAAGAAGTATATATAGAGAATGATCTCCTTTGCAGTGAATATGATCTTCTTATGAATACCGTCGTATGATCGCGTTCTGGTAGATCATACCGCTTCATTCTCCCTCTCCTTCATTTTTTTCTTCGACGCCCAAGAGGCAGTCTTGATTTCCGTTCTTTATACATAATAATATTATCACAGTCCTTTGAAAGGCCTTTCTTATTCATTCCTTCTTGCTTCTGGAAAGCCAAACTTTCAACATGCGTTTCACTCAAGCTTGTATGGCCTTGATGAGCCTGTCGTCGCTCGCTGCGTCGGGTAAGATTCATGACTCCCTAATTCGAGGTTTCTATAAACTAACAGTTTATCTCAGCTCCGACCGATGCGCTTATACCGGCATCTAAGCGAGGGTTGAAGTGGAGACCACGACGTTCTCCTCTTACTATCGAGCAAGTAGTGCAAGAGACGAATATCATCGTCGTACAAAATAATCAGGCGCAATTGGATGCTCTTCAGCAACTAGCCGAGCAGGAGTTGGTTGCACTCGCGCAAGCACAGTTGGCCCTGGTCACTCAGCTAGAAGATGTCAAGAACAACATCCGGCTCAACCACTTCAAGGCTCGTTTCTCACAAGTAGTAAGTTTACCACATGGTACTATGATTCGTTCGCCTCGGTTGGCTAATTGATAGACAGAATACTGTGATCGTTACAGTATCGACAGTAATCGATGCTCGAGCGGGCAAGGGAAATCAAATGAGATACATGGTGAATCAGCAACTCGCCGATAACGGAAAGCCTGAGAGCCAAGTCATGGTCATGGTCTCGGACGCGCAGACCATGACTCTTGGTGCATCGCAGACAGTCGACCTTGCAGGCGTTGCAGCAGCCACCGCCGCCGCCAGCCAGCCCTCGCCACCCCCCGCACAAATCGTCAACCAGGACCCCAACGCGCCCTTCGGTAGCGTAGGTCAGAGTATGCTTCTGCCCATCGGTGCGCAGGCGCCGTCTATTGACCTCGTCTTTGTCGACCCGGCCGCCATCATTCTTCCTAACCAGAATACCCTGTTCGTCGAGAGCACCGACAGCTTCCTCCAGGACTGCGGCTTCTACCAGTCTAACAACAACGCGTTTGCCAATCTGGCATCGCAGTCGTTCACGTCGTTCGAGCAGATCACTGTCGCAAATGGCGCCGTTTCGATTGTCAAGCAACAGCAGAACCAGGTCAATGTCGTCGTATAGGCCTATACGGGTGATATTACGTAGTTGATTGTTCTACCACGTCAAGCGAGCGAGTCTCGCGGGTACATTAATTTGTCCCTTGATTCAAGATACCCGCCGTGGATGTTCATGTATATTTTTTCTTAATTCACATTTGGAGGCTACGCGAGCCGAGGCGTCCGGATGTCCGAAGGAGATGAGAAGCATTCTTGCGCCGAAAAGGGTAGTGGACCTAATCGGAATCACGCAAGATTGCAAGCTTTCCTACGGGATAGGATAGGAGCACCGAAGAAGCAAATGAAATGTTGATATGATGTATGTCCAAGTTTCGGGTTTAATTAGTATTCTTAATAACAAAAGAGAGGAAAACAAGAAATAAGATTTTCAAGAGCCTGCCTCAACTTGTTGGTTTTGCGTTTTTGCTGCAGCGTTGTGTTACTCAACTTCAATGTTCCTGCCCAATGATCTGGATCTTACTTTTGTGTTACCTACCGATCCTGCGAGCATGCGAACATTTAAACCCTGGTCTCCTTCCGCGTCTGATGTTTGAAACTTGACGGGTTCCAAAGCTTGTCTTAAGCAAGGCAGGCAAGGTTGGCAGGGTTGGCTAGGTAGTAGGGTAGTAGTGTCACTTCTCCGGACGCTCTTCCCATGTGGTCGGATGAACATTTCCCTGGACAAAATTAGACCTGATGATGTTGGATCCACAAAACTGGAGAGCTCAAGTGGAACACTTTTACTCCTTTCGGACTACCTCGGCCAATCCAATATCTTCCTGAAAATGTGGAGTGTTGTCTTGGGCTGTTATCGGCTATCAGTAATAACCTTGAAGAACACTGACCTGTCGCCGTAAACAGCTGACCGATTTTACCTAGGTAGAGAGCCAGAAAGAGGACATAATCGAAAAAAGAAGATGGTTTTGTGCAATATACACCTCATTTCCCTCCGGGACGACGTCTCGCCAGCCCTATTCCTGGGCAAGCTCCGCTGGAATGGCATCAAGCCTATCGTCCAGGCACGGGCCGTTCGTTGGATGATTCTCCCTACGCAAATATCTGTTGGCCATCTGATCGGCCGCAACATCCGCTGGGACCTCTTTTTGATCCTGGAGGAGTCCGACCCAATCCCTCACGAGGCACAACTGGATATCGACGGCATCTGGAGCGCATCCTGTGGAGTCTCGTCCAAAGCGCTGGCGGGTTACGCGGCCGGAAATTCAAAGCTACTCTACCCGCCGCCCGGTTCCGTCTCACCGCCAGAGCCGCACGACATCGAACCGTCAAATTCCTCACAAAACCTGGAGACGAGCCTCGAGTTATGCGAGTGGATCGGGGCACTGCCGACCGAAGTTAGGGACCGTCCCGTTTCCATGTTGAACCTACTTGCGTTCAAGCCCGGAATGAAGGACCTATACAAGAAGTATGGAGACGCGTTTACCGCAAACGTCGGCTCCAGACACGGCGGGAAGGTCAAGCTGGTTGGGAGAATAGCGGGCGGTCCAGCGGGAGACGACGGGTGGGACGAGTTCGCCTTCGTTCATTATCCGTCTGTCTCTCACTTCGCGGCAATGGCGGCGAGTAGAGATTATCAGGAGGTCAACCACGAATATCGGCTTCCCTCGTTGAAGGACACGTTGATTTTATGTGTTATGGAGGTGGATAACCAGGGGAATATCGTCGATCCGCGTCCAACAAGAGAGAGGCTATAAGGATGGTATGAGGGTTCATGCATGGCGGGTTGGGGTTGGGGATTGGTTGATGATGGGATATCCGAATGTGCTTATGTCTATAAACACTCTAGTATGATGATACCTAAATAGCGCACGATATCCATGGCTCCCACGAACCAACATCTTAGGTAACCTCTAAGACTTACATAATGTTATTCCCTATCAACGTATCTAGATATTCAATGATTTAAACAGACAGGTATCTAGTACCTAAAGAATAATGCTAATCTCCAATATCTGTCACTGCCTAGGTACGTCGGGTCTATCTAGGACCTCGGGAGCTAACCAAGCTTGGCTTCTTGGGCCGCGTGTAGTGTTTGCCACCATCAAGCAAAATCTAAATATTACCTAAGTACTTAGACATACACAAGTCCCGAGAACAATGGAATACACAACCATGAGCTTGAGGTAGCACAAAGGACTATATGTACATATTCAAGTTGCCGTCGTCATTGCTGAAAATGGAAATGATATGAACGTATTAAGTTCATGGGACATTCCAGACCTGCCCGTGACATTGTATTTGTAAACTCCAAGTTGGGGCTACGAACCTATCAAATCCTTAGTACAGCCACCGATGTGTGTGGTGGTCTCGGCCGTTTTCTTTGTCGGCAGGATGACGTCGTAAGAGCATGGGGTTTCGCAGATTTGGGAGACCTTAGACCCCGTAGACCCCGGCGACCCCGCGAATATCGACACTAGATATGCGTATATAGCCCCATCGTAAGTAATGTGACAATGTGAGATAATGTGATTGATGATGGGTGCAACCACCATTGCGCCACTTATAACTGATACCTGAGCTAAATAAGCGAAAAGAGTACCGAACTATCGGATGCTGTTATTCACTCATAGCAACTTCAACTCCCGTCGATGATTTTGAAGTCTTGTACTCTTTGCCCTTCGAGGCTATAATCGCTCAACACCGCCGCGATCCTGAAAACGATACCCTTATATTTCGAAACGAACCGCGAGCTTCCAATCGTTACACTTGCCAAGATTTAGCAACTAGAGCATTAAAGCCGTTATTGTGTCACCATGGCATTGGGTAGATGGACGTTCCCGACTAGCAGAAAACAGTCTACAGCAAGCTCTGGTACTAACAGAACGACGAACGGCACAACAACACCTACCGACAACGAAGCTCAGGAGTCGACCAAGAGCCCATCTCGTTTGCTACGGACCTTTACCGGAGGTTTTATGTCACATAAATCCAAAAAGTCAGTTGACCGTGACGAGCTGGCCCATCTAAACAGGCCATTCAACCAACAAAACTTGGAACATCAGAAGATACTGAACGCTTTCGAATGGAACTTTGGGAAGAGGAAATCGAGCCGCAGCAGTAGAAGCATCGCGAGTGGCATTAGCCCCAACGCTTCGAGGAATAATAGTGTCGACCGTGGCCATATGTCCCATTATGCTCCGACGGAGACGCATCCTCGGTTCGATACCAGCTTAGCTCGCCAGCCAACTCGAGAAGACCCCCGAGAAGAATCGGAGAAATAGCTAGCGGGTGCGTGTCATTGGGCCTCTTGCGGTATTTTGAGGCCCTTGAATTCAGCGGGATACGACTGGATGAATGTAATATGATACCTTGGGAGTTCACTTCGTTGATTGGCGTTTGACGGCAAATACACGGAATAGGGCGGCATATTCATTAGCGGGTTGGGAAAAGATCATCTTATTAATCCTTGGGACCAACACTCGAGCGTGTTGAATAGTAATACCTAAGCAATAAAGGCCTCAGAATTTTCAGTGTAAATTGATAACTCATTGGAGTGATCCTCATAGACTGTGTAAGATCGTTCATCACTGGCCAAACGTCGTATTGGTACCTACTTAATGTATCAATGATGAATATCACTGGACATCATCTTGATAAACCGCTGAGGTTGCATGTTTCCAATCCCTTACAATGCTTGATACTTACTACAAAGTCCAGGTATAAGGATACTCGAATTATAACATACATTCTGATCCTGAAGAGCCTCACCAGTCCAAGTTGACAGGTTGACACCTAGAGATTTGGTGGTATTGATCTCCAATTCCGTTAGCAACAGGTAGATGCGAGTCTTTGATGCTACTGCTGAATTGATAGTCCGGGGCGGTGCTGGCAAGTCCAAATCCCCATGTACTTAAATCCTGTAGTTCGTTTTGACCATCTTTCCGTACGGAGAGTGTATTGAACCAGGTCAAGAAGAATGGCAAAAATGTCGGCTTCAATAAGAAAATGAAAGATTTCTAAGAAAAAGCTAACGACGAGAAAATTTGTATCTTTAAGCTACTAGACTTTTGATCCTAAAGTGGTCTGTGCCCTGCGCTCTGCTGCGTAAAACCGGCCCTCAGAAAATCCGATAAACAGTGGGGCTTGGTTTTTAGGGTGCCCGCACCTTTTTCGGCCTGTACCCTAATTCACTAAGCGAGCCTACCAAAATTAAATCTTCAAATCTTCTCTTTCGCATTCTTCTCACTACAATTCTAACGACAAACGACATCCAGGTAGCAACTCAACAACACAGTTGCCCATCATGTCGCTCGTCTCAGGAGAGAAGACGAACTTCCAGTTCGTAAGTGAATCCCTCAATTTATTTTACGCGCCTCGCCTTGATCGTCGTCTATCTCGACCGGGAGTCGCATTAATTTGCGAGCCTTCATCGACTCTGCATTAATGATCTGTGACTTGATATCTATGGACATCCTTACTAACTAAAATCAATAGATCTTGCGTCTCCTAAACACGAACGTCGATGGCAAGGAGAAGGTTATGTACGCCATGACCCGAATCAAGGGTGTTGGTCGACGATACTCCAACTTGGTCTGCAAGAAGGCCGATGTCGACCTCAACAAGCGGTACGGATTTCTCGCCAGTCTAATAGAAAGAACGGGATGAAGGCTAATAGGTTACTGAATAGCGCTGGTGAACTTACCTCCGAAGAGCTTGAGCGTATCGTCACTATCCTCCAGAACCCTACCCAGTACAAGATCCCCGCATGGTTCCTCAACCGACAGCGCGATATCGCCGATGGCAAGAGCTACCAGGTCCTAGCAAACGGTGTTGACTCCAAGCTACGTGACGACCTTGAGCGCCTAAAGAAGATTCGTGCTCACCGTGGTCTCCGACATTACTGGGGTCTACGTGTTCGTGGCCAGCACACCAAGACGACTGGTCGTCGCGGCCGGACCGTCGGTGTCTCCAAGAAGAAGGGTGGTTAAAAAATTTACTGGTGGAGGCATGGTTTCATTGGTTCAGAACATTCATTGCGGATGGACAGGCGTGAAGGCTGGACTGAAATTACTGCATCGACGTTTACTGAATTACATTGCACTTGGGGATTTTTCGGACTCGGCAAGTCATAGGTGTACTCTAAATAGCAAAGAGACATCGTTGTGACCAACACTTCAAATTGATTCGGAATGAACATGTGATGAGGCATGCGTGATATTCAGCTGCAGTAATTGCAACTCTGCCGCATGCTCCCTTTTTATTTTTCCTCTATGCCATATCAAGCCTATACCGGTGCCATGCTACTAAATCATTTTGGATATCCGAGTTCATAAATCATGGCTGCTAAACTGGGTTCTCTAATCTTCATGGGTTACTGCCATATCGAGGACCTCGACTCGTCCTTGGCCTTTGGTTTCGTTGCCTACGAAGTCGGATAAACCTTTGAAAGCGCCAGGCTCGACAAACCCAACTACCTCCCACTCTGATCCCAGGACGTCTTGGGTTTCTACCTGTTCAACATAACTTAGGATCTTGTCCTTGACCGTACCAGGTGTCTTTTGTTCTCCATCCGTATCACCACCTTTTGGTGCTTTCACTGCTTGCTTCAGAACGTTCGTGGAGCACGTAATTCTAAGCCTCATCCGCGCTCTAGTAACAGGGATAGGTTGGTGCGCAATCAGGGCCTTCATAGCTTCAAGGGCCTGACTCTTCGCACTCTTCGTCGTAACCACACCAGTCCAATTGTGCTCCTTTGTTCTTGGCTTCGCTTCCGCGTCATCGCCTGTTGCCGGTGTTCCCACGCCACTGCCTGTCTCTGTGCCCTTCTTATCTCCTTGCTGATGATGCGCCTGAGAACTCAACATATCCAAGGCCTTCTCGATCATGCCAGTGGTGTAAACTCTCTTCGTCCGAGGATCTACTAGCTTGCTAGCTACGATGCTAACGACTTCGTTGTGTACTCTGTCTAGTTGCGCCGCGCGCTCTTTCTCGCCCACTTGCAGCTCGCCTTTATTCAGGATTTCGAGGATGATATCGTTTAGAGGCTTATCCTTGCCGAACGCTTTTGCAAGCTCTGCGGAGGGCGCTGTCTGTCCTTTTGAGACATTGAGGAAGACGTTGGGGATCTGTAGAACCTCGTCGAGGTCGGTCTCGATGCCTGATCGCCATTCTAACACTTTGTTCTTGTAACAGGCGATCTCGAAACGCTTCTTCCCCTTCTTTAAGCGCACAAGCGAAACATTGGTAAGCTTGATTTGATTAGACTGATAATAAAGTCAGCCTTCTCGTAGCCAAGCGCACAGTTCCTCTCAACTGTCAAGAATCTGGATCGGCATAGGAAACGCGGGGAGACGCAAACGGGGACGGTGGGGTTTAATTACATACTGCGATATATTAGCATGTGCGACCTGCAAGGGGATGAGAGACATTTGAAAACAGGAACTCCTCGTGATCTAAAACTCCACTGTGCAGTGCTCCTTACCAGGTTGGTTTATTTGTCGCGACATCTTGTCTTCTTGCGATTATAGAGTTGTAGATGGTTGAGTTATTTTACTAAGCGTGCACACAGTCAGATGTCATAAAGGAACATGCATATCCTAGCTGGAAAAATTCATAAAACCGTAGTTTCTCCAGAACGAACCAGAAATAAGGTTGCTCTGGGCTTGCTCTGGGCTAGTGGAACCAGAACCTTAGAAGTCGGCAGTACTTAGGCAGGTACCTAACCTTACCGACATATTGACGCATCCGTGGATCACGAGCCAGCACATAACAAGCTTCCCCGAGTCTTAGACAAGGCACTTAGGACGCAGGAACAGCTCAGCAGTATATGTAATCTCAATAATAGCAGATTCATGAAAGCATCGGTACAAATGGTCCGTATCTATTTATTAATCTGAATCATAGGCAAGGCATACCTACTCGTTATAGGTTAGTGTACACTAATCGTGACCGATGACGCTTATCGCGATGTACCCCTCGGTCTATCACGCGACACGAAGCTCGATAACGTCTGGGCGTAGGTAAACCCAGCTGTCGTAATCTACGTATTGCATTGAAGGCAGGGCGAGCAAGTTACTTACTAGCATAAGTGGGTCCCGCCTCCCTGCTCAACAGGTGGGAAACCTCCCCTGTAAGCAATAAGGGGGAACTTAACCAAGGCACCAAAATGCTAGTGGTTGGCTGGCCATTGACTGGTCATTGGCAGCCACTGACCAGTCGGGTTCTCCTTCCCCGTCCCGTTTCATCGCCCATCCATATCTCCAGTGCTTGGAGCTTCCCCCGATCTTCCCTTCTTGCTCATTGTTATTTGTATCAACCCATCGTCAACAACCTTCACTCTCAACTCTTCCATCCAATCTTTTCTTTCCCCAAACCGTCCATCATCATCACCATCGCCATCATAGTCATCGTCAATTCTGGTAGTTCGTTGATAACTCGCTTGCTACCACCATGAGAGTAGCTAGCTCCGCCCTGCTGCTAGGCGCCAGTTCGGCTGCCTTTGCGCAAGAACAGAAGGTCCTTGGTGGCATCGGCGATGCTGTCAAGAAGCCCTTCGACCACATCGGCAGTGCCTTTGGGGAGATGCCAGCTGCTGCTAAGGGACTCTGGGATGAAATGAGCCTCCTGGTCCCTGGCTTCTACGAAAAGGCCTCTAACCTTATCTCCTACCCCAAGCCTCATTCTCGCCGCCCGGACAAGGAATGGGACCATGTCGTCAAGGGTGCCGATGTCCAAAGCATGTGGGTTGAGACGGATGGTGTCAAGCACCGAAAGGTCGATGGTTCTCTTGAGGCCTACAACCTCCGAGCGAAGAATGTCGACCCTTCCGAACTCGGCGTAGACAAGGTGAAGCAGTTCAGCGGATACCTTGATGACGAAGCTAATGACAAGCACCTGTTCTACTGTAAGTTGTTTGACTCGAAGCTCTAAAAACCTCATCAACTAATGATATCTATAGGGTTCTTTGAATCTCGAAACAACCCCAAGACCGACCCCGTCGTACTATGGTTGAACGGCGGCCCAGGTTGCTCTTCCATGATGGGTCTCTTCATGGAACTTGGACCGTCCAGCGTCAATAAGGATGGCTCGCTCAAGTACAACGACTACTCGTGGAACAGCAACGCGTCTGTTATCTTCATTGACCAACCCGTCAACACCGGCTACTCATACAGTAGCAACCCCGTCTACAACACCGTCGCCGCAAGCAAGGACATCTACGCCCTCTTGACCTTGTTCTTCCACAACTTCCCCGAATACAGTGAGCAGCCATTCCACATCGCTGGTGAATCATATGCTGGCCACTACATCCCCGTTTTCGCCTCCGAGATCTTGTCGCATAAGAACCGCAACATCAACCTACAAAGCATTGCCATCGGTAACGGCTTGACCGACCCTTACACTCAATATGCCGAGTACCGCCCCATGGCCTGTGGTGAAGGTGGCTACAAGGCAGTGCTTGACGAGAGCGAGTGTCAGTCGATGGACAATGCTCTTCCCCGTTGCCAATCTCTGATCTCGAGCTGCTACGACTCTGAGAGCGTTTGGTCTTGCGTTCCTAGCGCCATTTACTGTAACAATGCCATGATTGGTCCCTTCCAGCGCACTGGATATAATGTCTACGATATCCGTGAGAAGTGCCAGGACCAGGAGAACCTTTGCTACACCGAGACTGCCTGGATCAGCCAGTACCTGAACCAGGACAAGGTCATCAAGGCCGTCGGCGCCGAGGTGCAAAACTACGAGAGCTGCAACACTGACATCAACAGGAACTTTTTGTTCCAGGGTGATTGGTCTAAGCCGTTCCACCGCCTTGTCCCTGACATCATCAAGCAGATCCCTGTCCTTATCTACGCTGGTGATGCCGACTACATCTGCAACTGGCTTGGCAACAAGGCTTGGTCGGAGGCGCTTGAGTGGTCTGGCAAGAAGGGCTTCAACGCTGCCGATATGAAGGATCTCTCAACCGGCTCTGACAAGTACGGAGAGGTCAAGAGCAGCGGCAACTTCACCTTCGCACGTATCTACCAGGCAGGCCACATGGTTCCATTCAACCAACCTGAGGGTTCTTTGGACCTGTTCAACAGATGGCTTGGAGGTGAATGGTATGCTTGAAGGATGATGATTTAAGTCATGTGTGATTATTGTATTACGAAACACAATGATTAGGTTACGGCGAACAATATGTTAGATTGCATTTGTTTAACGGAGTATTAATGAAAGGGTTTTGACCGTAGAACGATTGGGGTTCGATAAATTCGACCGAACATGAGACAGTTCACCAATATACGAGTTCGAGAGCAAAATTCATTTTGAAATGTCTATTGATAATGGGATACGAACCAGTGTGAAACTACCTAGTTGAAAATCGTAGCCATGAGATGTTACAACAGATAAATTACGAGAGCCTCGATGCGGATTGCCAGGAGGTCCCGTACTCAAAGATCGTTGCAAAGTTCGGTCTTGTCTCATACACTCGACAGAGGTATCCGGCTCAAGATCAGACGTGGAATATCGAGCCTGACCGAGCATGGCAAAAGACGAAATCATCTTGACGCTTTCTTTTAAAAACACTTACTATCACCATGTGGACGACTTTCCAGGGCGCAATAATGGTACATAGATGCTATGTTACCTTTCTGTACTTGCTCAATGATGTGTGGAAATTGGAATCAGCCAAGTCTCCGTATCGAGAGTGAACAACTTCAAGGCAATGGCAATTAATAGTAATTGAGCATGTCTTGGTTGAGTTGACTTTGCTTCTTCAGCAAGAAAATGATACTGGGTAGAAGAAATTGAGAACTGGGAAGTGAGAAGAAATCTGCGTGAAAAGTGGGTGCTATGCAACTTGTCGTATGTGGCGCTTGGCACCAGCCACAGCTATCGGTTAGGTACTAGCCACCCCCTAACCTCCGCTCCGAACTCATCAGCTACGACCCCTCTAGTAGCAAAAGAAAATTAATTCACATCTCTCAAACAAATCATGAAATAACATACCGTCAAATACTTATATGAGTAGTTTCGCATTCTACATCTTAGTTGTGGATGTTCCAGTTCTCACATGGCAAGAAGGAACATTAGAACACAGCCAAGCAAACGGGAGCATCAAGAAAGAACTATATACTTCCAAGTTTTCTAGGCAAGCCCAACTGAGTTATCAACTCGTGTTTCTCTGGTTGCAATACGCAAACCTTCTAATTAACAGGAGCTCTTAGCTTCCCTATTGTAATTTTGTTGGATTAGGAACTGCTTGTCTAGGTTGCAATTGCCTGAGTACCGAACATGGAGACGATGAAAAATCTACGGTATCTCGGCGTTCTTACGAGAAACATGAATCTCCATACTTCATTCTTTCGTTATTTTCATTTCCTATCTCTATCCAATTTTCAGCATCTCGAGTTGGGACATTTTTCAATTCGTCATGTTGGAGCAAGCCTGGGTTAGGCTTACCATAGCCTTTACGTTAATCGGGGTTTTCTTGCTTCAGCAACAACATCAGTCCCAATTTGGTATGAGGCTAACCAGCGAGACTTTGAGATGGTATCACTTGAAACTATATTCACTCTAATGATTGAATAGGTCAACAAGATCCGTACCGATGCCGGGCCCTCTTGCACGACGGTGCGTGGTCACCTGCGGCTTCAGACGGCCCTATGAAGTGGGAACCCAAGAACTGTCGAATGGGCGAATATCCAAGAGATGCTCTCCGTACTTGCTTAAAAACCCGAAAGGCTGTTTTCGTGGGAGACTCTACTATTCGTCAGGTCTTCTGGGCTGCCGCGAAAAGACTCGAACTGCGCCAAATGAGGGTTGCGATCGGGAATTCAACCGACTTGGAACGGGAGCATCAAAGTGTATCATTCGAGGGCAAAGGCGTAAAACTCGACTTCATCTGGGACCCCTGGCTGAATTCCAGCAAACTAGAGAAGACATTGAAAAATTTCCACACTTCGCCTACACCCCCAAATGAGTTCACAATCAGGAAGGAAGACGACGAGTCTCCTGCTCTGATCCTCGTAGGTGCACCAGGACTCTGGGCCGCTCGATACGGCGGGGATGATTATCTAGACATATTCAAACGCGGAATCAATCGCATTAAGCCATACATATCGGACGCGTTCGAAGAAAACATGCGTTGGGGTTTTGATTTCGGACCTGGTGATCTTGCCAACCACGTTTTGCTAGCTCCCGTTCAGGTTCCGGAGTATGAACATCTGTCTCCTAGCCGACACGAAACCATCACGGCATCACGAATCAGGAAGATGAACGACTACCTTTCAGGCCTCTCGCAAAACCAGTCATCGCATATACCTTGGGTGTATAATAAATTGTCAGTCGGCTCGGGGAATGACTTCACCACGGACGGATTACATGTTTCAGACAGCATAGCGGCACACAAGCTTGACATCGCCATTAATGCGCATTGTAACGCCCTCAGTAGCCATATCCGCACTTTCAAGGGTACCTGCTGTATTTCTAATTATCGGAACAAAATTTTTAATTTGGCGTGGGAGATAGCGGCATTCATAGGACTTGCTTCGATTGTCATCGAACTTACCGTGGGCGTGTCCCTGATTGAACATGAGATTATCAACGCGGCCAAAGTTATTGTCGCTATCGGCTTATGGGCTTATTACTGTGACAGGACTACCTTTTTCGGCAAACTGGAACGTCACTATGAACCTGTTGAGTTCATTGTCATGTGCCTTTTATGGCTGGTGGTCAGCATCTTCTCGATGAAAAGAATTCCCAAGCCAACAGACTTGCCAGAAAGATCGGTGGCAAGGCTCAGGCAAGAACGCAATCCGGATCCACCAGGCTATGGCCCAGGCTATCTATCGAGGGAACATTGCCTTGAAATCAAAGGGTTGATGCAGGGGTTCATTCTACTCTACCATTACCACTACGCATCTCAGGCGCTATGGGTGTACAAGATCATTCGAGTATTCATATCCGGCTACTTCTTCCTTACTGCGTACGGCCACACGCTATACTTCCTCAGGACAAATGATTACTCTTTTAGGCGTGTCTCAGCTATCCTATTTCGCTTAAACCTGCTAAGTGCTCTCTTACCGTATGCCATGGACACCGACTATAGCTTGTACTATTTCGCCCCAGTCATCACATTCTGGTACCTCGTTTTATACGCAATGCTCCGCTTCTTCCGAGGATACAACAATGAACTGCCTTGGTTGATCGCGAAAGTGATAGCGACAGCTATGATGACCGCTATATTCATATCAAAACACGGAGTCCTCGAATCTGCCGCTAGGCTCTCACACGTTTATCTCAACGTAAACTGGAACGCCAGGGAAATGCGCTTCAGGCTACAACTAGACCGGTACATCATCTTCGTCGGGGTAATCGTAGGGGCGCTCGTCCACAAAGCCCGATCGCGCCCCATTCTCCCCACCGACAACGGCAGACGCCCTCTAGATCGAAGGCTCGTGACCATCGTCTGCACCGCGAACATCATGAACTTCTTCTACTTCATCCAGCACACGCTACACAAGAAAGCGAACTACAACAAGATCCACCCCTTCATATCCTTCATCCCGATCCTCTCCTTCATCGTCCTCCGCAGCTCGATCCCCAGGCTGAGGCACGTGTACCTCCGGCTGCCGGCGCTGCTGGGCCAGATGTCGCTCGAGACGTACGTGCTGCAGTACCACGTCTGGCTCGCGGCCAACGCGACGGCGAAGCACACGTTCGGGCTCTGGGACGACGTGTAGGGACGGCGTCTCGAGGCTGTGCTGTTCACCGTGGCGTTTGTCGGCCTCGCCATGACGGCGCATTGGGCCACGGACTTCCTCGCGCGCAATTTATCGAGGGGCTGGATGTTCTTTTTGGTCTGGCATATGTGGGTGTACAATATGCGCGAGAGGTGGTTTTATCCGATCTTGTACGGGCTGAGCTGGGTCGGCGCTGCTTGTTTTGCGGCTGTGATCATCACTCACTGAGGTAGGTAGCTGCACTTTGCTGCTTGGGATTAGGATGGGATGGGTTGATTGGTTTGGGGGTGAGGAACGGAAGCGTCGTTGCGGTTAGATAAGCGTTTATTAGCGAGGTATGTTATGACGATCCCTTTTTCATTAGAAACTGAGAATTTTTGTTGGTGCACCTTGTTGACGAGTTTCCTTCGAACTGCTTCATATTATTACAGAGGTAGGAGGGTGTCATCATGAATTAATGTGCATTCATACCTACTCATCGTCAACTCATTGACCTATTTGATACTTCTTAGGATCGAAATGCCAAGTCACAGTCAAGATAACAATTGAAAGAGAGAGCGGGTAAATATTGAGCTGACTATAATACACTCTGTCCTCCACACCTATTTAACTAACACCAAAATAGAGAAAGTCAATCAATTTTGTAATAACTCTAGACAAGTTTCGTTTCTACCCCAGCAAGCCGCCAGGCTTTTACGAATCGGGAGCGGACCCGCGCTCCTCCTCCGATGTATCTGCTCGGCAACTGCAACCCCCGGAGCGGGACGGGGTGGGCAGGCTGTTGATACGCGGGTGGTGAGGAACTATAATAGATAATTGCTCCCTCTAGCAAGTATTGTTATTTACGACAAAGTCTTGCCTAACCCATTCCACCGAGACAACAACTTTCTGCGGTTTATCGCGGAGTATTCCACCGGAAGTGGAAGAGGAAGGGAGGACCAGAATAATTGTCCCATGCCACCAATGATAATTCGTGGTGGCGTGGTCGGGACGTTCAATGGAATCTGGGGCCCAGGATACCATCGTTAGACAGTACCCTGGGCGCCGTTGATTAGGAGGTGAATTAGGAGGTGAGAAGGTTGTTCCACCTCTTACGAGTTGAATCGGTTATGGCCAGGATCGTGTGATGGTGTTGACGGGTTAAACTCGCCCAACGACCCTGCGCGCTGGCGCTTCTGTAGCGGCACAGTGCGTCCTGAGGACCTGGCGGGGAAGTCGGCAGGAGTGGGAGTCGAGTACTCCTCCCCTGCCCGCCCCTCCGTGGAAGGAAGGCCAGATCAGCGTTGGTATGACATGGGTAATGCATTACAGTAATAAGTAGGTAATTAAGGTTGTAAGTATTATTTTGGTTGGTCGTCCCTCGTGAGAGGTAAGTACAGTTGACGACCTGTACTGCAGCGTTCTGATCGTTAATATATCGCGATATGTATCTTTCGCGCGCGTGTGAACGGCGAATCTGTTGACGCAATATAGGGCCCGAGATTCTCAAGGTACTCCTAGTTTTCGTACATGCAATGTAGCAAGTACGCGGGAGTGCGCGGCTCGCCCCTTCTGATCAACCTCATTGATCAGGGATGGTCCTGAACCGAAGGCCCTCTTCGCGAGGAAGCGGTCTAGGGGTCCATTTACGTCTGGAACGCCTCTTACGCTGTTCCTTCGTTTTCGCTGTGGCGCGGCTGTGGCCACCGAACGACTCGTGATTATGCTTGTACATACATCGCACAACCACGAGTCATCCAGTAGCCTGGTGGTTTTTGACGACGACAGTGTTACTTAGATCTCAGTTTGAAATCTCTGCCTTCCCCCTGTCCCTTGGGTATGCCTTCATGGGCCCGGCCCTTAGTGGGCTCGGGACTTAGTAGGACGGGACGCCCGGGCACCGCGCTCCCTTCGAGATGTGGGAGCGAATATTAGTGTGTTGGGAGCAGGAAAGGGAGCACCCCGACACTTAGGGTCAGCGTCGGGGAGGATCCCGCGGAGTTCGTGGGTTACTCAAACTCCGCCTCCCCGACCGAGGCTTATGATTAATGATACTCTACCTTTAAAGCAGAGTATCTTGAGGAAATAGAGTTTGGCAACAATTTATGTTTACCATTATTTATCCTCAACTTCCCCTAGCCCGCTTATTTGGTGCGGAGTTTATCGTTGGGATGGTTCGCCCCAGGGACCCCCTCATTGAAGGGTCATCCCCGTTAGCTTATGTCCCCGTTCCCCCAGGAGGATACCCAAGGGAGAATCCTGGGGATGCGGGTGTGATGGGCATAATATATATAACTTAGTGCCTCAGGGGTGCTCCCTCCCTCCCCCCTTGTTCGGCGTTGTCTTCTTGCACCGCTCCTTGGCCTCGAGATATCGGGTGCTGTACGAAGACAACCACTACGAGGGACTGCAGTTAAGCAGGTACCACCGTAGATCGGATGCACAATCGCTTATTACCAGTCTGCGTCCGCAGTGCGCACGCCCCTTGGACCGGCACATGACACTCGTAAGGGCCATTCGGAAAGGCCCGTGGTATGGACTTGTACTCACGCGACCCGAAGTGTGCCGAACGGGACACCCTCTCCCGCGTGGGGCTCTCTCAGCGCCCTTCCCTTAGGGAAGTGGGATTAGGGGCTTTACAGGGGCAACCCCATGGAGGAGGAGTGAGGATGAGATAATACTGCTGCCGCCTCGATTTCGGGGTACGCCCGCTCTGCCGTTAAGGCCGCCATTGGGCGCGGAGATGTACAGAGAGTTGTCGCTCCCTTTATACCGGGGCGCTCTGGATGCCCTGCCCATTAGCGGGCTTAGGGGCTTTACAGAGACAGCCCGGGTCTCCGGCCGAAAACGTCCCTTGGGGAAGGCATGATCTTCTTGGCAGTCATGCCTAACCCATAAGTTATCCACGTTATATTTTCCCTTTAGGACGATGTTACAGAACAAGGTGAACCTCGAGTGGAAGTGCCATGCCACGACATGAGAACCGCCATGTATGGCGCTAGACGAGCAGGGAAGCAGTAAGGGGAGAGTCACTCTTCCCCCATTGCTTCCCATAGGAAGATCTCGTATAGGTAACTGAAGAGTTTATACTCTCCAGCCGGTGTGCGTATCATCCTTTCGCCGTTCCCCACGGAATTGTCGTGCGGATCGACGAGGAAGGCTCGGAGCCTTGGATGACTCACAAGACTCCGAGCTTCTCCTGTCGTAGTGGTGCTTCATGGAGCAAGCCTCCCTGGTGGAGAACGTAGGAGATATTAATTATTATTTCTTTAGACTCGGGGAATAGACGGGTCGAGAAGGACGGTAAGTCCCTCGTTACGACCGGGACATAAGGTGTCCGTCGAGCACGCGCGGACGTCCTTCAGCTCGGCCGGGCGTCCTGGTATCCACTTGGGAGTGGTTTTCCCACTCTTATTAGATTTGGGATATTAAAGGGACAGCACCCGGAGTGAGCTTGGAGTTGCGGCTTGATTAAGCCCCAACCCAGCGGAGGTAGGTGCGAAGTCTCTCTCCTTAGGACCGAAACTCCAGGGACGCATTTCAAGGCCCCTTATGAGTGGGTTTATTGAAATATAGCTGCTGGATGCTGCCTCTGGGGTCGCATTCCCCCTCCTTAGGCGGCTGTTCAGGTCTCCAACCCTTGATAATGGGTTTCGGCATTTTAGAGAGACAGTCCGCCACAAGCATCTTGTTGTTGCTCGACCTTGCTTAAGAGGGGCGAGGTCTCTGTATTGGCAACTGCAGTGCCGTGCTCCAGCTCTAGAAGGGTGGCGAGGTACTCCCGCTGGCTTCTCGCGCGCCCAAGTAGCTAGCACAGGGTTTGATTATCAAGGAAACCCTTGCAGGCCGAACCCCCGGGTTTCCCATGCTTAGATTGCTTGAGAGCGTTTAGAGGGGAGAGACAGTTCTTGAATGTCTGTAATGTCTCTTCCCAACTCCCAAGTTAAGGATAATAGCATCCAGAAGGTTATCTTCTAGGCTTTCATTGGAAGAGGGTTAGATCAAAGCCGTGGAGGCCAGGGCTGTTCTAGGTGCCCCGGCCCATCCATTAGGGAATGTCCCAGTGCCCTTCCCTTATGTTAGTGGAAACTTGGGCTTTACAGGGACAACCCAATGGATGAGCTGCTGGTTCCGTGCTGCGTGGTAACACGCACACGTATGAACCAGTCGAGCGGACCCGCGCCCGCTATTCCCGAGTACATGGCTTAATTGTACCGCGCCTCATATAATGAATGAATCCGGCGATCTTTCGCCCGGACATCCCAGGGGCCATCTACCCCTTCTCATGCTATCCTCCTCTAGAGCTGTTTCCGGCAGAGGAGGATGCATGGATTGGCTGCTGTCTAAGTGGGAAGCAGTTCCGTTAAGTAGCAGTATGACGGACAGCTTACTCCAGCAGTATCTAAATTTTCGTTAGTTAAGACGACCTCCAGATCGGGGACAGTGTTCTACTTACTTAATTTAATGCTAGCTGACATTAGGCCAGCTAGCTTATTATTCACCTTGAGTCCTTTTGTCGGACAAAAGGGAGTTAAGAGTTATTATTGGTAGAAGATTCTTGGGGTGAATATGATGAGCCTATTAACGTCTGAAGGGCGTATACGTTAACGTTTACCTTAGATAGGACTATCTTAGGTTTGTAACGCAACACTCGACGAGGATGACGACCCCGAAGAAGAAATCGATGGCGAAGAGATGCTCCTGCTAAGTCGGTAAGGAGTAAGAATATTGTAACGGATGGTAAGAAGTAAGCTCGGAGGCCGATAATGCATGATGGGTCGAAGATATGGCCAGCGTCTTTATTGTGATTGTTGCCGTCGATATGTTCCTGGTGCGGCTATTTACCTCAAGATCTTTGACTGTTTATGTCCACCTATTGTTAGAAATGATACCAAGTAATGATTGCTAAGAAATTAGACATACACTGGAAGTTCTCATGACAAGATAAACAGGCACCCAGATCGGTCGTTCAAGGGTCAGTGGGGTAGGGGGGTTGTCTCGTCAATGATTCCCTTTGAAGGTTATTTTACCGCAATACAACAGTCCTCTAAGGTTTGTTCGCCTTTTTAATTATTAGTGATAAACGAACATGCTGCCTTGTGATGTTTTTCAACTTACGGTAGTGAGGGGTCTGATTGAGTTCACGACGTATGTGAGGATTGTGGTGGTTGAACCCGCGTGTGCTATGACAAGGCAAACGTAGACTAAGTCTTATTAGTAACAAATTCATATTGATAGTTGTTCTTATAGTAAGAAAACAGTGGACGGGTAGTAAGTTAATATGGATGGTTGGGGTATGGTATGGATGAAGTATGATGTAGAGGGGTGATGGTAAAAAATAGGTCAAGGTATGGACGAGGCAAGCTATAGACGAAGCATGGGATGGATGAGGTATGTATGGGTGTTTACCTTGGATAGGCTGTGAGTGTAGATGTACTGTTGTGCGGATGGAGTGATAATGTGTGAAGTAATAGTGGACGAGGTGGTGATGGATGAATTTGTGATGGACAAAACAATGATATGAAGTAATGATGGGTGATGTATGGCAGGGACAAAGTATAACATGAACGAGGAATGGTATGATTGGAGTATGTATATGCGTACATCTTGTTTATGGAAGGCAGGTTGTTTGTTTTGTGTGTGTGTGGGCGTTTGCACCCTGGGCTGGTTCGCTCACTAGCAGGGACGGGGACGAGGTTAAGGTCAAAAACAACAATGACAACGGCGAAGGTGGCGATGAGAAGGTGGAAAGAAAAATGTATTGTAAGGTGGAAAGGTAAATCGGTCTGGTTAATAAGGAAAAGAAAGAAGTTTAATGGTAACTTGCCTACATATGATGAGTAGTGTTGGATGATGAACGATGGAATCTTCGTCTTGTTTGATGGTAAGAAGGAAGGCTAGAGGATTATGTGCATTAACGACCGAGTAGTAGACGATGGAGGTTGGGTTGGGATTGCGCTTGAGAAAAAGGTTGAAGGGAGGAAGAAAGAATCGTGAATGGGGACCCAGGTATAAATAGGTTTCCGTGCGGATGGAGGGAAGGAAAAGAATCAGTAATGAGAACAGTATGAGTGACGAAAGTGGTTCTAGGCTTAGGTAAAATATCTGATAGAGAAGGAAGTTGCCATAGGTATACGTACAAATAAGGGATAGGAGACCCACGAATATCCTAAACAGGCGAGTGCCCTGGTGGCAGCCAGCAGTTGAAGCGTCCAAAGGTCCGTTGATACTTGGGATGTAGAAGGTGCACGTCCCTCAGGGGGCCGTGTGGCCGTGTCAACTGACGATAATGCCCATTACATGGAGAATACAGACGAGTCACTTCCTGGTCTTGTTCCCAGTTGGTCGAAGGTGAGCAGGTAAGTGCTAGGTAAGTGCCTGATTGAACTGGCAGACGACGGAGCAGTCCGTGCATATAATTGCTCGTCGTCATAGAATTATATAAGAGTCACGTCACACTGAGAAGGTTTATATCTAGTTCTACGGATATGTACCCAATAGCTGCGAGATATCCTGTTCTAAAGATACGCACGGGCTATATATAGTGTTCTATTTCGAGCGAAACTTTAGTACATAGTCATGATGATGTTCTAGGTACCTACTAGGCAAGAGTTGTTTTCATGATTTGGTACACGTCCCTTTATTATCTTATACCCTTTGACAACACTGCTTAGTAGGGACCTTATGTGGCACATAATAGTTCTCCCCAATATAGATAGATACTACCTAACCAGCATCAACTGAAATAAGTCATCTCTATTAAGTGTGCGAGGAAGTAAACAATCAATCTGTGGTATTCCCACCTGACGGCATAGTGGCAATACAGAGTATAGGAACGTTCTACGTGATAGAGCTAGCCCCAAACAGCACGAGGACATCACCAAGAATAATATTCGCTGGATTATATGAATTACTACACTGGGGATTTTGCTATTAAGTTGTAAAGCATATGTATAGTCCGCTAGCCTTGCTATCCTTTCAAGTCGTGTTTCATGTCCTAAATTATTAGACCCGGCAAACCCGCTTCCTACTTGATTCCTTTATCTGGAGACGCATTCTGCTCCGAAGACACCAGCTGTAGCTGAACCAAGTCCGGAAAAGGCGGCTATACCCCAAGTTAGAGCGGCCGACTCCCAATCCGGTTCACTAGCTGGCAAAACATCTCCCTCCACTATGTCTCGAGCCTCTGATGGAGCAGGCTCATATGGTTTCTCTTCCTCAGGTTGCTTGGTTTTCTTCGGCCGTCCTCGCCTCTTCCCAGGGGTTCTGCCTCCTTCCTCACTGTGTGCGGACGAGCTCGCAGCACTTCCCACTCTTGACTTGGTCGATCTTCTTGGGTGCCTTAGAGTCATTGGGTGTTCTGGCGTGACTTCTTCGGAAAGCTCAGGATCAGCTTTAACTGGTGTACCTGGTTCCTTGTTGTCCTCAACGGGGTACTCAAATTTGTGCTTGAAGCCGTAGTTGAGATATGTCGAGTAAATAATATGTTGGGTGTTTGTAGCTCGGACAGCAGCCCAGAGGCCTAGACTGAATACACAGATCAAGACGTCCCATCCAACAGCCATCACGGCAGGATGGTCATATATGGAGCCCAGCACCTTGCCTACTGCTGTACTACTACGTTCCCAGTTGGTGCGTTCCTCCGTGTCCCATGTGAAGAAAACACTGTGTCGATGATGATGTGAATTTGGGATACTTGTGATGATCCCTGCGATGGCAACCTTGAAATGGTATACGAAGGACATGAAAGAAACGGTTCGATATATCGTTGTGAGTGGACGATATGCGTCATGTGGATGTGTGTGGATGGTGCCCCAGCTTGTTGGAGCAATCTCTGGTAGGATCAGGGGTAAGAAAGTTGAGGCACGAGTGAAGAATACTACATTCGCGAATGATGGTGTTTCGGCGGCTAAAGGGAGTAAAAACGTTGATGAGTAGTTGAGAGCCAAAGCCGATCCGAATGCAAGAGGATTCAGATACCAATTCTTTGGCTTGGGTGGGAAGTATTTGTCACGGATCTGAATCAAGCTTGAAGGCACCACTGGTAATCCATAGCTCTCCTTTCCTTGTGACAGGGGTGCTGGAGTTAGGAGAAGAACAAGGAAAAATAGGTTCTGGGCGAAGGATAGGCTGACGAGATGCGCCAGGGCGAGAAAGGCCGCAGTCAGTGGAACATTTCGTCGTCGTCCTTCGATTGACAATAGAAAACTGAATGCTATGGTGGCAAGATCGATCTGTTGACCCCACCAAAAGCGGCGAGCCTTCTCGGCAACAATTTCGAGATTGTCGAAGTAAGGTGAAGTATCACTCAACCAATGAGCTATATAGACTGGGTCCAGTATGCTTGAGTTCACCGGTTCTGGGAAAAGCGTTTCTTCGGGGATAAAGCTGGCATGATATTAGCCTTTCATAATTCAAAATGGGGAGTTAGTAAGGGGTAATCCATACCGTTCCGGTTGGTCGAGACCGTGCTCATATGCCCATGTTCGATACGACAGGACAGCTGAGTTTATAGAAGTATATGTGGCCAGGAATAGAGCTGTAATAGAAAGTCCGAGAAAGACCGGGACTAATCTCTTACGTTGCGCAAGACGAGATCGTGTGTCTTGGGCCGGGCCTAATGACTTATATGACGTATAAAGGCTAACACCGACGGCATATATCAAGTAGACGGTTGATATAAGACGGATGCCAACTGTAGCCAGTGAAATGAAGCTGTGGATGGTGTTATTAAACTAGTCTTCATCGTTGAGAAAGTAGGGTTAGGAAGACTTACCTCACTGGGTGTTGAAGGGGTATCGGTGCCATCTTGGGCTATGATACTGTTTGGGAAGATCCAAGCGAACAAATACAAGATAGTAATGCTCGAACCGTTTATACCATTATGATAAGCACGATTCCATACTTTGGCAGTAAAAGTATGTATTATGTAGGTAGGTTAAGTAAGTGATCTCAGGTGATGATTTCAAGTTGTGATTACAAGGGTAGGAATGCATATTTGCGTCGGGTCGTTGCCGCGTGGCGGGAAACTGGGGAAGCCAATACCAGCTGATTGGGTATTCTTATGACGCCATGTCTTTGACTACAGGTACAAAATGCCATAAAGAAGGGACGACTTACATGTACCTACCCCACGTTGAAGTATATGCGTGTATCCAAGTATATTTTCATTTCTATGTGCACTTGAATTCTTTTTCTTTTCCTTCGTCACAAATACTTGGGGCCTTGATAGGTACAGATGTGATGAATTTCTATGAAATATGTACGATATGTGAATTATCGTCCTCGATGTGATAGAAAGTTTTAGATTATGCATAATTTAATATGTTCGTTTTCTGCATGACTACCAGATTAAACATAATTTCCCGGCAGTCGAAGCAAAAATGCCACTTTTCCTGTCTGGGATTAGTGTCAGGCGGATAGCGGATTTTCGACATTACGGACCGTGCTACTAATAGGTTTGGAAACAGCCGGTCGTTGGCGCTCGAAACAGAAGCTTCTTCATTGGTCAGCTCAATCTAAAACATCACCTCAGCATTCCTTATCGGCTCGAGTCAACATCCCTATCTACCCCGAATTCGCAAAAATACCTCCCGATACAATACCTAGATACATTTTCCCAGGGAGAAACGATGTACCATCTAGCCAAATCGCTGTACCTCCTCGCGCGACGGAAAGAGGAATACTCGGTCATCCTCCTGGGCCTCGACAATGCCGGCAAGACGACGTTCCACGAGCAGGCCAAGGCGCTCTTCCTGCCCGAGCACCCGGACCCGAAGCTGAAGACGGTGCCGACGGTGGGCCAGAACGTGTCGACGCTGACGCTGCCGGACATGTACGTCAAGATCTGGGACGTCGGCGGCCAGCTGAGCCTGCGCAAGCTGTGGCAGAGCTACTACGCCAGCTGCCACGCCATCGTCTTCATCATCGACAGCACCGACATCGGCGACGGCAACCTCGAGCACGACAGCTCCGGCCGCCTCGAGGAGTGCCGCCTCGTGCTCGAGGACGTGCTGCAGAACTCAGAGACCGAGGGCGTGCCGCTGCTGATACTGGCCAACAAGCAGGATAGGGAGGACTGCGTCGAGGTCGTGCGCATAAAGGAGGGCCTGGTCAAGAAAGTGTTCGAAGGCGAGAAGGCGTCGAGTATTCGCGACTCGAGGGTGTTGCCTGTGAGCGCTCTGACGGGTACCGGCGTGAGGGAAGCAGTTGAGTGGGTGAGGTCGAGGGTCAAATGGAATAAAGAATCGAGGCCGCCGGTAATGCGGTAGGAAGTCAGGAAGTCAGGAAGTTTGACATTGCAAGATTACCCCGTGTTGTTTGGTTTAGAGAGGGCCCGGTGGCCTGGTTTTGCATTCAGCGTCATGGACAAGGCGTTCAAGGATTTTGGAACTTATGGGTTCAAATTTATCTAGAGGGCTGGCCTCTGAAGCATGGGTATCTTTATTTTGTTCGGTTATCTACGGAAGCAGTATCCATACGGATGATCTGCTACCTCTCGTTCTCGGCGGACAACTCCGCCAAAAGTCCACCTTTATCCCTCCGCTTGGAGTCCGCGGCTAGCTTTTGATCTAATAACGTTGAGAACTCCTTAACCTTGTTGAGGGCCACGCTGGTGCACTGGAGCAGCGTGGACGCCTCAACGGGCGTTCCTCCCAACTTCGCGATCTGACAGATCTCCCCGTGCTTGTTGAGGCTGATGGTACAGCTAGATACCTTCAGCTGCTCCTCCAGGAGAGTTGCGTCTAGTAACACGATCTCCCCTTCTTCTCCGTAGAAGCTGAAGGTGACGCAGAACGGCGAATGTAGCCAACTAAGTGGCACGGGCTCTCGTTCTGCGGGTGTGTACACAGTCAGAGTCTCTCCTTCTATGCTCGTATCCGGCTTTCTGAAGTGGCGCAATGCTGCTACGACAGCAAAGCAGGATCCGTCAATTAGATTGCCATCATGCGAGAGCACGTGCAGATCGACTCTTATAGACCAACACTTCTGACCCGCAATGAGACACAATGACTCGGTGTCCAAGGCGTTAGACCGGCGCACCGTCTTCTCGATCAATCTTGAAAGTAGGATTTCCGTCTCCGTTGGTCGGTTAACTTCGAATGCGGGTGATGCCATAGGGCTCAGTTCTGTGGTGATGGTGAAGACGCCATCAAATGGTCGGTCGACGTAAGGTACTGTAACTTCAGCGGAGACTTTCGCAAGTATTCTAATCATAAATATTAATAAGGCTATAATGTAATTATATGATCATATACCCCCTAGCTTACCTTGTTTTCCCTAACGTCACATCTGCGACTCCGTACTGGTCACCAAATTTGAGCTCGAGCTTTCGGTACTGATCAAAGGCGCGGCCGTCGATGCGCAGGCCTTCTTGTAGTGCCTGCACTACGAACGCGCGCTCATTGAGTGAAGGCTCGGCCTCTCGAGGCATTATAGAAGAGAAAAAGAGGAAATCAAGATCAAATTTGTTCTTATTTCACTTCATTATTCTTCCCAGATGTAGTAGTTGATAGTGGGGTGTTTGCGCATTTCCTAAGGTTCCATAGCTTCAAAATTCCGTTGATTTCTGCCGGGCGGTCAGTGGGCAACCCCTGCAAGATCGGCATTTTACACGCTAAAATCCCGACACGGCAACCACAGTGCACTAGAACTTTGACGGTGCAGGCGCAGCCCTGGAGGCCATCAAATATTACGGGTAACCCAGACTTAACTTTTACATCTTCGTTTAGGGTCTAGCAAGTCATTTGTTGACAAACAATCAAAGATGACTACCGCGCATAGACCTACCTTCGATCCCGTAAGTTCGATACCCTCTACGGCGATTTTAAAGTGTTTACTGATAAAAAGCATAGGCGCGTGGAAAGGAAGCTCTTCGAGGGCCAGCCTATCACCAACGCCTCCTTCCCGCCCACACCAAGCTAAAGTTCAGACAACCCGGCCAAGGAGGAGATGCCGACGAACCTCGCGACCTACGAGCCGAGCTTCTCGCCGCTGAGGCTGCCCACTTCGCTAAGCAGGGCAAGTTGGCCGATATTCCTGACGTCGATAACTCTGAATCCACCACCAACCCCGGCACAAAGCGACCCTTACCAATAGCGTCGCAAGCAGACGATGATGAGGGAGGTGAAGATCCAGAGGCGAAACGCCAGCGTGTATTAGCGGAGACCCGAGACATAGATGAAGAGTCGGAAGTTGATGATAGTGACGAGGATAGTGATGAGGAAGACGAAGAAGCCGAGCTACTACGTGAACTCGAGAGAGTCAGACAAGAACGAGCCCAGAAGCGCGAAGAAGAAGAACGCGCCAAGGCTGCGGCCGAAGCAGAGGAACGAGAACGAGAGATTGCGCTGGGTAATCCGTTAATGAATCCCACAAGCTTCAACACCAAACGAAGGTATGTCGAAATTTGACGGAAAAACATTAGAATCTTGCTAATGGATATGTTGCAGATGGGATGACGACGTGGTGTTCAAGAATCAAGCACGAGGAACGGAAGACAAGAACAAGAAAAAGGAATTCATCAACGTACGTTTCCCATCTCTGTATATCTGTATGGCCATACTGACAACATGAGTAGGATATGCTACGATCAGACTTCCACAAACGGTTTATGAACAAGTACGTGCGATGAGGTGTATATAACAGAATGATGCTAGCCTGCCGAGAAATAATACCCCGAATGTGCACTCGGACTGCCGACGTCTTCGTCAAGTGTTTCACGGACTAGTTATGGTGATAGGAAACAGACAAGAGAAGACTCCAGGGATTAAAAGAAGGAACCTCTACCTTTTTTCTATTTGTCAGGTTGTGAGACTACTGATGCCATTCTTAAAGTCACACATATATACGCTAATGATAGCTCATTGGTTACTTCGTATAGGAGTTCGGATAGGCCGGTGGTCTCTGTATGGGCTTGCCTAATGAAATCCATTACACAAGTATGAAGAAGCTAATCTATAGAAATAAGTTGCACTTTCTAGTCTGTCCAATATAAGTAGACTAGACGAATAGCTCATGAGAACTATAATGTATGTATGAAGTGATCTCTGAATAGGAGAGAAAACCCCCTCACGTACAATCTACTAGTAGCCTATAATCATGCGGCTACTTGGTCTTTCTTGACTCAATCGCCCCCCTTTTCCCATCCTGTTTCTGCCGATGTGTTTTCAGTGTACTGTCTACCCTGTCTAAGGTTCTTATTGCCTTGGTAATAGTCTTGGTGCTATCGTATATGAGGACTACCCAAACAATATTAGCATCGACTTATCTATTTCGCTGAGAGGTTTCCGTGCATAATATAACTCACTTGATGGGATGATGGCCCAAGGTAAATTAAACCCAACATAGTAGACCCAAAAGTATAGGAACTCGGGTCTACTGTGAGACAGGTCCGTCATGTATTCCTGGCACAAGCTCGTGGAATAGTATAGCGCGACACCATAGATATGCGCCATGCAAATGATGATGCGGAGCACATGCCGATAGGGACTGCCTCGGACGATGGATACAGCGTTAGCGAAGCAGAGAGGTCCCCAGACGAGCTATCGTGTGTTCATGATTAGTCCGTAGTTCCCTTACATTGAAAGTTGAAAAAGACCTGCTATTAGAGCTGATCCACTTACTGCTGTGATACTCTCAACGCTGAGCATGAAGCAATCGGAAGTCAGGTATCGCGAATCAGACAAAGCGTACTCCTTCCATAGTTGCGCGAACAAATTCTGTGACGAGGCGACGGTGTCGTGGTTTATTACAAAATATCCTTAAAGTCGACTAATTTAGCTAATGAATCCCTATTGCCCATATATATACCTAGAGACTTAGATAATTAGGCGTAAGTAGTTGCGGGCGTACCTTCAAAGAAGCAATGCAGACAGCCATCTAAATAGTGGGTCCAAGTTAGTCAAAAAGGGGCGGTCAACTATATCAGCATGTATGCTCGATGAGCTACTCACTCATCACAAACCAGCAGAACACTGCCAGGTTAGACCTAGTCAACTTCGGGTTGAATTTCAATGCCACGGCGGAAGCACCTAAAACGGCAAATCCTAGCATGCCAACTAGGGCCGACAGAAGTACATAGACGGGAAACTCATTCGGGGCGTATGCTGGAATATAGACGCCGAGGGGGTAGTACGGGTGCGAAGGCTCAATATCCTCAGACGAGACCTTGTAGCCGCCAAACGGCCACCATTTCATGCTCATGATCAACTCAGATTAAAAGATTGACAGAACTAGAAATATCCGGCCGTTAAAGAATGAAGGTGTGGTGATTCAAAACAAAGTTCCTAAAAGGGGTGATGTCGTTGATTAGGCGGTCTTGGCGTTTCCACAGCACCTAGAAAAATCGCTGGGGGTAAATAAGCGGGATCGGCTCCGAAACCGACTAGGATCTAGAACTGTGATCGAGTATGACGAAGTATATAATCAACTCGATTCTAGTAATGTGAGGCCTATTAGTTCTTAATTGTAAATATAAATACGTTACTCATTAACTAACACCAGATATCCAGAATTCATAGTTTAACTCTCCAAGTTTCAGCAGGAGGAATAATAGCATCAGCCGAAGCCACCTACGCCAATTTACATAGTACGCCGGCATACAGGACAAGGATACACTAATATAGGGGTTCACAAAAGCAATGACAGCCCTCATCGAGGTATCGCTATCCTGGCTCTTCAAAAACGGCAAAGGCCACGACGAGAAGAGCTTCTATAAGGCCCCCGCATTCGCCGACTTAGAAGGGAAACAGGAAATCACCGTCACGGCGCCGGAGATTGGCCCTAGCAACTCAGTGCTCGGCGTCGAGTATACACACGACGGCGCGGGCAAGTTCCCCAGTTTGCGCTGGGAGGCGCCACCGCACATCGCGGGTCAAGTTAAGGAGTGGCTTTTGGTTTCGGAGGATCCGGACGCGCCTCTACCTACGCCTATCTGTCACGGGTAAGTAGTTATCTGAGCGGGACATGGGAAATCGTAGCTAAAGTGGTTCCGAAATAATGATAGTATCTACACGGGAATCCCGCCTACACGGACTAGTGTAGAGGCCGCTGACTTCGAGGTCGAAGACCCCGGAGAAGCGCTGTTGAAGGGCGGGTTTCATTACGGCCGGTCGAGAAATGGCCAGGTTTACATCCCGCCTCGACCGTTGATGAATCACGGACCGCATCGATGTAAGCCTTTCTAGGTTATGAATAAATGTATGATTTGTCGATACAATTTGGGGCTAACTCATCCCAGATTTCTTCGAAGTGGTAGCACTCAAAGAACCGTTGAATCCTAGTTTGCTAAGTGCGGCGACGACTAGAGAGCAAATTGCCGATGCTATTAATGGTAAGGTCTTAGCGTGGGGTATGTGGATAGGAGTCGCGGAAAGAAAGTGGGAATAAAGAGAGATTTTGTGAACAATGTGTGACATTTGGGTTATTGTATTTATTGTATACCTGTAGAGCTGGTAGAGTTGAAGTATGAGAATATCCAAAGGCATCTCAGCTCTTCATTAAGAGACTCCAATGGAAGAGTGGATAAATAGTGGGACATGCAGGGTATAGCTGCGGGTAGTTGCAGGGATCGGTACCGATCTCTCGCCGAGTTGCACGTGGCGTAAGCCTCCTCATTCCCAGTGCAGCCCCAGTCTCGCGCCACTTTATAACTAGAACATAGCCGACCGGCTAACTGCGTCTAAGTCACCTATCTTCCTCATCCGACAGCAACACAACTATCTAGGCGTCACTCAAGGCGTCAATCAAGCCTCAGTTTTATCTGCGCCAATGCCCGATACCAGCCACGAAGAAGCATCACCCACTATCCCACCATCCAGTCGAATTAAAAGAAATACCGCCTGTACGAGCTGCCGGGATGCCAAGGTATATCTTGCAGATCACAGAGCAGTACCGCATATATTGATCATCTTCCCAGGTGCGCTGTAACCCTAGTCAAAATCCAAACCAGCCGTGTCAGCGTTGCGCGAAACTTCGCCTAAGCTGCGTCGTGGACAGGACTCACAAAAGAGTGAGCCGGAAAAGGTATAGCTCTTCTCTATGTTAGATTCATAATTAAGAGACTAATAGACCCGTAGTAAATTAGATGAACTAGTTCAAGAAATTCAGTCTATTAAGCAAAGTGTTAATGGGCAGGTAACTACATCGCCAAATCAGGCAGTTGCATATACTCAGCAGAATGAGACCATCATCCCTTTTAAGGACCCTGCTCCTGCACGGCTAGGAGTACCATCTCCCGTGAGCATTTCCACCGGAGAAGCGAGAGCTCCTACTATCGTCACCTCATCCAATGCCACTATTGTTCCTTCTTCAATTCATACCCCTGAAACCCCCGTGCCTCCTCAGATACCCGCAGCCGAGCCCGCACTTCCCAGAGCTCTAGGATCTCTACCATTTTCCGGCGAAGATATTGATTACTACTTTCAGAAGTAAGTTGGCTGTTTAGTCTACTTAAGCAGGACTTGGTGCAACTCTAACACTGTATTAGATATTTTGAATGTTATCATCCATATATGCCAATTGTACGACTCAGGGATCCAAACAAATGCTATGAGTCTGGTCCATTTTTATTTTGGACCATCATCTACATAGCGTCACGTCGCTATGCAAAGAGTCCTACCCTTTTCCCCTTCTTGTTAGATTCCGTCAGGAAAGATGCCTTCTCAACCCTATCTAGTTGGCCCTTAACCCTTCCTTCAATAAATGCACTCATCTTACTTTGCGCATGGATCTTTCCAGATGTACGGTTTGTTAATGACCCGTGTGCGCTCTTCACCGGCGCTATAATGAATGCGATCCTGCAATTAGGGATTCACTGTGGGAAGGGAAACCATCCCGAATACAGCCACGGTGTTTTCCAGAACACCTTCACAGATGAAGAGGCTGCCTTTACTTGGGCTGGGTATAACATAATCGCCCAACGGGTATCTTCGTTCTTGGGGCTCCCTGCCATCGGCGGTCTGTTCAATCAGACTGTTCAGAATATCATCGACGGCAGGACGCCTTTCCAAGTCCCCTCCACATTTCGTGTTCTCCTAGAGTGCCAGAAGTTCTGTAATCATGTGACTGGGACAATGGCGGCCTGTCTAGAAGAATCGCGAGGAGTATCAGCGCAGATGGTTCTACTACTTGAAAACGAATGGAATGCCGTCCGGGGGCTCATATGCTCGGAACGCGCAGGTGTGTATCCCCTCCTATCTAACTCCACCACGACAATCCGTCCATACCTAATAAAATGCTAAACCAAGCACCCACAGACGACCTCGACAGATTCAACGCGCTCCTAGTCCAACTCGAAATCCAAACATACTACATGATCCCACTCCCCGGCTACGACCCCGAAGCCCTGAAACGCAACATCCTACGCACATACAGCACAGCGCAAGCCGTGATCCGCTCCGCGCTCGCGCTAGACGCCAGCATGGACTTCCTGCGCCACCTCCCGCACTTCTACTTCCGCGCCCTCATGGCCGCGGGCGGCGTCATCTACCGCGTGCTGCGGTCGTCGTACCTGCCGTTCATGGACCGCGCGGAGGCGGAGCGGTCGGCCGCCGACGCGGTCGCCGCCTCGCGCCGCGCCCAGGTCGCCGACAACGACCTGCCCACGCGCCTCGGTAACCTGTTCGAGAGCTGGTTGTACCGCCTCGTCCACGGCGCCGGCGTGCCGCAGTCCGCTGAGGAGCCCGTGTCTAGCTTCTCGCATCGCTTGAGCGCGAGCGTTATGTATGATTGCATGACGCGTTGGAAGACGGACCATATGCCTGGGTGCAGACATAAGTGCCAGCCCCTGACTACGTGTCCGTGCTTCGGAAGTGGCGCGGCGGCGAACGGGCAGGCGGTGGCGAGTACCGGCGGCGCCGGTGGTACTGGTGCCGGTGCTGGGGCTGGGGCTGGGGCTAGTGCGGGAGGAGCGAGGAGCGAGACGCCGGCGATGCTGGGGGCTGATGCGCTAAGGGATATCGATTGGACTTTCATGGATGATTTCGATTGGAGCTTTGAGCCTGTTATGCCTGTGCTCACGGCGCCGACGTGAGGGAGCTGTCACGGGATGGGATGAGGTAGGCAAACGATGCGAAGAAGGAAGGCATTTATGATTGATTTAAGCAAGCGATTTTAATAGATTTACGTGAGCGATGAGGTATATCGTTACGCATTTTTTGGGAAAGGGGGCTATATGAAGGCATAGATAGCTATCTACCTAGGTAGAGCTCAGCTCTAGGTTGAAATTTAAAAAACGATAATTAATAGATCTACATATACCAAGAGCCTCATGACCGTGTGCTAGGTAATTGCAGGTTAGTTATCCCACAGATGCGAAAGCATATACATGTGGGTAAATATACGACAAAGAAGCCACGGCAACAAAACGAATCATCTCGAGTCTTGAGATTAGGTACACAGTTTTATTGATTTGTTTCATATTTGTATACAATTACATCGACGAGATGAGGGGGATTGGATATCACGGCTCTAATAGAAATAAACACCCCATATATCGCTTACACGCGCTATGTGCACGGTAGATCCCATTCTCCCTGCTCCGTTTCGTTTAGATATTTCCATCCTATGTACCTTGTACCTTACCCAAATATGTGCCTATATAACCCTGGAGGTATGTACGCAATCTACCCAGCACCCGACCTCGTCTCCCCGTCTCCCCTCCCGCCGGAGAAGTTCATAGCCGCGGGGAGATCTACGCCGATGGCCGCGCTCAATATACCCCATTCCACGTTCGTATTCACGTTCATATCCATGCCCTCCGTACCCGACAGGTCCCAGGGTATACCTGCGTCATCATGCCCTGTTTGATTTTGCGGTATAGGGTTTTGCGTTTGCGCGGTGGGGAAGCTCGGCTCGGGGTTGGGCTCGGGGGCGCTGGGGCCGGAGGGTATGAAACCGGGACCGGCGAACACGGCTTGCATGTAACCGCGGGCGAGATCGCAGTCGCGCCCCTTTGCGTCCAGCCAGCTAGGTGCGCCGCGCGCCGCTGGTCGGAATGCCGCCGGCATGGAGCATCCCACGCCCATTCCGCTCCACACGGCTGACGCCGGTGCCTTAAATTCAGGGTTCGCAGAGACGTGCGGCGACCCAGTGCGGTGCGGCAGGTTAAACTCCACGTGGGGACTCGTGGCGTATCCTCCGCCACAGTTCATCGGATGCGCCGGCGTTGTCATATTCGCAGGGGAGGAGTGCGCGGATGGGTTCGTCGAGGTCCCGGGAGCGGTCCATGACGACCCATTACCATCGGGCGAGTCGTGCGCCCTGCCGGTCTCATCAAGTGGAGACACGCGCTTCCGCTTGAATTTACTTCCTGATTGAGTGGCTTCGAATGGCATGGGTTCCTGCGAGGCTTTGCTATACACGTGGATTTCTGATGTCCAAGTACCGCATTCGCCATGGCAGTGCTCGTCGTCAAGGGGCTGGCCGACGGGGTTTCCAAGGGGGAGGCGGCCTGGCAACGGAGGCTGGACTTGGGAGTGCCGTGAGACGCTGGAGCGAGCGAGCAAGGGTATGTTGTGTGAGATCTGGGTCCCGAATTCATCGTTAAGATGGTCGAGGCGGGGTAGTCGCACGATATTCTTGATATCGTTTCGCTCAATATCGACGACTACCTGGCGAAGGAAGGCTCGGGTGATGGAATGGTCTCGTCCGAGAGCTTCCATAGCGGAAATAATAAAGTCAAGATTATCGAGGTTAGTAGGCGCCTGGTTTTCTTTACAAAAATAAATGTAAACCGACGCCGCACAATACATTGATAGTGCGGTCAATGGGCTTCTCTGCTAAGGCATCAGTGACCGCTCAAGTTATATCATCATCCCAAGGTGTTGCTTACAGGGCTTGTATTCACGTGGCTAGTTAGTTTAATAATATTAACAATTTCCTGTGCTGCTGTAGTCAACCGGTCTTGACAGGCTTTCTTAACACTGTCTGGTAGTTTGTAAGCATCTATCCTCTCGATCGCCGAGTGGTGTAAGCAAATGATTGATGCGTGTAAATTCAGATTAGTATGGAGAGCGATTGGGTCGCGATAGTTCTCGGGCAACCGGAAACTCTGTGGTAGATACATGAATGCGCTCGAGAGCGTATTATCAAGATCGCGGTGCCGCTGCCAATATTCGCCAAACTCATAGTTGTCGGGATTATCGGTAGGCTTAGGTTTATGGACGTGCTTGAGGATTTGATTATGTCTTGGTATCGGGATTAGCAAATGGGAGAAAGATGCTCAGGGGGAATATGGCTAACATATGGCAGATCAAGACCGCTCCAGCAAATGACGAGTATGGCTGCCCCTTGAATGCTTCGTGAATACTGTACGTTTCTTCCTTCTCGCCATTTTCGAACGCATATTCTGACTGTAAGGTTCAAGGTTAATAAGATCTGATATGACACCTTAAATGCGCATATACTGAAAATGGCGGGAAGTAGTTCGCGTCAAGAGCCTCATTCCACAGAAATTATAGGATGACATAGTATCAACTCACAGTAGGAAGCATGGTTGTGACCTGAAAGGCGTGTTAGCATAGACCTTACGTCTTCCGAGTCCCTATCTTACCTCAGAGGTATCAATAAGAAATGGCCAGCCGGTCGAGATCGAGCAATGACTATCGATACAAAAGACTCCCCAGAACGTCCGCCGCCTTTCTTCTAATTCAGCCCAATCTTTCGGGGGTAATAGCGTCGGGCTTATCTCCTCGGCGGCACCATCAAGTCGATGAAGTCCCATCATTTCCACAAGCCGAACTGCTTTAGCACAGGTCATAGCCGCTCGGGTAAACATCATAGTTTTAGCCTCGTACGTAGCCATCACACAATATGCTTGTGCATGAGCTACGGTAATGAAGTGTTCACCGTAAGACTTTGAGTGGTAAGCATACTTGCACACAAGGGTTAGTTAGAAGGTGTAATAGGCGGCCTACCTTCATCTCGTCCGCGTCGGTATACTGTCGAGAACGTCGGTAGAAGATGTCGTGGTACATGTTATACTTGGGATGACCATGTGCGGCGAGCGCCCAGATAATATATTGAAGACACATCGGAGGTTTCATATGTGGGGCGGAATAGAAGGCCTGCAAATAGCGCGAAGGGTGAATTATGGGAATAAGATATTTCTGCGTCGCGAAGAATATCCGGTTGCTTATTATCATGAGCTGGACTTGGCACTAGATGAGTTTTTGACGTGATTATTACTCACAGGTCTTCCATCACCTCAAAGGGGGGCAATCTCTCATATACGCCGCCAAGGTCGATAAGAGACCCATTAAAGGGGGTACTACCTTGATCTTGGCCACCCAAGTTTCCAGGTGAGAATGTTGTCGTCGGCTCTTGCTGAAATGCGAATTGAGCTCCGTCGTCGTAAGAAAGGTCAGGAGCGGTAAAATCCAATCCTTCAAAGATGATATTTTCTGTCCCTGACGCTTCAGTAGACTGAAATTCGGCATGTTCGGCAGCCTTCCCGTGTAGTGAGCGTGAGCCATTTTGGCCTGCTTCTTTCAAAAGCACCTCAACCTGAGCTATTAAATACGTCTCAGCTCAAATTACATGTTTCATGAGACATGAGGTCATAGATACCCAGGCGCGCTTCAAGTTCCTTCACATTCCTTCGTTTGAAGGCTGGTCTCCTCCGAGACTCGGGAAAGACGCATTCAAGGTTGGCTTTCTCACAGCGCTTACACCTTGGTTTTGTGCGATCACATTTGAGTTTCCTATTCCTGCACGACACGCATGACTACTAAGAACGTTAGCATATTCAACACATAGCGTCATAGAAAAGGGTTGACGGCAAATTACCAAAGTCTCGGATCCGGCTTGACCGCCCCCGGGAGCCTCATGAGAGGGGCCGTCCTCCGGCATGATATTTGCGCGAAAAGGCTCATATAGGTAAGTGGCAGACTATCCCGTCCCGTCTCGATATTAGCCTCCGGCTTGCATGCCCTCGGAGCGTGGCGTGTTAAGGGTTGAAAGTTGAAATAGGCAACCCACTCATTAGTCTCTTTCAATTATTGGTTGGTATATGCGTACCCCTTTAGTAAGCCGATACGGCCGATAACTCCTGAAGGATAAAGGTTACTCCGAAATCAGGCAGCGTTGGTTTCACAAGTTTGACAAGTTGTACGTAATCGAAGACAATTATGAATAAGCATTATTATTATGTATCGCAGCTTTATTCAACTCCAAAGCATACATAATTGAAGCCTGTGTAGATGCCTATGTAATCGTTTGTCGCATATAATCTTTAGCCGATAATTATCATCTTCGTCATTTGGATAACCCGTATAAGTTTTATATCTATAAATATGCATATAAAAGAACTATTTTCATGCTTTATACATATTTGTCTCCTTATCTCCAGCGGATTCGGTTTAGACGTATTTCAACATGCTAGAGGCTAGTTTGCCTATCACGATACTAATTTCCAAATATTATTCCTCGAGTACACCTCAAGGGGCATGGTTCATCACCAGGGGGTAGTCATTAAAGGAGCAAGTCTTACCAACGCATGACCACATACTGGCATGTGTATGACTCAGGAAGCGCAAATCTGCAAGTGTAGTAGCATTGGTATACGACCTGTCACATATCTACGCGGCATAGTATGATATTCGCCCCGGACAGGGAAAGCAGGCCGTCGCGGAATCCACAAGCCTACGTATTTCAATGCGTTCGTCAAGCATCTATGCATCGAATCCATGGGATGGAATGATTAGTGATTCCTTGAGGGGGTTTGTGGAGTATATTCCTTGCAAAAGGAGGTTAGCTACCTAGTATATAGCACTATACTCCTTAGGCAATCCCGAGGGCATGGGCAGCCCCATAGTCCGGTGGGACCAAACCCATCCAGGCTTGAACGCGTACAACAGCTGAATATTCTCGCGCGCCTACCAATTCCGTACGGCGCCGAGGGTCGCCAGCTAGCAAAAACTAGACGTCCTCAGCTGACGGCTGACGGTGCTCCCGGCACTAGATGGTGTTGTCGAGCCGGTGTAGTGACTGACGATGTGACAAGTGCAGATCATCTTAGATCAAGATCCGCGTCCGTCGAAAACTTACGAACGAAACGATGCCTAAACCGGCCAAATTCAGCTAATAATAAGGCGGCTATCTTCACCTTAGTGAATGACGGACATTTCGCTAGATTACCATAGTAGGTGCATTTAAAAGAGTCTAAAATGGCCCAAGGGTCCAGATGTACGGCCTGGGCATCGAGAATCTTCGGCACAGAGACGCAAGACTAATATAGACCTTAGGCTAGACACTTTGGGGTTTGACAGCTCGCCTCTGACCCGGGGAAGGATACCTTGGCCGTACACCCGGTATCATTCGAGTCATGACACTTTTTAATTTCATAGCGTATTCAGGGACTGGTTCGCTAACTAAACGATTCCGTCCCAAACTTCCGGGTCATTTTTGACTCTATGGTAGAGACTATATACAATAACGATTCAGAGACAAGGACATGATTCAAATGTAGGTACGAAGGTTAAGTGGCAACCTCGTCGCAGGGATCCAGCGTCGTCGATCACCGCCCTCAGAGCCAGAGAGTTTTGGTTCCTCGTTCGAGCGAGTTAAGGTTTGTATTCCGCACTCGATGGCCGGCGTCTCTTTAGCATAATATAGGAGAGTTTTTGAAGGTCCCGATAAGCAGAATACCTCCACTGTCACCTGCAGTAATTCGTGATTGCGTCGTCTCTGCGGCTTTTGAAAGCTGTATATCTAGATGTAATATATACGGCTATGTAACCAGTATGGAACCATAATTAAATATGCAATCCCATATTATGTCGTCGACAGATACTTGATAAACCCCCCACGTAATCTCGGCATACCGGCTGAGAAGTAACATGACGAAAGGTGTAGTGTGATTATACTTTTCAAATCTGACAGTAGGAGAAAATAGCCTGAGAGAAAGACGTCAAGCCAAGTAAACTTCGTGACCGATCTATCGTACCCAGCGTAACGGTCACCACTTAGGCCGTTCCCCGCTGTCAGCAAGTGATTCATGGGCTGGCGAAGGTTGAGTTTGCCAACCCTACTAATATTCTAGCTAGTTACCATATTGTAGGAGTTCGCTGACAACATCAACCTTATATATCGAACATCACCATCCACTCTGACCTCTTGGCAGGTACATTTAGGTAGTTCAGAAGAAAAATACACTTAGTCGTCTAGCGTTGTTCTGGCATACACCAACAGATTCTAAATATCGCGGAACACAATACAACGTCAAACTGACCAAGTAATCTAGAATGGTGTGGGTGGTCTCGTCAAGGACGACAGCCACCTCACTTATCATTATCCTAGCAACCCTGTTGTGGACGTAAGCGGTTGAGTAGGGAGGGCAACAAGCGAATAATTCCAATATGGCACCCGCATTCTGACTGGTCAGGGGGGGGGCAGAAAGGAGAAATGCACTTTCGTGAAGTTGCCGCCCAAGTTGCAGCTTCAGGGGTGCGATGACAAGACATATAACCGTCACATATAACCGTCTTTTCTCCAGCGCGGCTCAAGTAAGATTGTTTCAGATGTCATCATCTAAGTATCTAAGACCCTCCGTCGAAGAACTTTCGAGACATCAACTAAAATAAATAAATAATAATGAGGGGATGGGGAGGAAAGAAATTAGGTAACTGGCAAACCCCCCTCCTCTAGAAGTTCTAAGACATCCACTCGAATCGAAAATCTTCGTTTTATTTTTTATTTTATTTTTTGTCCGAAGAACGCCATTTTGTCTCAATCCCAAGGGCAGACCGGCCGGAGATCCGTGCCACGGGGGGCTGCTACAAACGAAAGATGCTGGGGAACGAAGAACTTTCAGGAAAACTTCATCCGAAGTGTGTGCTGTGGGTGAAGATAACGTCAAGCAAAGAAAGAAAAAAAAAGTTTACTTAGTAGTAGCGCCAGCCCTCATTTTTTGGGGGCTCCTTTTGGGGATCGGCGGACGAAGCTTTCGGAGAGGCGACGCTATCTTTGGCTAAGATGCCTTGAGATGCCACTCTAACGTACGCTAGTCCGGCTCACTTCGTACTAGACGGTAACCTCCGTAGTAGTAGCCGAATAATAATAATCTTCTTCTTCTTCTTCTGAGTATCACAGGCTACAAGCGCTGCTCTCCCGGTAGACAAGTGGGAGGAGACGCGTCTGGGCCCAGATTATGTGCAGGATGGGACTGCATACCAAGGAAGGCGGGTAAGAGTTCGTTCGTCTATCAGGTTCGTCTAGAGCCGACTCGACTAGATGCCGTCCCTCCGTCTCGCCCATCGAACGGGTGTTTCCCACGCACCTCTTAGCTTCGACGGGAGAACAATCTTTGGCCTACCCAAGCCGGTGGTAAGTGGTACTTTGCCTACTCGGTGACTGGTCCGGCAAGACAAGGACGGATGGCACGACATCTGCTTACAGAAGGGAAAGTGAGCTCATTTTCGGGTTCACAGGCGCCTTCGTTAGTTTCGCGAAAGCAGGAAAAAAAAAAAAAAAAAAAAAAGCACCGATGGGCAACGTCAGCTGTTCTGCAATCTCTGTCGTCATCCGAAATCCATTATGGGAATCTGCCTAACCACTAAGTGGTCATCTTGGCTGACTGATGAAACTGTGCGATGCGGCGAGATTAGGTGGCCGTGAACGATGAACTCGGTAGCCAACGGATTTCGAGGAGGCCATCTCTCCATGCTTGCGGACATCTGCAGTTAATCTATCGATCGGAAGGGGCGGTATGCAGGAGCAATATAGGATTTCTGAAATGCTAATGCGAGGGCTACTGCAGCTACCTTGGTCGTGATGTAGATCTCCTATAGCACTCGGAACAGACCCCGGCTTGTGGTTGGAGGGTTCATGGCTTCACTTTAGGTCGGAAACGACCCGCAAAGGCGGCCAGCATGCAAGCTTTGTCCCGGTAAACGATATTAAGATTCAACGTCTTTCTATCATCCGGATAGTGCACTTTCTTTTCACTTGAGGCTAAATCTACACGTACAGCAAAAACATTTCCACATATCCACCGCCATCATGATCCCAATCCGCAATCAATTCAGGGTAATATACAACCGTCCCTTTGTACTTTGATGTGCTCGAACCGCCATTGTTGTTAATGTAATATCCCAGTTGCGCCGCCTGTTCCATGAGAGTGGTATCCATTTGTTGAAATGCCCAAAAGATGTTTTGATAGATAGAAAAATACTGCCGAGAAATGTTTCGTAGGGCAATCTTTTAAACGTTATTCGTGAAATAAATCAGTCGATCGACTCGAAATTCGACTTTAAAAGCTGTCTATAATATAAATAATGCCGATATCCATAGTAATACAAGCAACCCTTTCCGGGGTAGCATGATTTCTATCATATACTACCGCGATTAACGTTGTTGATCCTACGTCGTTTCATTGACTCTAGTTCCACATCGCAATCGCTCAGAGGCTTGCAGTCTGGGTCGTAGTCTGCTCGTTCAGTCGAAGGTAGCAACTTGCCATCGCTATTACGCACTGTCATGGCATCTGACTCGGCACGGGCGTTGTTAATCATGGTCGGTAGTTGCCGCCGCCTCGCATTGATGAACCAATTGCTTATTTGATCTGTCCAGGAGGTAAGTTAGTAAGATACGCCTTAGATAATCTAGCGTACGAGTAGAGCCGTCTCTCGAGAATACTAGCAGACCTAAAATCTAGGACTTGAGGTTTTAAAATAGGTAGAACTTACTTAATTGTAAGCCCGTCTGCCTCATTAAATCTTGCTTTTCCTCCTCTGACGGGTACGGGTGTTGCAGATGGGCGACGAACCAAGCACGCAATTTGTCTGTTGTCTCCTTTGGTAGATTCCCACGACGCTTCCTTTGCTTGCCCTCGCCGTTCATCACCATGCCAAAATCGCGGATCCGCATCAAATTCTCGTGATATTGGTGTGGGTCGTACGGCCGTGGTGAGAGTCCCGGTGAGAACGGCGTCCTGTCATAGCTATGGACCGAGCCCATCGAAAGAGACTGTACCCGGCTAGGGTGATGGGGGTCGTAGCTAAAACCTTCAGGTCGATATGTGGGAGATCCTCCATCCGTATGTAGACTCCCATTGCTCGACATGCTTGGTCTCCTCATAAATCCCCTCGTCCAATCATCGTTCAGCTTCGCAGGACGGCGTGGTTCAGACACAGCTCCAGCAAAATTCATTAGTGGTAAACTCGGTAGAGTAGAACGAGCCTCGCGTCGTTCATGTGGTTCTAGGCTTATGGGAGACCGTACAGATCTCCCGTAAGAAGGGTTGGGACGGTGCGGATCCTCCCATGCCTCAACGTTTGCTCTTCGGGTCGTCGGCCGGGGCTGTCGATGGCTGTCATCGTGAGAGATAGTTGATATCCTCGGCAACGAATTTGTTTCTTGATTCTTCCTATACTCAAACTGATCCATGGCTAGAGGCCTCTTTTTTAGGTGTTGTGGTGACTGTGAGTGGACATATTCTGACCAGGTTGTAGTATTAAATGATCTTCCAGGAGGAGTTGTCGCGGATGGTGGTGTTCTGGCCGAAATGTCATGTTGTATGTGAAGCTGAAGCTCTGGGAAAGCCTATTGTCCAGTCAGTAAGGATATCTAGTTAGAGATGGACTATTCTACCTGTCGGATAGACGGGAGGGCGATTTTCTCTCCTGGTCTGGAGGATAGCTCAGAAGATTCTCGCCAAGAGAATTCGTGAGGAAACCCATGATGGTATGGCGAAGAAGGCATCGTAAGAGCAGACATCTTATCTATTGCTGACCTGGATAACGGGTCTCGTGTGGCGTCTATTGAGTTCGATAACTGTCAGCTTATCAACTATTGGAGGCTACACCTATTGCACTTCTCGCCATAAAATAACACGCCTTACCTGAATTAGTGAACGATAAGTAGGCACCTGTATATATGGCGGCGACCCGTAACGAAGCTCCAGGTTTGTTTTAAAACAATTAAGGCAGAGCCCTCGATTTGTTTCCAGAGTGTGCTCCGTTTTATCAAACTTCAACCATTTGCACACTTCAGTCCCAGCACTTCAATAGGTACGTTTGGCAGAACGGGAGGCAAAAGTCAACGTCTGTGGCTAATGGGTGACAATTATATGCAGATATTTCGGTTTATCTTCCCGAGTCCTGCAGATTATATGGCGACGAGACTAGATAGATCCCTCCAAGACAGCCTCTACCGTATAAGGACGTAGTAAGAGTCTGTTCCTTGCGGAAAGGAGAGGAGTTCAAGACTACCCGAAGAGGCTCAAATAGACGCCCGGAAGGATACGAGATAGGAAGACGATGGCCACAGGATAGACACGGAGTATTAGTTTATCCAAGAAAGGTAGGTAGCTCTGGTATGATGAAAGAGAAAGGTTAGGGAAGAAAGTTCAAGGAAAATGGGCCAAAAGGCTGAAGTAGAATAGAAGCAGCAGCATACCGGTAGAAGAGCGGAAGACTCTTCTACATATGTATGTCAAAGATGGATCTTTGAATGTGTGGAGGTGCGGTTTCGATAGAGAGTGACTAAACCGTAAAAAGGCTTGGATGCGAGGCATGAGCAAGGATGACATAGATGCTAAGACAGCGTTCAGGGTACGATGAGAAAGGACCAGTACCGCGCGGACTACGCAGTTAGTCTTGTACCCACTACCGACCTACCCACCTCCCCACAGACGATTCAGACATGCTGATGCTTGTGGCGTCGCCTCTGCGGGCGAGGGAGACGGAGTGGAAAAGACTGACAAGCTTCTTGCTTGGATAGATGGATGCTTGGATGCTTGGGGTGGTCACACCTACTATGTACTAAGGTTACTGGGTTACCGAGAGCGCACATGGTTTAAAGGGTCAGAAAGGGTCTAGCTATGTAGACTACGACTAGCCTAAGTATCTGACTAGGTACTAGGTAGGAACTCGAAAGACAGGCTTGGCTTCGATAGCGATGGTAGGTACATTGCTGGAGCGACTGGAGCAACTGATTTTAGGATGTAGGGAGGCAGCTGGGGAGGCAAGTGACACGACCACAGTAGGAAGGGCAAGCGTCGGTGGTAGTATCGATGTATATGCAGGCAGGGGTAAGGACCCCGGACCGTGACGGTTACTGCTTTGGTGCCAGATGAAATTGCCCGATGGAAAGACGATGGGTACCGGGGTAGACCTTACACACGTACCATCGCATACGTGCGTGCATTTAGAAGACCAGATCGAATTCTTCCCTCCTCGCAAACTTGGTATCTTGGTCTTTTGGTCTTTTGGTCTTTTGGCTCTCTTACGTCGAAGTTACTTGATGTGAGGTTAAACCCCCTTCTTAAAAGGGGAGGGGGTAGGGTACGATACATAAACACCGGGAAATATACTTACCTATGCCTACCTATGCCCATGCCTATTCCATGTCTACCACGTATTCATCCACGAGCATGCTGCAGATTGGCTTAGCCGTTATCCCATTATCATATCATGCCAGCTAGCTAGCTGATCGTGCGATAAGAACGAGATGTGGCGCCGACGCCGACTGTGGATTTGCAAGTCATTCCAAGTTGTTGGTCAGTAAGTACCACTTACCTATATATATAGGTACGAAACGTAGGAAACGCCTATTATCTTATGTGAGAAACGTTATAAAAGACGATACCTGAACTGTACCTGAACTACCAGGTCCCGACTTAAAAGAAAGTTTCCGTGCATCTACATAGTATAATTTGGCACAGGCCCCTGGGGCATCTTCTCATATGACGCAGATGCGCCCGAGAAGTTGGCACTATTGGAAAGGTTGTGACGCTCTAGTTTATTCTTGCTATTCTTGTAAAGCCGTTTAAACATTGAACTATGTCCATAGTAAGCGCCAGAACTCAGTAGTTTCCAAAGAATAAGGGTAAACATCGTAAATGCCGTCATTAGTAATATTTCCAACACGTTTATGATCGTCCCATCTAAGGGTACCTAAGATTGAACCCTCATCGCTAGACGAATCAAAGCGGGAATGAAGTTTTTACGTACCTACCTAGGTGTTGCGATTGGTCGACGGTCGATTACCTAGTTGATTCTAGATTTTAGGGGTGCTGAATCATGTTATTTACTACTAGGGATGTATGTATTGTGATTGATTCGGGTTTGGGTGATATTCATCTGACGAGCTGACAAGAAGATCTAGGCAAAATCCAAGAGCCGACGACATTTTGCCAAGCGCCTAAGAGTAACCCCCCTAGACCCCTGAACGGAATAATATGGGCCAAATTCAGTGCCCTGGAACTTCAGAACACAGCAAAAGGGGGCACATATCGCCCATATCGCACTTCTAACTTTGCCATGAGAGTGCCTAGACCCGAATATTGAAGCTAAATCAACTTGGTATGCACTGATACTTGAATTGTAGGTAAGTAAACAATTCGTACAGTATACCAGTATAAGTACAAATAATTATATCAACATACAATCAGGTCCCTGTTGATTGCTATCTCTCATCTCGCATCTCGCGTCTCCCTTGTTAGTGCAAGTCTCTATCCCACATGTAAATCAATGGATAACGGCCGACTCAGGCTATATTCTCAGGCCGCGTAGTAGATATTAACCCTAGAGGCGACAATCTCTAAACGCCCTACGATGATCAGAACCACAACCAAATAGGCTATGGGCACAGCGGATCCGAGATTTACAGCAGAAGCGCTGAGGCGAGCAGGGCGAGTCATGGCCCGGGACGCTTCGACGACCTACCGTCGTCTGCATTGTCTGCATTGCCTGCATTGCCTGCATTGTTTACCTTCGGAACAAACACCGAGCACCGACTGATGCGATGGGTGCAATGGCGCAATGGAATGCCAATGTTGCAGCCCCCAAAAGAACCAACCCGACCATCGCTGTAACTTCGTTCCTTAATATCGTACCTATCCAGGGCCACAGCTGGCTCGCAGAACCCTAACATGGAAGTTTCCTTGCGTTGACAGGGCATGATTTGCATTAGGCTAAGAACCTTAGATGCGTCCCGCTGACTTGGTAACCGGTTTGATCATTGGATGTGGGCACTTCGCGAGTCATGAATCTGGACGGAAAGGGCTTGGACATGGGCTGGACATGATGGAGAAAATTGTGGCGGAAAGTGGTAAAATAATGGAAACGGGAGTGGGAACGGAAAGGCCAGAATAGCGTCTACTACCTTCCCTACCCGTACCTACCTAGGTGGACTAACCGTTAGGGAACGGCGACGACGACCATTCGGGAATGCATAGCGTCTGTTATATCTCGCCCCTCTGGCCCCTCTGGCCCCTCCACCATCCCCCCCCCTAGTGGCATCCGCCCCGATGGGTACGTGGTGATCCTCTCCATATCGGCCATTCTCGCAGGCTGTCAAATCTCGTTGGACTTAGTACGTTTTTGGCCAAACCCCCGGACCCCGTTTCTGTGTGGGCGATCTGCATCAGCCAAAGCTGCAAGACAGATCGGTGCCGAGCCGTGATCTCCCCCCCGTTGCCATCATGTGTCAAAAAGGAACGAAAAAGAACAATGCTATAGTACGGGTCCTATCATATAACGTAGGTAGGTTATATTATAAGGTACAGGTATCTAGGTAGCGAGGCGTTGTATAGTCATTACAAGGAGCGCGCTTAAGTTCTGCGGCTTGTGTTTGGCCAATGCCATCACGGATGTTTCCTGAAGAATTTCGAGTCAGCAAAAACAAAACTACCGAAAGCATCTAAAGATGATCCCAAACCATCTAAAAACCATCACGACAAGCTGTTTTAGTCCCTATCGATATTCACATAGTACTCTAGGTACCTAGTAGCAGTCTACTACATAGTATGATTACTTATCATCATTTATTTACTACTATGTACCTAGATATGTATGTATAAATGGAGTTCGATGTAGTCAAGTTTGAAAAAGTACCAGGTAGGCATACCCTCGTCTGCACTACGGCTGACTAGCACACGAAAATATGTATGAATATGTAATCATCGTAATGCAGATTCGATTCATGGCGCTGCATCAATTTATAGCTGTAGGGATAGGTGCCCCCATCCCCACCCGTTTCTCATAAATAACTGGTCGAGTTACGCGGATTTCCAACGCTTACGTGATTAAGCACTAGTTTCTGCTCAGTCTATTCGCTTTATTCAGTCTACATAGTTACATCTTCTCATCAGATACTCGTTAGGCTAGCTAGGGTCGTGGGGTCCGCTCCTTACCAGGTGTAGGGTGTGGTGAACTTCTCAGATGTTTAGGCTCTTGGGACTTCGTTCCGGTTGGTCCCAAGGGTGCAAGCTAGGTACGATCTGAAGTTTGCGGTTTTGCCAAGGGTTGCAGATCTCTTACCCCATCCAAGCAAGGGCCGTCTTTCGTAATCCCGAGAAGCTGGGGGCGGTCGAACAGAACCCCATCCCGTGCGCCGCCCAAGCGCCTTGTGCTCCTAACGTGGTGTGCAACTCATCCAATTGCATCTTGGGCGCACGAAATGAGAGACAACGACAGCGGAAAAGCTGCAGGTCAATGAATCCGGATCCATGGCACAAAACCCGGTTCCCGGGTTCCGTCACCTTGATCTCCTCACTTGTCATATCCCCAACCCTGCCAACGTCTTTTCTTGCCTCTCTTCTCGACTTGGTGCATAATCATTCTCCCGTTGAGACGCATCAAGCCATCAAGAGGGGATTGGGGGTTGGGGGTTGGGTATTGGGGATAGTATGGCATTATCTAGCCCGGTGCTCGCTCATATGCCTGCCTCGGGGCTAGATTTTGAATATCGAGTTTCACCAGGTACTACTTATTGGGCTCGCCGTGGGTCTTCCACGAAAACCTATTCGTTGCTTCAAACGGTCGTCCATTTCTGTTGAATTATCGAAATTGCGACTTAGACGCCATTTGTTTCAAATTAAGCCGACAAGGGTGCTCCCTATCCCAGACAGTCGCGGTGAAAGAAAAGGCTCATCTCTCACGATAATCAAGTGTGTATGTAAATCGTAAGTTCATAAACTAGATACTAACGGACGCTACCATGCATTCTACCTATTCCATACTGTCGGGTAGGTGAGTAGGTGGATGGAAAAGAGCTCCAAGGTTAGGGACTGCCAGATTGACTCTGTACGGGCAGGACGTCGATACTATTTCCGATCTTTTTATGCCCTCATCCCTCGTCCCCTCGTAGGTTAAGGGTACATACATAAAGCTATGTAGATCCCAGCTTTAATCCCACCCAGTCTGCCGGAGCCGTCGTGGTTGCGCTGAACTGTCGGAAGTCCGACTGTGGCTGATATGGCCAGGAATAATATCCAGCGAATAAGCCACCTCGAATCCCTCCTCTCCCCCCACGACTCCCCACGAACCTCCCCGCGTCTTCAACACTCGCTGTCTAATTTTCGAACACATCTTCCGTCCTTGGACGC